TCTTCGAAAAAATAATATTATACCAGGCGACCTAGATATCTTCGGAATTAAAGATTTTTTGCGCACTCTGTATCCCAGTAACATTGAATTGTTGATGAGTTTTGGGCCACTCTATACAGTGTTTTAGGTATTATTCAATTCAATTTATTATTCAATTTTTTAGATACTATTTAACATACACAAAAAATTGAATTGTACGTACAACAAGGAAACGTTATACAATATGAATTTTTTGTCGCTCCTGCCGCCGATTCCTGCACGATTATTACTGAACACAGTGATTCATCGAACATAAAATGTTGTAGAAACTGGTTGCTAATTTTATGATATTCTCGTATTTTGAGTGTTCTAACAATTAGCATCTATTTAATACCCAGTTTTATGACTAATCTCTTCCTGATATTTTTAGATAAACGAGAACTTTACAAAGGGAATAAATCAACGAAGTACAAGCTCTAAATGTTTTGTTCAATTCGCTTATTAATTAGTAATAAAACTTTATGGAGTGCTAAATATATGTAAGTATATAGAAATTAAAACATAAAAATCCGGTTGGCTAATAGAACTTTTTCATACAAGCATTAACTAATCGATTCGGTTGTAAATCTTTCGCAATAAAGACCTTAGTAACTAATTAGGAGGTACACAAAAGCAAGCAAGAACAACGTACAAGCATTAACTCTTAACGGTTGTGTCAAACGAAAGAAAGTCTTCGGATCGACCCATCAGGCACTACTTACAAATGTCCTACCAGCAAATTCAATTTAAAAGCTTGTCCGTGTTTTTTTTTTCTGCGCGAAAGTAAAAGCGGTAGACTTTCAAATTTCCATACGGCGCGGTTTTTTGCGCACCTACTCCAATTATTTTCTATTAGGCCGCGACGAAGAATGAAACTCCATCGGCTGAATCAATGCGCCGATGGAAATTAATAACGATATAAAGAGCGGCTTCTGGGCAACGCGAGTGGGCTGAACTCGAAACGAAAAAATTACGCCACGCAATTTATAATAATTAATTATTAAAACGGGACCAATTAGGTAGTTTATCGTTAGAGCGTTTCGTAATGACGCGAGGACAATTAATATTTCGAGTTCCGATAACTATTTTGTTGCTGGTAGAAACATGGCGAGGAGATGATGGAGAGTTAGAAGAATAGTTGATTTAAAAACGAACTAAATGGGGGAATTAGAGAGTAATTAAATAATGTACAGTGTGTTCTGGATAAGGGTGAAAATACCTAGAAATTATAGGAGATTCAGTAAATATTAAATGGGAAATAAGTTGCTTAATAGGAAGTTTAGGAAATTTTTGTTGTTGTTGTTTTCGATGAGTCGCTTCTATTTCTTGCTAGAGAAAACTTGGTAGTTCTTTCTCATTATAAATTTTAATTGGCATTATATTTATTGTTTTGCTTTGCAGAACCATTGTCAGCTTGTTTCTTTTATGTTCATGTTCTGTTCATTCCTATCCAGTGCACACTACTCGTATAAACTACTCTGGATGTAAATTCTGAATATAAACCGCAAAAACATCGTTTCTAATGATTAACGGAATACTCTTCCAGCAGTTTTTATCCAAAAATCCCATCACACTGTATGGACACTCTCGCGTCCACGATATAAATTACGTAACCTCTGGCGTGTACACGCCACGAAGAATTATTAGCGGTATATTTTTTCCTCGGCCCCTTAATCTCATCGTAAAATCAAAGTTGATGATCAGTCATCTCGTTGGCCGGACGACCGGGATTTTATCATCCTATGTTTCATTCTAAGTTGGTCTTTTTTTTTATTGTCGATGAAGTACGCCACGTTCGTTGTTTTTCTTATCGTCAAACATCTGTGACTGAAAACTCGGCACGGAATGAACATTCGTCCGCGTTGGCTCGCGCACAGTGGCGTTTCTCCACGTTAATTTATTCTCCATAAGCTCACGTACTCTGTGTATGTGCACGTTGTTAGTTTCTGGTGACTTTAAGCCGATTCGGCGAACTCGTTTCCTTCGGAATAGGAACTTCTTAGGGAAGAGTCAGCTTTATTGTGGACTAATGGTACACTTAATTGAATCTTCACAAGTTATAAAAATGGGATTTGATTCACAAAATAGCTCGATTCAATAGCTAGATTGGTCTCTAAATTGTACCAATAGAAGAAACCAAAATACCAACAAACTTAGGTACATTAGGAGGTCTCTGGAAATCTTATTTAAACATAAGCAAAATTTCTATCTTCTGAACTTTGGTTTCAAGCGATGATTAACACAACACGAAGCCGATATAATCACGAACGCGTAATATCAAAACCAGATTGTGGATAAACCGAAAAGCAGGAACTGCCTGGTAATTGGGTCACACCAGCCATGCACTCTAATGAACGAAATGCGCGCATCTCGCTTGATGAGAGCGGCCCCTTTTCGCTCTGTCGATGAGCCGGAAGACAAGTAGCCCGTTCAAATGGTGCTGTCGAACAATAAGTTGTAAAACCGAACTCTCCACCCGGCGACTGTTTAATACAACAAGGCCCTTGTGCGAGCAAAAGTTTCTGGTCGTCGAATCGAGCTCCGTTTTCACGCATTACCGGTCGCAAAGTTTGTTGCTTTGATCCGAATTAAGCTGTAATTATCCTTTACAGGGTGTTGCAGATGTTTGCTAAACGAAAAAATGGAGATACTCCTCCGGTTGTTCCCAACTAGCGGTGAATTGAACTTGAAAACGGTGCAGGGATAGAGGAAGGAACGACCGGCGACCTTCGAGGGCAAACATGTGTATACCGATGACGTCAAAAGCGCGATGACGTAAGCAATTTCAACAGGTAATACCCGTTGCTAGGCGACGAATCCCTGCAGGCACCATCGGGATGGGAAAACTAAAGAGTATCGACTCGATTCAACAGGTAACGCTTTCCACAATGCATCTACTAGTGTAGTTCGATAAAAAAAGGATCTTTTATAGCCCAAAGGGCGCCGGAATATACAGGGTGTTGCAATTCACTTACTTTACAATTAGCTATAATTACAAGGGTGGTTCTAATAGTTAATTAGGTGGTTCATACAAAACACCTCATGCATTCTTGCGTCAAACCAAAAATCAGTCTCACATTGTTCTACCCTGTATAATTACGATGAATAGAACATACCGACGTTACCCTGTATATGACGGAAGGACGATCAGGTGACCGAAAAACCGGGAGATTTTATTTCTGGAATCGAGGGAGCCGCGGTCTTGGTAACCTACGCGACCGAGAACCTGACCTTGCACCCGGGGCACTTGGGCCTCCGCAGGGCTGCCGTCCAGGGCCCTAAGAGCGCCTCTATCCGTGACTTTGGCACGGCCCCGGAATCGCAGGAGGCGCAAGAAAGCCGGAATCGGATGGTGCATATAGTCCGGTCAAAGTGAACAAAATTGGGCTGCAAAAGGGGGGCATACAAGCAAAGATAAATGTAAAAGAACGGTAAATTATGAACTTTATAAAAAAGGAATTTAAAATTGAGTTGTAAGTAAATGTTTCGTGCTATATTCTAGCTGTAAGTGGGATTTTGTGGTCTTAATTGGCGAATCGAGGGGGCTTGGAGCGGTTTCGCTTGTCGTGTACATTAATTGAGTTTGCCGAATCGGGACGGGGAAAAGGATTTTTGGCATTTTGCGGTCGGAAAATAAACAAACCGTCAACAAGTGCGCGGGCGTAAGCGACAAACAAACCCCCGTTATTTATAGGAGGGCGAATCGAAAAATCGCTCGTTGTGGAAAGCCCTATAATTTATAATGAACGGTATTTTCCCTGCTCTCCGCTCGACCCACGTGTTTTTGAATAATTCGGTTCGATTGATTATTGGCAAACACTCGTCGATTACCACCTGGTAATTTGGTAATTTTCCTCATGAGGAAGTCTCTATAAAGACACCTTCAAAGGCAATACTAACAACCATTATATCAATTTTCATGTAAAATTCAAAAGTAAAGAACTGAAAAATCGTGATGGTAAACGCCACTATATCGGTGTTCTAGATTTTCCTGGCTTTTTACAGCCGTCGTGTGACGTCAGCGGGACTAGGGCTTATCGACTGGCTGACGTCAAAGCGGCGGTTGCCGTGGAAACGCCGGTTTCTCCGCAGTTTTAATCGAAAAGTTCGAATTGGCCTAGGCCTAGACTTTGACATTAACGCTGATATCGCGAGTGCTTTTAGATAGGAACGTTCGATAATATGAAAGTTCATGAATAATATTCACGCGCGTGTTTTCACCGGTCTGCGGATTTTCCATGAACCGGAAGTTATTTTTGAAGTTTATCAAAAAAAATGACAATTATGACAGTTAACTTAAATATTTTTAAGAATGAACGAGTCGAATGATTTTAAAGCTTCTTTTTTTTCTAATTTGGGTTTGAATTTATAAAATTTGCCTTTATTTATTACCTATTTATTCAATTATTTGGTCTCTAAATGTTTAGAATTATAAATAAATTATAAAAGTAAACAGGGTTTTTCAAACAATTGACGAAAATACACTTTAAACTAAAAAAGAATATTCGCTCACCTGTTATTCTGTTGTGGAAAGCTGCTTAATTGTTCCAGAAACATCACTATAACGAACTAAACTAAGAACAACACCAAGAACTAAAACACTCAAACAAATCACTAAAGTCTAATCATAAAAATCTATTTAACCCCGGCGTCATAAACAAAACAATTCGCACTAGAAAACAATCGGTATCGATAACGTTTTTCGAAAGCTGGAGGGTGGAGGGGGAAATTTCCGCTTGCTGATAAAATACACCGTATCTGTTTTTTTGAGTTAAAATTCCGATCAGCTGACTATTCAGGCCAGGGTTGTATTCGCTCTTTGCATTTATTTCTAATGGCTCTATTTTGTTTATTATATTTTTTTTAGAAAAATGAAATCTGCGAATCGTTTTCAAATTATCCAAATAACTAGCACCCCCTAGAATTTAGTGCCTTAAGTTTGAGAACTCCCTGTATAATAGGCATTAAATAAAACAAATAGAGAGAAGCAAAGTTATATACTTGAGAAATACTCCAATACTAAAATAAAATTGTTAATAAACTACGAAACTTACATCGTTAAACCTTCGTAAAATTAACAAAATAGCAAAGATACAAAAAAAATTGTCAGAATACATTAAGCCATTCAATAAATACATAAAATTCGGAATATATATTTCAATTAATAAACATTTTATTGCGTATACTCTACTATAAACCTCTCCAAATAACATTTAGCAAAAAGCGTTCGAAAGCTACACTAATTTAATTAATTCTGAAACAGTGTGCGTGTAAAATCTATGTAATCCAAAGCTCCCTGGATGGGACGTTCCGTTTTCGGTTCTACGTAAGGCTTCATCCTCGCCACGCAATAATCCGCCATTTCTTTCGTAAGGTTCTACAACAAAAAAATATAATTATATAACAAATTTAAAATTAATGAAAAAAAAAACTTACCGCATATAATTCCTCCTTAGTCACGTAAGGACGATCTCCTGCCGTGATAGCTCGGAACGCCTTTTCGATTTCCTCCGAGCTTTGCACGTTTTCGGTTTCCTTGCTGATCATAAACGCCATGTACTCCTGCAAGGATACGTGCCCGTCTCTGTTAGGATCCACCACGTCTAGGATCGCATCGAACTCTGGATCCGGCTGCCCTTCCTCCACCATAGGCAGATCGTAACCCAACGCCCTCAAGCAACTCTTGAACTCCTGGTGGTTGAGTTTCCCCGATTTCTCCTTGTCGAAGTGTTTGAACATCATCGAGAATTCCTTCAAAGCGTCCTCGCTGACACCTATCGAAACACACATATATAAAAACGCGCTTTTTTAAACCATTAAAACGACTTACCGGATTGATTTCTGGCTTGGATTTGTTGCTCCAAGTTGTGTTGCATTCTCATACCCAACTGGTCGAGTTGGTCCCATTGCTGGGCCAGACCGACCGTCGAGTGCTCGGTGTATCTGTTGTCCAATATGAGGTGCTCCTCGAGGATGGCGCCCAGGTCTTCGATCTTCTTCAAGTCCGATCTTCGCGCGCGTACTTCCGTCGCTTTTCGCTTGGTCGCGTCGAGTTGTTGTTCCAGAGACCCCGAGCCCTCCATCATGGAGGTACTACAGCAAAAAAGGATTTGGTTTTACTATCGTTCGGAGTATAATTTGAGCATTTAATACACGTGCAAATGTTAATAATAAAATCGTCGTTCTCGTTGTATGTTAGATAAATATTAGTACAGGTTTAGTGAAAACCGTATAAACTTGATAGATGCAGCAAAATATTTAGAATTATTAATTCACTCTTTCGACAACACATTATTTACCCATCCCATCCTAAAATGCGATAACTGGAAATTCAAAAATTACATTTTTACACCGATAATTGTACGATCGAAGCATCAATCGAACATCGAACGAACTTACCGTGTCTCCGTCAACCACTGGTGGAAAGCGTTAGCGTGCTTGGCGAATTCCTTTCGCAACTTGTCGTTCTCCTCCTGCCGTTGCGCCTCCTTGTTCAACTCCACGTCCCGTTCGGCGATGATCTTCTGCAAATTCCTCCACGTTTCCTCCAAAGCCTCCATGTTGAACCACGTGTACGGGTTCGGTCCCACGTTGAACATCTTGATCTGCTTGTCCAACGCCGCCAAAGCCTCGAAATCGGCCTGGGCGCTCGAAAGGGAAGCCTAAACGAACAAAACCAGTAGCTAGTAATCTCTCTAAATCTTCGCTGTGATGTACTAAGCGAGCTCGCGCAGGAAGCGAGACGTCGTACTTACTTGGAATTGCGCGTGGGCTTCTTTGAGCGCGCGAATTTCCTCGATAGAATTGCAACGCACGGGATCGGTGAGATCCTCTTCGGCGTTTTCGAACCAGGAGTTGAAGGCGGACGCCCGCTTGGCGAACATGAGGAAGAGCTCTTCGATTTCCTTGAATTGTTCCTGCATGCGCAGAAGGCGTTGTTTGCGCGCGTCCGAATCGCTCAAAAGTTTCTGCCATCTGTCGAACAACAATCGTCAATTCACCGTTTTTTTTTTTCTACAGAAAGAAATTCTTACCTTGCAATAACCGCTTGGTGTCTGGTGATGATGGCTTGGGTTTGATCGTGATTGGAAGAAATCAATTGATCTTTAAGGGCAGTGATGTTTTGGATACCTTCGTGCTCGAAAGCAGTAAGACCTGAATAAAACGAACAACACTTAATATCTATTTACGAGCGCTTTGCGAAGTACCTACCGGCATCGAAAGTCTCCTGTTTGGTGAGCAACGTTTGCACCGAAGATAAATCCCTGCCGAATTCCTCGCTCTTCACGTGGCTCTCCTTGTCGGCTATCCAACTCTCCACGACGTCCGCCTTCCACATGAATTGCAAATAGGCGGAATTGTCGACCAGCTTGGCTTTGCGGCGACCGGCCAGGGCGGCCAAATGGTCGAGCTTAGTTTGCAATTGCTGGCACCGCTGGTTGATGCTGTCGGAGTGATGGTTGCCTTCGGCGACGAGCCGCTGCCCGTCGTCGCCGATGTCCCTGCACCGGTCCCGGTGCGCCTGGAAATCCGTCTCGAAAGCGTCGTGCTTCTTCAGCAACCCCTGCACGGCCGCCATCGTGTCTCCGTAGTCCTCGACGCCCAACAGCTGTTGCTTTTCGCTGATCCAGGCCTCCTCTTCTTCGACTTTCGCCAGGAATTGTTGGTAGGTCAACGACTCGTCGAGTTTTTGGCCCCTGGTGGCGGCCAGTTGCTTCAATTCCGCCCAGGCTTGGTTCAAAGCCTTGAGGCGCTGCTCGATCTCCGGCACGCCCAAGTTCGAAACGTCCATCAGCTTCTCTCCGGCTTCTTGGACGGCCTGAATGGCTGGTTCGTGCGAGGCCAATTCCGCCTCGAGCCGCTTGTGTTTCTTCTTCAGGTTTTGCACGCCCGTCAAGTCGCGTCCGTAATCGTCGGAGCCCACCAGGAGCTTCTTTTCCCTAGAAAAAAAACCATGATAATTAGTAAACAAAGCTAATGATTTTTGGAGGTGCTGTATTTACTTGATCCAAGATTCCTCGTCGGCGATGTCTCTGAAGAACTGGTGCAGAGTGTTGGCTTCGTTGAGCCTGGCTTGTCGGTGTGCTGCGAGGTTTTTGATGCGTTCGTATCTCGAATTGATGGAATCGCGTTTCTCTTGAATGGAGGCGGTGTCGAATTGGCCGCTTTTTATCAAAGAATCGGCTTGATCGTTCATATCTGAAATAATAATTCCGGTAAAACAAACTCGCTGGCAACGATTTAGGTGTACGAAACCTTTGATCCTGTCGTCGTGGTGCTGAATATCGGCCTCGACCAATTGGTGTTTCTTGATCAAATTCTGCACGGACGTCAAATCTTTACCGGCGTCCTCGCTGGTGAGCAAACTCTCGACCTCGCCCAGCCAAAAGTCCAGATCCTTGACGGCCGCGATGAAGGTCCTCTGCTTGTTGGCCTCCTTGAGCTTCAGCGATTTCTCGGTGGTTTTCTGCGTCAAAAACTCCCACTGATCGGCGATGGACTCCAACCGTTTCTGCACGGCCTCCTCCGAACCGGCGCATTGGTGTTTGTTGATCAAGTTGGCGCCGTTGGCTAACACCGCCTGGATGCGATCGGCGTTGGCGGCCAATTCGGCCTCGAACGCCTGGTGCTTTTGGTGCTTCGATTGGATGTTGGCCGGGTCCTTGTAGCTCTCCTCGGTGGCCAGTTGCAGCTTCTCGGCTATCCAGTTTTCGATTTCGTCGGCGTCCCGGGAGAATTGCTGCAGCGTTTGGCTCTCGCCTAGCTTCGATCGTTTCTCGATTAGGGCGTCTTTGAGGTGGCGCCATCGGTCCAAAACCTCAAAAAAAATCATATATTTAATACCGTATTTTTCGTAAATATGTGCTAAGAAAACTCACTTGGTTTCGTTTGTCGTCGATGGGTTTCGAAGCGTAATGCTCCCGTTCGATGAGCTGATCGGCGAGCATTTGCAACGCGGCGATTTTTTCCTCGTGAGCGTTGATGGCTTTGTCGAAATCTTCGTGTTTTTTGATCAAAGCTTCCACGTTGTCCCCGTTGCTGTCGACGTCGTCGGAGGCGAGGAAGGCCTCCCTGTCGGACATCCAGTTCTCGGCCTGTTCGCAGTCCCTTTAAATAACCAATTCGTCAGATAATTCACGCTATTTCAACGATTCAATGAAGGCGTACCTGTAGAAGAGATTGAGCTCCAGGTTTTGGTCTAATTGCAGCCGTCTGTCGATCCAGGCGCGTTCCAAATCGGCTCGAGCGGCGTTGAGTTGTTCCAGTTTCTCCTGGATCTCCGGGCTGGCGTAGTGATTGGAATTCAGCAATTGCTGGCCGAATTGTTCCAGAGCGTGGAACGTGCCGGCTCGGGCGTCGATTTCAGTGCGATGTTCCTATAAAGTAACATCGAATCAGACCAAGCCGGGCGGAAATTTACCGCGTCAAACTATCGATATACCGAATTAAATAAAACTTTATTAATGCAAATAATTTAACCGATTTGTTAAAAATAATAAAATTAAATGAAATGAAGGATTGTTGCTGAAAGAGAAAGATTGCGAGTTGTCCTGACTCCGTTGTTAACTGGAAGAAATGTCGATTAAATAAAATTAAAAGAAATGTCAAAAAGGTATCGAAATGTAGTCTATTCCAAAAGCGTTAATGAGACAAGTTAATGGAAAATAAAATTATGTACCAAAATAAACAATTCTCGACATTAATTGGAATACGACCATTAAATTACACGATCACCACCACATTTAAACTGTATTAGATACTTTCAATAGATTTATACTGTTCAAAAACAAAGCCATAATGCTATAAAATTAAAATTGTAGCATTGAAAGTACCTTCATAACAAATAAAGCATGGATTTATAGATGCAAAACTCTTGTGATAACTAACAACAGATTTTTTTACTATTCAGTCATTTAAATTAAATATAACCATTTGAAATTTGCGAGTTTTGCATCTATATTACCTACGTTGCTTCTATTAAAAACCAAGCTTGTACGATTTGAATTTAGTTAGCTGCAAAACACACCATAACCACAAGTAACTACCTGAGGAGCACGAACGCCATACATTGCATCTATTTCTGCCTTGTAGTTCTAAAAATCGAGTAAGCACATGAAAAAAATCCGAACAATTTTTTTAACATAAATATTTCCACTGTTATTTAAAACAAAACAACCAATGATTCTAACTCATCGAATACAAAAGAGAGCAAAAGGAACAAAAACGTCCACGGAATACTTAAAATTTTGCAATTTTTTAAACAACAATCTCCTTTCGCCGTCTTATTACTCGACGCTTTAAGCCTAGTGCATGCAAATTTCACTTATTAAAACATTTAACGATATCCTAACATTTGCAAACACCATGCTTAAAGATTGATCCAACAAATCTAACCGATTTGAACCAACAAAAAAAAATCATTTTACCTGGTGACGTTCGATGAGCGCCTCGGCGCCGGTCACATCGTTGGCCAATTCCTCCGAACTGACCAATCCCAACATGGAATTGATCCAAGCCAGAAGATCCCGGTGATCGTTGAGGAACCTCTGCAGATCGTACGAATCGAGCAGCTTCTCCTTGCGACTGTTCGCTTTAGCCGTCAATTGCGTCCACAGCTTCGTGATTTCCTCCTGCTTGATCCTGGTCTGTTCGGCGGACTCCGGGTGAGTTTGTACCAGACGGTTCGCCGTATCGTCCAATTGCTTTATCTACAAACATCGTTCGAGTTATACTATTGTTCTTATTACTAACTACAAATATTTACTTTATCTCCCAAAGCAGCTAGGTCTCTCTCCAAACCCTCGTGTTTCCTCTGCAACGCTTGCACGCTTCTCAAATCTTTACCTAAATCGTCGTTATTCAAAGCCTCGTCTTTCTCGTTGATCCAATCGATCGTCTCGTCTACGTCTCTGTGGAATCTAAAAGCGAACACATCGTTTAACAAAACGATTAACGCGCGCAGGTGTACGATTACCTTTGAACTTCGTGAGCGGAGCCCAGCTGACTGGCCCGCTCGGAGGTCAGCTGCTGCAAGCTGGTCCACTTGTTGTTCAAATCGTGCATTTGAGTTTGGATCTTCAGCGCCGCCTCCGTTTGGCCCAGCGACACCAGTTGCATGGCGACCTCGTTCATTTGGGCCAGGCGCACCTCGTTCGCCTTCAAATCGGTCTGGAAATCGTCGAATTTCTTCTGCAGCACCTCCACTTGCTCTAGGTCTTCGCCGACGTCCTGCACTTGCGCGTGCATTTCCTTATCTACGCAATGAAAAATCCATATAAACACCTATTAACAATCCTATTAGATGTCTTGCCTTTGATCCATCCGGCCAGTTCGGCCGCCTCTCTGACCAACACGTAAGCCTTGACGGTTTCGTCGAGTTTGTTGCGCCTCTCGTTGGCCAGCTGCAGGAGCCTGTCATACTGCTGGTTGATCTGGTTCTGTCTGGCGGAGATGGAACTGCTGTCTAGCAGGTTCTGTTGGGATGCGGTGAGACCGGCGTCGACTTTTTTCACGTACGCGGCCGGTACGAAACCTTGACGATCGTGTATTTCGACCTTCCACCAATCCTGCAACGAATAATCGCGTTGGAAATTGCCGTTAGATTCGTTCGTAACGCTCACGGATGGATCGGAATCGGTATTATTTTTGCTCTTAAATTTAAATATACTGCACACGAAGAGTTCTAAGAGCCAAAACGTAACCACCATCACTTTTTCACGAATGTATCGTGCTCGTATCAACGATGTTCCTCATATCACTGACACGCCTTATCAGACAACAAACATGATAGCCGCATTTTTTGAAGGTCAAGCCTTGTAACATTTGCATAATCACAAATAATTAACTCGTATTCGAATACTTACTTTATTATTGGAATTTAACAGATGCAGTAAATCTCCTTTCTTCATGGAAACCTCTCTGGCCGATTTTTCGGTGTAATCGTACAAAGCTTGCACCGTTTCCCTGCCGGTAACATCCACAACCGGTGGTTCTTGTTGCTTTAAAAAAAATCATTAATATAACGATGATACGAAATGTTTAAAGCTTACTCTGCAGCTTCGAGCTTGTTCTTTCAACCCTTCGATGGTGTTTCCGAAAGCCGCCAAATCGCTCATCAAAGCTTCGTGTTTCTTGAGGAGGGCCTCCGATGAATCCTCGTCTTTGCCGTAATCCGTGTTGCTCACGATGGGTTCTTTTTCTTTCATCCAAGATTCGGCTTCGTTGGCATCGGCGTAGTACTGATGGGCCTGCAGGGAGTCCTCCAGGTCTTGTTTACGCTGCAAAAAATCGAATTAAATTATTTACTAAACAATTTTGATTGGTTTAGCGTACTTGATTCGCTTTTTCCTTCAGCGATTCCCAGTGATCGTTCAGAGTGTTGACCCTGTTTCTGATCTCGTCCATTGCGAAGTGCTCGTCTTCCATCATCTGTTTACCGGCATCGATGACGGCCCCGATGCGACCTTCGTGATTGTTAATTTCCGCCAAAACAGCTTGGTGTTTCTTGATTAAATTCTGAACACCGATCAAATCGCGTCCTGCAAAAGTGTTCATTCGTAAACAAACGTTACTAAAATATTAATAAGGCGATCGAATACCTCTGTTCGTGCTGGCAGCCACAGGTTCCTTTTCCCTTATCCAAGCTTCCTCGTCTTCGACGTCTCTAAACAGCTGTTGTACTTGCAGCGAATCCAGCAATCTTTGCTTCCTCACCGCCATTGGCGTTTGCAAAGCCGCGTACCTGTCGGTCAGTATTTTCTGTTTGTGAGCGATGTTATCGGCGTCGAAATGTCCCCTTTCGACGAACTGATGAGCGGCAGACGTGATGCCTTCGATTCTGTCCTGGTGCGAGGCCACGTCGGCTTCTAATAGAGCGTGTTTCTTCTGCAAATTCTGCACCGACGTTAAATCTTTGCCGTAATCCTCCGACATTAATTGCCCTTCGATTTCGGATAGCCACAGCTCGATGTCCTCGATGGTCCTGTTGAATTGCTGCTGTTGGCTGGCTTCCTGCAATTTCGAGTTCTTTTTGTCGGTGGATTGCACTAGGGTCTCCCAGAGATTGACGATTTCTTCCATGCGCGATTGAATGCGAGCTACAAATGTAAACTGTTAGAATACCGCATTGAAAGACAGATTTAGTAACGTACGAGCAGCGTAATGATCCGCTTCGATCAATTCCTGTCCAGTGGAAGTGATATCCTCCATCCTGGACTTGTTAGCGTTGAGTTCCTGCTCGAAATTCTGATGTTTCTGCACTTTTCCACCCAAGTTCGTCGGGTCTAAGTAACTTTCGTCGGTGGCGAATTTCAGTTTCTCGTTAATCCAACCCTTAGTTTCGTCGCAATCGCGCTCGAACTGCTGAAGTTTGTAGGCGTCTTCCAGAGTCTCCCTGCGAATGCTGGATTTCTCCTTCAAAGCCTTGCGGCGTTCCAAAAGCTGCGAAATTGACGGGGATTATTGAGGTTACGGGAAGCCTAATTGTGATTATTACCATGGCGCGTCTTTGAGCCACATCATCGGCAGCGTAATGTTCGCCGTCGATTAACTTCGTGGCGAATTCGTCGAGCGCCTTGATTTTCTCCTCCTGTGCGGCGAGGGATTTCTCGAAATCCTCGTGCTTTTTAATCAGAGCTTCGACGGAATCCAAGGAGTCCCCGAGATCTTCGTTGGCCAAAAACGCTTCTTGCTTGGCCATCCAAGTATCGGCTTGTTCAGTGTCTCTGTAGAACAACTGCAAATCCATGCACTGTTCGTACAAAATCCTTCTCTCGTCCCACAAAGCTAGAAAATATATAAAACAATTAATACATCGATTACAACAAACGTTAATTTATTCATACCAATCAACGATTTCTTATCGGAATCGAGCATAGACAGCTTCTCTTTGACCTCATCGCTGGCGTAATGGCCTTTGTCCAACAGCTGCTGGCCAGCTTCGGTGGTGGTTCTGAAGCTGTCCTCTCTGGCGTCGATTTCTCCTCTGTGCTCTTGGTGGCGTTCGAGCAACGCCTCGGCGCCGGCGACGTCCTTGGCCAACTCGTCGGCGGATATGATCGCCTTCATGTCGTTGATCCAAGACACCAAATCGCGAAAATCGGCCAGGAAACGGTGCAAAGCATAGGATTCTTCGAGTTTCTCCCGACGTTCCTTCGCCTTTTCGGTCAAACTGTGCCAGTAATCCTCGATTTCCGCCCGCTTGTTTTGGATAACGTCGCCGTGGTCGTTGTGGATGTCGCCTAATCTGTCGGCCTCTTTGCCCAAAGTGGAAACTTTGTCTTCCAGCGCGGCCAGATCTCTTTCCACGCCTTCGTGTTTACGTTGAAGAGCTTGCACGCTGGCCAAGTCCCTTCCGTAGTCGTCGGATGATAAAACCACGTCTTTCTCGGCTATCCACGCTACAGTTTCGTCGGCGTCTCGATTAAAACGCTGTATTTCGTGAGCTCCGTAGAGCTTATCCTGCCTCATCAGTGTCATCTGCTTGAGGCGTTGCCAAGCGTTGTTCAATTCCTCCTTTCTAAAGACGATTTGGTCCCTTTCCGGGTGGCCGTCTTGCAGTAGTTTATCGGCCAGCTCGTTGACTTCGGTTACGCGGTATTCTTGGGAGGCCATGTCCTTTTGGAACTCGTCGAATTTGCGCTGGAGGACTTCTACGTGCTCCAGGTCGTGGCCGAACTCTTCCGTGGAGAGGAACGTGCTCTTCTCGTTGATCCAGAACATGACTTCGTCGCAGTGCCGGATGAACTGCACCAGCACGAGCGCTTGTTGCAGCTTGGTGCCTTTCTCGGCTAGTTTGGAGAGCAGCTGTTCCCATAATCTGTGCAGTTCCTCTGGAATACGGTACGATTCATAAATAATTTCGTTACATCGAGACAAGTAAAACTCTTACCTAATCTCTTCCTGATCGTTTCGCTTTCGTAGTGGTTTTGGTTGATCATTTCTCGTCCGGTGTTGTCCAACACGACGATGGCGTTGCTGTGTGCAGCTACTTCGGCTTCGAAGGCTTGGTGTTTTTGGATCTTTGCCTGCAAATTGGTGGGGTCCTTGTAGCTTTCGTCGGAAGCCGCCTGCAGTTTCTCCAAGATCCATGACTCGAGCTCGTCGGCGTCGCGCTTGAAGTACTGGAAACGACGGGAGTCCTCGAGCTTTTCTCTCTTTGCCCTGGCGTCGGCTTTGAAGTTGTCGTAGCGGGTCAAGACTTCCTGGCGACGCTCCTGGATGTCTTCGGCCGTTTCCAGGATTTTCACCTCCTTCGGAGGGGGTATTTGGTCCATGTTCGGGTCGGTTTTATGCGGATCGTTAAATCATACAAACCTGCGAAATATCATGAATTATCTCACACGAACTGATTAAATAATTTCTGGTATCTTATCAGGTAGGAAAGATTTGAAATATCTGACTAGAAATTAGTAATTCGCTACAGTTAAAAATATGTTATCTGTAGTTTTGAAAATGTAGATATTTAATAGTAGATGATGCATCGAAAACGTTCCATAATAACCTTATGTGTATAAATAGCTATTACAGTTACATTCATGTTGAGCTTATGTAATTCAAAATAAAACACCGACCTTGGTTGGCTTTGTATTGACTCAGAATTTAATGAAGTTTAATGAACTACGTTTTGTTTCAAATGATGGTTTGTACCTCTCGGGTTAGTATTTTTAATTATTAGGTACATCCTTTTTTATATCAGTCTATGGTATTTTGAAGGATATAATTTGCTATTCATGATTAATATTTTCTGTTATTAGGTACATGAAATATTTTTGTTAAAATACCAATGTATCATCAATTGCTCAAATTATTTGCCTTTAACTTATAACTACATAAGTACATCGAAAAATTCATTTTAAAATAATTGCATGAAAGATTTCCAATGTTTATAAAGAACCCTCATAAACATTTAGCATTCATAAATGTTTAGATTTAATTTACATATACATCTGCTATTTCAACTGAAAGCCAACTTTCTTATGTTTAAGATATTTCCTTTTAAATAACTTCTTTATTTACCTTAAAAATATAACCAATATGTAATTAGAAATGCTATTAACTCTTATCATTCAAATTGATTATACTATTACAAATTATCCCAGTCACAAACTAAACTATAAAACACCTAAATTACTCAATAAAGATAATTTAAAGAATCACCTATAACTTTGTAAAGTGTATAAGTACTTCATAAATATACTAAAGGCTCTTTGCATATAAATACATCACTCAAATACTCGATTTAAAGTAGTTTAATCTAATTGAATATTGTACTAATCAATTTTTATTTGAGCGACCTTTTTCCGGACGAATGTTTAAATGGGGTGTGGTAGAAGCTGTACTCTCGTCAAAATTGACATTTTAGAATAGAAAATAGTGCTTTCGGGTTACTCACGTTTGTTTTCGTTATCAATTCACAAAAAAAGGGCACAACACAATGTTTTAAGGGGGGTTCTATCGAATTATTTGTCGGATATTCGCAAAAATGGCACCACCTCAACGTTCGTGATCTATCAAATCAAATCAACCTTTTTTTTAATCGATGACGTCATGACCTAGTATGCCGGTGCAGCGACATTGTCACATCTTAAAAATATTTAGTAGATTAGTGAAATGTGAAATTAAACTGCTTTTAGTGCTTTATAATTTTGTTAAATGGTTAAATGGTGGTAGTGTTTTAACTGTACAACAAAGTTGTAAACCAAATAACACTGGCGTTACTATTCAATGCGAATCTAGTTATAAATATGTGGATTTATTAGGGTCGACCAATTTTTTTTAAGTTTGATATGGCAACATTGTGGTACTGCGAAACCGCAATGCGCAAGTTACAATCGATGTTGTTATATCTGCCGAACACAATATTATATTACAATTATTTAATACTTTTAAACAAACTCGACAACTTTTAAAACGATAAATAATAGCCAAAATCAATAAATCATCTAGTTTTATTAATTATTATAAAAATATCTGGAACACTATTGGTTGTTTTTTTTTGACATATGACAAATGACAAAAGCTTGACATAACTGACGTAAATGACGTTTAATAGCGTAGCATTCCAAATATTTGACAATACTTTGAACCATTATTTTTATTATTATAAAAAACGAAAATAAACTGCAATCGTCACCAAATTGAAATAACGATGGACTACATATGCAAAGAGTGCAACAAGAGGTTTGCGATGGAAAGAAACTACAATAAACACATGTTGAATTTCCACAAAATAACGCCAGACTCTTTGTCATATGATGATAAAATTGGCATTCGCAAATGCTGCGAATGCAGCAGTTCGCACAAACTAATACAAGATTTGATTTACCACTTAGAGAGCGTTCACAATGTTTTAATCGAAGAGGAGAATCTGACCTTTAAAAATGAGGCTGGTAAGTTGAGCTTGCGATGTTCTGGTAACGAAGTAACCTACTTTCTATGTCCATTTAAGAGAATCAATTTAGCTTTGGTTATTTTAAGATTTTGGCAAATGGAAGCGTAAAGTGGAGCAGGAAGACTCTTGTAAGTACGTCCCGTTCGAAGAGGACGTGAAACATGAAATTGGAGTTTCGAACTACGCTTGCAATAAGAAAGTATCTCAATATAACTGTTCCTGCATCAGCAACATTAAAGTGGTAACAGGCCGAAGGGGCAATCTTTCTGCTGTGAGAGTCAAAACACATTACGGGCATGAGATTAAAAGTAAACCCGGAAGGAAACCTAAAATAGTTTCTACCTTGAAAAATAAGTATGTAAAATATTCATACTATTATCAGTAACTATAAAAATCATTCTATTTTAGAGTACCTGAAATTTATGATATTAAATGCGAGGAGGAGAAAATGGACGAGGAGCCGTTCGAAAACGAAAACAACACAATTAACACCCACTTTAACTTGAAAAACAGCATTAAAGCGAAGCTTAACATCGTTTCGCTGAACATAGACACGTTGAACAATCAAAAACTGGTCAAATTGAACTCTAGCCTGGACTCGATGTGCAGTGATTTAGGGTTATCGACGAAAACTGAAAATGTCTTTGGACAAATCATTATATCTAATAACTCTATGTTCGATCACAATTATTGGTAGAATTTAGGAAGTAATGTAAAATTCGATAGTTAAGGAAGATTATTTGTAACGAGCAGAGCTTTGAACCAGAACTGATTCAGAAGAATTTAATTACGAAGATACGATAGAAGTGAAATTTGGAAAACGCTGTATATAAATAGCCTAAAAAAACCCATAATTTATATTGATATGAAACTGAGTGTTCAAAGCCCTGGTATAATAATAATATTAGATGTTCATATTTACTGAATAAATACTTACAGATTTGTATAATTTTCATTGAAATAGTTCAAAAGTATAACTCCATTGACAATAATCTTTGTGACCACGTTCATATTCAATAAAAGTCCCAAAAAAATTATCAGTGACATCTGTCAAATATGTCACTGTCAATTGTCGTTCATAAAAGTCTTGTCGATGGTGGAGGGTGAAAGGTTGGGTTTTTTTACCAATTTCGCTTTTAAATCGACTTCAAAATTTATGTAGCACGTACATTTTTATATATAAATAGGTTTTTAACCATTTAGATTTAGGTCATACGGAAAATGATTGATGTGAGTCCACCGAATCGCCTAAACGATGAGGTTAGTACAAGAACAATTACTAATTTTACTTTCTTATTTAAATTTGTTTTGGGATTGTACTCGTTATAAATTTAAGATTATAGTCCATTAATTCTAATTACCATAAATTCCAAATTACTCTAAACTTACTATAACCAATAAATTTGACGAGCATAAATCTTGTACACAGGCAATTCACCTCAATTACAACGTTCTGTTTTATTTCTAGTATATTATAAACAATAATATAGCGTCAATTTACAACCAGAGACCGTTTTACCCAACCCATGACACCAAAACCATGCATGAGATCATACCAGGAGTGTACTTAGGCCCTTTCACCGCAGCCCAAAGGAACATCCTCCTCGAGAACGGCATTAATCACGTAATTTGCGTTCGACAGGAGTACGAAGCGCACTTCCAACCGATAAGAAACGACCCCGCTATCGAATGCCTCACCTTAAACATCGCCGATAATGTAACAGAGAACATCATAAGGTTCTTTCCCCGAGTCAGGCAATTCATAGACGAAGCCCTATCTAACAATTGCAAGGTTTTGGTGCACGGAAACAAAGGCAACTCGAGGAGCGCCACGCTCGTTTTGGCTTACATAATGGAGAAATTCGGTCTCAGCTCGAGGTAACATACAAACGATCCCCGAATTCGTATCGAGTATTTAAATTGTTTATTGTAGCGAAGCGCTGCAACTGGTGAAGGCCAAGAGGGCTACGGTGGATCCGAACGAGGGTTTCAGGGCGCAGCTCGTCGAGTATGAGCCCATATACAAAGCGCGCCAAATTCTGGCTAACGGAGAGACCTCTTGCGACTCGAGATCCAAGAGGAAATGCGAACAGTTAACCGAAACGGTGGATTACAATGTTATTCAAAGGCCCCCGACGCCCGACACGGACATCGCTAGTGAAACGGGTGTAAGGACGTGTGAGGATTTTTCGGATCACCTTTATAGGCTTCTAAGGGGCAGCTAAAGTTGTTGAATAACGTGCGAAGGATTCGTTTGCGTAAGAATTACTGTATTTTTGTTGTCAAAACTCGTTACAGAGTTTTTACTAACTGATTAATTGCATTTTGTAGCTTGTATTTAGAAGGATCAGAATGGTAAATATGGTAATTTCGACTGAATTTTAAATTAAACTATAAGAATGTAAGTTCAGCCTTATGATGTTAAGATTTTATGTTATTTTAACCTGTAGGTTAATGGGCATTAAATACGAAATAACCAATTTGATCGCTAACTTATAAGGTTGTAATAACATAAAGTAGTAAAACATAAGTTTAATTGCTAGATTATACTCAAGAAAAGAAAATTTTCTTTATTATAAAGAACTTTTATAGAGAATATAAAGTGTTATGAATGGTTTTTAATATAAGAAGAGTATATCTACCTACCAATGTATTAAAAATTAATACTATAATAGTATATATGCCAGTTTTATATGAAAATAATAATTTTAACTCTTAAATATTACTGCCACAGTGTTAGTACCAAGTCCGGCTTATTCTTGTAACAAGTATTTTTTTAATGAAATTAATTTTAAATATTATTTTAGTTGAGCTTGCTTTTATTTTACGTTAAATTTTGTTAATAAAAATAAGTCGTGTGTATAGAAAACCCCAAATTAAATTTTAGGAAGGATTTTACGTTAAATGGGACATTTTTTGATTGTGCATTTCGAGTTTATCGTACTAATTAAGAGTTATTGTTTTTTTTTATTGTAATTGTAAATATTAGTGCCTCGTGTAAAAAGATATAATTAAGATGTTAAGAAAGAAATCTATTTTTGTATCTTTGTAATTTGTTGTTTTGTTTCTTGTAATATAGTTAAATGTTTACAAAAAATCTCATATTTTTGTTTCCTAGAAATTAAAGGAGATGGAAAAAAATCAAATATCGATTATGCATTCTATTGTAATAAATTGCATATTGAAAGATCTACATAATTAAACATTTATGTACAAATTTCGTCACTTTAAATGGTTTAAATATACCACAGTAGTTACATAGTTTTTTTATTAGAAGACTCGTCGGTTTTTAAACTGGACTAGCTATATTTATTTATAAAGTATAATTAATATTGTTGAAAAAATTGAGTTAATTACTCCACAATGCACATAAGAAACCCTTCGAGTACTTTGTGAAATAAGCAAAATCTTTTTTATACAAACGTGAATAATCATTTTACTTAAAATCAATACGAATTATAAAATTAACAACTATCGCTTGGAATAAAAAAAGCTAATCCTGTGTTTTGATTAAGATATGTTTACCCTTGCTATAATGATAGTACAGTCAAAGAAAATTAACCAAGACATGACAAATCGAATTTTGGCTAGAATCTAATTATTCACATCCTTAAAATAAATAAATAAAAAAAACATAACAACTAGTTCATTGCTTTGCTCGATTACTTCCAATCGATCAATCTCTTACTTCTCTTTGAGTGACAATTCCAATATTTCCGCCAGCAACTTTTGGTCCTCCATCCGCTCGGCCTCCTCCCGCTGTCTCTTCCGCTCCTCCTCCTTCTGGGACAGGAGCACCGCCAAGTGCAGGTCCGAGTCCGCATCGGGGCTCTCCCCGTACATTTGCGGCGCCAGATTCGCCTCGCCGCCGGTCTCGTCCCGCTGGCAGAGCTCTAAACTGGCTTGGATCGCTCTACAATAGTAAGAACATTCTAGCAATACGAAACAAGCGGTGCGCCGAAGCTTAATAACTGCACAAAAAGTAATGGAGAGGAGTACGATGTGAGATATAATAGGATATATGAATAGAAATAAGTCGTTAGAACTCAAGGCAGTTTTCAGTTGCTGAAAAGATTTAATATTTTTGGAAAAAAATTAAATAAAGTCGTATTCCTCTCCATTAAAAAGCTTTTTAGATGATGAGATTAAAAGTGGGGAGAAACAAGCAATAATAATCTTCAAACTCGAACGTTGGGCCATCGTAGGTTTATTAAAATTAGCTATTTGTTGGGACAAGTCATAACGAATTTTTTCTAGCCAAGGCTTTATTCTTATTAGCTACTAGGCTTGTCGGTTCTGGTGTTAGGGTTAATCGATGTCTTGAAAAGAAAATAATTTTGTGCTAAACAAATTTGTCGCTAAACGATTTTTGGTTTGTTACCTTTGCAGCTGCCTTTCTTCTTCTCCCATGAAATCCGGCGTTTTCTGTCCGGAAGGTTTCTGCGTCTTCAACGCCTCCCATATATCAATCTAAACAAAAAAAATGTTATCGATAAATTCTCCAGTACTTAACGATATAATTACTTCTTCTTTTTCTGTGCCAGAGTCGATGAGACTCTGTTGAATAGCGAACTGCAACAAATCGTCTTCTTCTTCAGTACTAAATTGCCTTCGACCATCCAGACCTATATTTTTAATAATATTAGTATGTTCTTTAACGAAAATTGCAATAAACTTACTTATATGTACGTATCCCGAAGGACATTTAAACAAATTCTCGTCTAAAACACACGTGAGTCGATTCTCCTCCTGTACTCTCGCGACTTTCTCCACATCCTGGTCTGTACCAAAGATATTCCCGAACGTTATCCTTGCATTTAAAATATGGAACAAGGGAATTTCTAAAAACAATTACAAGATAATAATTAACAAGAAAATGCAATAAAATATTAACTCAATACATACCTATTTTAACCGGAAATCCGGAAGGTAACTGCATTTGAATAAAATCTTTAAGCTTAGCGAAATGCGTACTAGATATAGCCATAAGATCGACAATAGGAAGAATTTGTTCGGGAAGAGACAGTGGGTAGTTTTCGCACAACCACAAATTCGCCTTGAATTTCTGCACTTTAATACTCATCTCCTTCGGCCGGCCGATATCACGTTTCTGAGCATCGAGATCCACGTTTCTATCGAAATATTCCTCGGGCGTTATGTTGCAAGGGTTACTCGAATTGGTAAATTCTTCCTGAAAACCGTACGATTACAAATTACATCGAAAATGGTGCGGGATTGCAATGAGTTACGTTTTGAAGGAGCGAAGCCGCCTGACTCTCCGTAACCTCCGCTATACCCAGGAAATTCTGCAAGGGGTTCTTTTGGTTTTTACAGCGCGCCTTATCAGTCTCGGTCAGGTGCTCGGTTCTCGTTTTCGTCACTAATTCTACGTTCGACGCGCTAAATACTTTGCATTCGTAGGTATTTACGATTTCAGTCTTGTCCGATCGCCAGCCCCACATTCCGGCTTTGTTCCTGGAAAGAAACGCAATATAACTCAAAAGGAATTTTGTTTATTTCATATATTATATTACCTTTCGAAACTAATTTTTTCCGTATCTACGTAAGTTGTAACAATAGGCGTTGTTAGTCGTTGAGAAACGGATTCTTCGTTTGGTAATAAAACGCTGAGGGAATCTTCAGTGGTCCTCATTTGCTCGCAGTAAACCTGCTGAAGATCGTGATCGATTTCCATCATAATAGCACCATCATCTAAAGAAATGAATGAGTAATAAATTATAAAATTCCAATTTAATAAGTCCTTTGAGCTATTGGTACGAATCAAGCATATGATATAGCCTACAGAAAAGGCCAATTGAAGGGCTATCGTTCAAACACTATACAAAGCGTTTAAAATGTACTTGTACTGGCCTCGGCTACGAATAATTACCGGGTTTGACAAACGTCTTCAAACTGAAAACGTAACTTCTTTGTCCCTTAATTGGTGTACAAATTTGAATGGCTTTAATGTATAAGAAATCATAATTTTATAACAGCTCTTTCGAATTCAAAATCCACTTACTTTGTCCCTGAAATATGTAGCTTCTGTTCCCCCTTTGCCAACTGGTGTGATCGAAGCCCAACAATGTAGTGTCTATCCTCACACTGGAGCCTTGTTTGTAAACCTTATAGGTATCACTAGGACACATTCTGGACACTAAAGGTACTAAAACATATAGCGCAACATTAATTCCGCATTCCTGATTGAATGAATCGGGTAATTATTACCCCAACTAGTAAATTCCCATTTCATTTCAACGTAGAAATCCGGGGCCTCTTTCAGTCGCTGCAGCAGCTCGGGAATGCCCGCCATTCTGTTGGTATATCTTTGGAAATCCCTGCTTTCCAGAACAATTTGCACCAATTCCGGATCGCCAGTGGCCACCGCCTCCTGAACCACTAAACATTAAAAATATTTCAAATTTTGAAAGTTAATAGTAACCTTTGTATGATAAGTATTATAAAGTATCGCATACGATTATAAATACAAAAAGAAATCCTATAATAACTCAAGCATTGTTACTTAAAGAAGCCTGAAATACGTATCTAAATAAATTGATCCAATAATGTTCGATGGTCTTGGAAATAATTCAATTAACCTTAAACTAACCTGTCCAACCGTGTAAATTTTCGCAATTTACGTTGGCCTCATGATTTAATAAAGTTCTTGTCGACTCCAAGTGGCCTAATGTAACTGCTAACATTAATGGGGTTCTGCCCCTTACGTCCCTTTTCTCTTTATCAATCTGTAAAAAATAAATTTATTGTAGTTTTACGATATAAATTGTTGTTTACATTCAATAATTATTTACCTCTTTGGATGTCAGAAGTTCTCCCAATGTTTTGAAGTCGTTATTCCATACGCACCAATGTAGAGGATATTCGGACATTATAAATGCTTCGGTAACCATTTTCGGTAGTTTGTTGCAATTTGATAAACACTAATTTTGTCAACTTTGATTACTTAAAAAATTTAACATTACTTTATTACAAAAATCGTACTTTACTATCTATGGAAATTTTTATTACTCATATATTTACAATCAGACATGTTTATTTGTGTGTCACTTCGTCTTGGTATGACAGCGATGTCAAATGCCAAAGCGTATGTCAAAAGAAATTATTTGCGTTTCCTTTTCTGACAGTATGAATTAATAAAGGATGTCAATATTGTAAGTTGGTTGGATATACTGATTGCAGCGTTGCCATATTTTTTGTAGTGTAGCTATTAATTTGTGAATTTTTATTGATTTTGTTGTCGATAAATGGTGATTTTTTATTGAATTTTGCAATAAATTATTTCAATTATTATCTTCACTAGAAATCGTATATTTTTTCTTTGTAACTACTAATGGGATTTTACTATGTAGCAGCACTGTAAAATGTAAAAAGACAGGATTGGATTTAAAAATTTTTTTAAAATGAGATGAAACAAATTACACATAAAATTTATTTATGCAAGCTGTACATGTCCATACAAATATAAAACATTACAAAAAGAATTTATCAATTACTAAAAAAGTACGCGTATAGCAAAATAGCATTTTGCAAAATCACATTTACAAAAATACTGACAACAATTTTCAGCATAAAGTTTTGGGTTATCACTTCATATTATACATACATTATCACTAAATAAAAAAAATCAACCTAAAACAGTGCAAATGTTATTTTTCGTTTTCAATTAATTATTGTAGTTTGGATTTGTAAATTTTCAGACTTCTTTAGCACCATTAGCAACATGGAAATTCTGACACTTTAATTAGTATAATTAGAACAAATTAGCACAATCCTATTTCTTCTAAATTATTGTGCACAAATTCAGATTAGGAACATTTACGTGAATTAAATACGAATTAAAACACCGCTTAAGAAAGCATCAACAAGAGGTAGATTTCATAAATAGGACACCGGCTAATTTTCCTGATCTTAAGTGCACACACATCTACTAAAAAAATCAAAAGCTACAATGACAACAATGTGAATTATTAAAGCACATTAATCGTTTTCAGCAAAATACACATATTGAGTCAAAAACATTGACTCGCAAGACAACAATCGACTCGCTGTAATTTTTGAATCCATACATTTCAGATTCGTTTATATAGCAAAAAAGGCGATTTATAAATATAAATGTACAACATATAGGTAACACAAACAACGTATTTATAAAATTAACAACAAATTTAACATTTTGGACCATACGTAGGTAATTGACCGTAACATTCTCCTCAAACATCCTCCATTCCATTACAAACTGAAAACAAGACAAAAATTGATCATTAATAACTCAAAGAGGAAAAAAATATTTATGATGTACATAAATAGTGATTTGAAGAACAAAAAGAATCAACCGTAGTGGATTTATCATCGAATTATAGTCTTACTTTATTATTTTTTGGAGAACAATCCGCCCCCGAATATGTCCTTGGCGGCGTCGGCGACTTCGCCTAAACCGGCCTGTGCTCGTTTGTTGCTATCATCAGCCTCCTGCTTCAGGTCGTGCTTCGCCTTCTCCAAGAAGTTCGCCGTATCGTGGAACTTGTTGTCGAAGAACTTCCCAGTTTCGCTCAATTTGTTGTCAACGCTGTGGCCGAAGTCGCTCAAACCGCTCTAAAAAATAAAACAATAAAACATAAGATCTATGAAATCTAGTAGAACTCGTGAAACTCCTCATAACTTGCGAACGAACAAATTAAAAAGGTTGTTATAGACTTACTTCGATTTCTTGCTTCTTCTGATTGGCCAAGTCGTGTGCGTTTTTCTTAGTGTTATCCAAAGCATCCTTTACGTTGTTACCGGCTTCAGTTAATTTATTCTCAGCAGCGTGCAGACCAGAATTAATATCGTCTTTTCCCTTTTGGAAAGCCTGAGCAGATTTATCTGGAAACGACATATTTACCATCAAACACCCGTTACTCTTCTAAGCGTTCGAACTTCAACTTACCGTGCACAGCTTGCCCGACATCTTTAACGTTCTGGGCGAGTTGTTTCGTTTTATTTTCGGCATTTTCGGCGGCTTCGTGCATTTTGTTGTCGACGTTCCTCGCCAGTTTCTGCGCCCCTTCGGCCGTTTCGTGCGCAACGTGCTGCGCTCCCTCTACCAATTCTTGTCTCTTGGCTTCGGCTGCTTCGGCGGCTTCCTTTGCTTTGTTATCAACGTTCCTAGCGAAGTTTTGTACGCCTTGTACGCTTTCTTGTGCAGCATGTTTAGCTCCAGATAATAGCTCTTGTTTCTTAGCTTCGGCTGCATCGGCAGCTTCCTTTGCTTTGTTATCAACGTTCCTAGCGAAGTTTTGTACGCCTTGTACGCTTTCTTGTGCAGCATGTTTAGCTCCAGATAATAGCTCTTGTTTCTTAGCTTCGGCTGCATCGGCAGCTTCCTTTGCTTTGTTATCAACGTTCCTAGCGAAGTTTTGTACGCCTTGTACGCTCTCTTGTGCAGCGTGCTTAGCGCCAGATATTAGTTGTTCCTTTTTAGCGTCGGCTGCTTCGGCAGCTTCTTTGATTTTGTTGTCTACGTTTCTAGCGGCATTTTTGGCTCCTTCTTTAGCATTCTCTACTGCGCTATCAATTCTTTGGGCGGCGTTTTGCGCTGCATTTTCGGCGCCTTGTGCAGTTTCTTTCAATTTACCATCGACAGCTTTGGCAATGTTCTGAGCTCCGTGCACGGCTTCTTGCGCTGCATTTTGCGCACCCGAAACCACAGCTTCTTTTTTAGCTTCAGCTGCTTGAGCAGCGTCTTTTAATTTGCTATCGACGTTTTTGGCGGCGCTTTGAACGCCCGATATCAGATTGGCCTCGGCCGCATTGGCGGCATCTTTGAGTTTCTTGTCGACGGTTCGAGCGCCTTCGGCTACTTTTTGCGCCGCATTCTGCGCTCCAGCTTCGAGTTCCCGCTTTTTGGCCTCAACAGCTTCGGCGCTTTCGTGAATTTTGTTGTCGATGTTCCGCGCAACGCCCTGAGCTCCGGCTACTAATTCCTGGCGCTTGGATTCGGCGGCTTCGGCGGTTTCTTTGAGCTTCTCATCGACGCTCCTGGCTGCATTCTGAGCTCCTTCGGCGGTTTTGTTGAAGGCATCTTTAGCGCCGGCCGCTAGTTGTTGCTTCTTCGCTTCGGCGGCTTCAGCCAAGTGCTGCGCGTTCGACGCTAGTTCTTGTCGCTTGGCTTCCGCTGCGTTTGCGGTGTCTTTTAGTTTATCGTCGACGCTTTTGGCTAAGCCTTGTGCACCTTCAACGGTTTTTTGAGCGGCGTTTTGGATACCCGAAGCTACTTCGTGGCGTTTAGAGTCGATTGCTTTGGCTGCATCGTGCGAGAAGTCGACAATTTCTTTCTTTTTGGCTTCGGCTGTGTCGTGGAGTTTGTTACCTATATTAGAAGCTACGTTTTGGGCACCTGCTACTAGGTTTTTGCGTTGCTCTTCAGCAGCTTCGGCTGTGTCGTGTAATTTCGAATCGATATCGTGAGCTACGTTTTGCAAACCGTGGATAAGGCCTTGTCGTTTGGCTTCAGCGGCTTCGGCTGTATCGTGGAGTTTGTGATCCAAGTCGTGAGCTACATTCTGCGCTCCTGCTATAAGACCTTTGCGTTTAGCTTCGACCGAATGGGCTGTTTCAGCTAGTTTCTTGTCAACATCGCCGGCTAGCTGTTGGAGTTCGTGTTTCTTGTTCTCGGCAGCTTTCGACGTTGCTTCCTGCATCTTATGCCCGAATTGGTGAATGTCACCGGCGAGTTCCTTTCTTCTGGCTTCGGCTTCGCCGGCGGCTTGACCGACAGCCTGCTGGCCTGCATGAATGCCGCCTTCAACGAATTTCGAAAGGTGCTCGCGCTGAGCTTCGGCGGCCTTCTCCAGGTCCGTCAAACCGGCTTTCAGTTCCTTGCGTTTGGCCTCGGCGAATTCTTCGGTCTCCTTCACTCTGGCGGCCACTTGGGCCTCGGTTTCGCGCCATTTCTGCTCGGCCGATTTGGCCGCTTGGTCGGCTTCGCGAAGTTTGTTTTCGGCGGCTTCATGCAGGGATTTTCGGACGGCCTGGGCGGTTTCTTCGGTTTTTCTTCCTGCGGCGTTTAAGTCCTCGTTCAACGCGTTTTTGGTGTTGTTAACAGCTTCATCTGGACAATTAATAGTAAATAATTGAGGTTGAAATTGTGATGTAGGCTTGATGATATTATAATTAATAGACACCGTTCGTCAAAATTAGCGATCCACTTTTTTGAAGCCCTATAAAATTGGCTATAGTAAAACTAATGACATGAAATTTTCAGGAGACATTACTTTATATATTATCTCTTTATCCACCAAGTAGCATCATCCCCACATACCTACAAGGGATCGAATCACCCCTTTGAATGAGATTATATGAATAGCTAATTTCGGCGAACTTGTAATGTTATTATTGATAATATTATTTACTTATGTTATGTGATGCATTTTGGAGGTCTTTCTCTACTGCTTTGGTAGCGTTTTGAACTTGAGCCTCTGTCGCATTTTCGATTTGTTCGGCTTCCTTGCCGGCGTCCTTCTTTTTCCTCGAGAAAAATTCGCCCACTCGCGAGCCGAAATTCCTCAGCGATGCTGTAAAACGCGTAAAATAAACAAACCATTGCAAACAAACCGGTGTATTTTCTTAACGAAAATCGCTTAATCTCCCCCATTAACTACGAGAATTATTCGCTAATTAGAGTCTCCGCAAACAAAGCGGACTTGAATTATGAAAAATCTCGCCTCGCCAGTTTGTGTAATAGCTAAAAATTTCTGCGGTATTATGTCATGCCCGCGTTTATTTATTGCAATGATGGTATTCCAGTCAAGGCCTGAATTACTAGTTTACGTAGGTATACACATGTGTCATCCTTATTCAATTCCTATGATTTTCCGTTCTCTGTTCCTTTCAGAATCGTTCTATTGCTAATTCGCTACCGCAATTGCTCTTAACTCGCCATTCAACCAGTAAATAATTTGTATTATTTTGTTCATTTATCAATACACTAGACTTACAATGATTGTTCTATTTATGGATAGTGCGTGTTACGAATCAAAAATTGTAAACAACATAACAAATGTAATACACAGGGTGATTCTATATTGAACCGTTCGTTTGATATTAAAAGTAAATGAAAAACCTTATCGGAAGTTTAACAAACATTATATTGGATAAATTCCCTGCTCGAAAACCCATACAATTCGATCTGAATTTAATCGCCGCGATATTAATAACAACACGCCTTAATTATTTTTTCTAATATTCAACCCGCACCGTGCGGTATGTGTCATTAAAACAAAAATAGCGCATTCCGATTAACTCGAAAATAGAATCAACAATCACATCAACACTTCCAAACCGGCGCACTTACCCAGCATTCTCACGAAACTACACCGAGCTCTCTTTCGATACTTTCGGGCGCTATTCGCCGTCCGGATTATTCGGAAAAGGCGCCGCGACGTCCGGAAGCGGCCCTCTAGATCGATAGCGCCCTCCGGCACGCGAGGCTTTCCTTACCTGTGAACGACGACCAGGACATTGCGTCGAAATCGCTGGTTTATTCACTAATAATTATCACGAATAATTTTAAATCGCAGTAGATTCGGGTGGCGATAAACGCGAATTTAAGTCCACCGGAACTGGAGTTGATAAAGCGATATTGGCCACTGCTTGAAACTAAAATTTCGAAACGAGTTGAAAGTTTCACGGAAACCGAACGGGAGGGTTCGTTTCGATTGCGACTCGCTGCGTGACTCGTTCGTTGGAATAGTTGTATTTCTATCGGCTGTAAACTGTAAACTGAACCTGCAGGTTCTGTTTTCCGTTGAGTCGAAGTTACGAATTTGTGCTACTGCTATCGACTAACATACATACATCGCCTTGACATTGAGTGTAATTTTAGAAACGTGAAGGAACGTTTCGTTTCGATTCGTTTCGTTACGAATTTAAAAGTTCTGTTACACAAGCAGGGGCGTAGTCCCTTCATTTCACACCCTTAATGGCTCGTTGGCACCCCTTATTTACTATTACTTGTTCTCTAAAAATATTAAAAAGGGAACTTTTTATTGCAGTGGGTTGTCTTGTGGTGTGGACATCTTTGTACATATCAGGGTTAATATTGATTGAAAGATTCAAGGTAGTCTATTAATAATTAAATGAATAATTAAAGTACTTATGAGCAATGTGGATACATATTAATAATTTAAAGAAAGAAATAAAAATTCTACCTTGAGTAAGGTCTGCTAATTATACATATAGTGTTTCCAAAATCGATTCAAGACTGTTAAATAAAGGTATGAATAAAAAATCAAAACGTGTCATAATTTTCAATAATAAATCTAATTTTTGTAACCTTTGAAACTACAACTAATAAATATCTACTACATAAAATAATAGAGAACTATAAGTAGTTTTTAAATATATTTAATTGACTTTGGAAAGACTTATTATAACAAGTGCGCTATTTTGGGAAGGCCACCCGTACTTAATGGGCCATAAGCGATGTACGTTAAAAATGTGCATTCAATAACACCGAACTTATAAATACATCGCAAATTGACAGGTTATATTGGACGTGTATGAAATTATTTTTAGATTAATATTCGAAGCAGGAATCGCCTGCGTGCGATAATGCATCGTCTAAAAATCCTTCATTTCGTATGTTTAGCATGTAACGAGCGGAGTAAATTTTAGGTGGGTACAACAGTTAAATACAGTGTAGTCAGAATATGGGAAAGAGTGGGTTAAAATAAATTTTTCGACGTTTACCTCGTAAATGAAAATGGTGGAGGCGTTATGATACTCCACCGTTTTTTTTTGGAAATGTGAATTACAATTTACAGTTAAAAGTATCTGAAGAATTGATTAGTTCATGGCAAATAAATTTGAATTATAGTGGCGAAAAAGTAATTAAAAACCACAGTTTTTACGGATGAAAAAGAAGGTCTCAAAATTGGTGCAAAATAAAGATATTTGGACTGAAATATTGAATAAAAATCATCTTCATTTGCGCAATAATTAAAGGGATATTTTAGGTTATGAGGGCAATAGGGAATTAACCGTTTTAGTGCTAAGGCCCACCGCTCACGATTTAGTAGAAAAATATGGTCTTGGATTTGCAGTAGTGCAAAAATTGCTTTCACTTGGAAATTATCTGAACAAAGGCTATCATTTGTTTACAGACAACTTTTACATAAGTTTTGCATAAGTAACTGGAACAATAAGAAGCAATCGAAAAGAGATTCCTCCAGAAGCTAAGAAAGCAACCGTAGGAGAAGCCAAATACCTATAGCACATGATGATGTTTTGATGTGTTCTTTTAGAGACAAGAAGTCCAAACCAAATCCTGTCATATTGATTTCAACCAATGCAGATACTAAGAATATAACAAGCAAGAAAAAGAAATGGAAATTAGAATACGAAAATGAGAAACCAAGTATGATTGATGACTATAACAAATACATGGGAGGTATGAACGAGTCAGACAAAATGTTATACGTGTATTTGGGCGAGCGAAGAACCCTAAAATATCGGAAGAAAGTAGTTTTCAATATATTTGGAAGAATGGTGCTGAACTCTCACATTTTGTATGTCTCCAACACTACTGAAAAAAAATATACCCGGCTCCAATTTACATCAAAAATTATCCATGATATCGCAATATGATATAGCATGATATGGCAATTTTCATATATATTCACAAAAATTGCTTAGCACTAAAACGGTTAAGGGGTGTAATTTAGTATCAGAATATGCATGTAAGGTTATAGACTGGGGCAAATGTAAAAATGGGCTAAATGTAATATTTTTACCTATTATGTTAAGGTTTTTATTATTTTTATAGTTCTTTTGTGCATTAGACAGGGTTTGTTTCTTATTTTTTCTTTATTATTTTGCAGCTCTGTTATTTTTTGAAATAAATAAATAAACAGCATATCAAATTTTAGAGGAACCAAATATTTTTTTACAATTGCCCCATATGTTTTTCTATATAATTGTATTGCACTTTAGAACCGTTTGTTACATTTACCCCGTACCATGTGGTAAATGTAACATATTGTCAACATATTAAAAAATATGTAAAACCGTTTTCTTCCTTTTTCGAAAAAACGTTTTAATACCTCGATTCTTTAGTTTAGGAAGTTGTGAATTAATTGTGGTATCAGCATTTCTAATAAGAGAAAAAATAAAGCCACGTTTTAGGATTTAATTTGAACTATTCAAATTTTACAACCGATTTACCCCAGTCTACCTTACAGTAAATTTTTAAGAAATCGCATTCATATATTCGCAAGGTCTATATTCCCATTGCAATGCATTATGTATAGCGCGCAGGTAGTTACAACCAATTTTAGCCCAGAATGCATCGAACAAGGGCGGTATTTCGTCGACTGCAACAATCCCCATCCGAGAATAAATCCAACAAACGAAACCAAACACAAAAGAAATCTACCCCAGCGGTCTTTGGCGAGCGCGACACAAGGGGACTCGACCATCCCGGCGCTTTATCGATCGCCCTCCGCGCCACTCGGAAGAGAAATCGACGCTTTTTCCGCCTCGCGATCGCCATCGAATCGAACAGCGCTCGATTCGGCGTCGGCACTTCGCACGGTCCGATCGAGGCGTTCGCGTTTCTCGCCCAACCGCGCGCGAAAACAAACAAAACAAAACCACCGAACGACGGGAAAGGAAAACGCAGAACACACCCACCCCCGCGGGTTTATCGAACGGTCGGGCGGCGAAATGGGCGCCGGGACGGCGTTCGGTCTAGGTACTCGCTCGGCATGCTAAAAAGGAAATACGCGTTGCGTAACAATAATCTAAAAGGTACCGTCGCGAACGCGAAGAGCGCTTCCTTCAGTGTGTGTTCATTCAATCCGGCGGAGCGGTGAATTGAGTGCTTGTGTTATAAACAACCGAGGAGGATTCAGAAGGTGCAGGAAATGTCAGGTAAATACGCCAAGTGCCCTTGCTCTTGCGGGTTCTATTTTAGATTGTAATGTTAGGGGTGGAAATAAGAGAATCGTTTATAAGCTGGCTTGTATAAATCGATGAAAATCGTCACAAAATTATCTCAAAATTGCAATAAAATTATTAATATGCACAAATTAACAGCTTACCTTAATCAAATTTCCGTGAACACTCCGATGCTATTATATGTTTTTGTATCTAATCTAAGTTAAACATTAAAATATTTATTTCACGTAAGTGTGTTGTCACTAAAACCACAAGTATAGCTTTTGTAATGTATCTGAATTTTTCGATTTTTAGGTTACATATAAGCAAAAAATTAATATGTTGGAGACCCAATAAAATTGTCTGTGGATATGCACTCATAAATTGTGTAAACACCTCTTTATTGCGTTATAAGGCGCTCGTAAATTTAAATAACTAGATTTTTTTATTCAAATTACCTTCTACCCAATCTGGTTCACAATGTTCCACCCTATACAGGACGATTCAATGACATTATAGTCCCCCTTTGCTAGATAAAAAAGTGACCCTAAACAATAATATTAGGGATAATTAAATTTTATGTAGGCGCAATTATTCAACATATTTTTTGTGCGTGTGTTAATTATATTAGGAGAAATTCTCCATTAGGATAAATTAATTCATATACAGGATAGTTTATTTACATCGAACTAGATAGCTATGTGAAAATAATTAGTATTATAAAGATGAAAATAACAATACACATACACTGTTCGTCAGAATTAGTGACTCGCTTTTTTTGAAACGCTATAAATATGACAAAAACCATACTAGAGATGTGAAATTGTAAACAGAGCTAGTCTAATCTTTTCTCTAAACATAACCAAAGTAGCAGCTCCCTAACTTTATCCTAAGGGATGAAAACACCCCTTTGAATGACGCGATGCTGAGTAAAAAAACAAAAAAAAATGAGTTGCTGATTTTGACGAATAGTGTAGGAAAATTGATAATTTCAATTGAATTGTTATATCTGCATGTATTAGGTGTTTGTCACATGTGCTATGTACGGGTGGGTACGTATAAATTCATTGTGAAATTTTTGTTTTGTCACTAATAAAAATGCAGTCTCTATTATCCGGACATAACGAATGTTTTCTGTTGTACGGAAGTACTAAGTCGGGAAAATTAGTGAAAACTCGAAGTAAGTTACATTTTGTTATTATCACTAATATTTTAAATAACTATTGTATAATTTTGGAGCATATAAAATTAAAACTTAGCTACTCGTATACATATAATACAATAGATTAAAAGGATTAATTATACTAAGTAGAGTAATCAGATTTTTAATCAGTTAAACACAGGATGTAAACAAGAGGAAATTAATATTTAAAATATCTTTGAGATTAATCAAACTGTAACTTAAAGTTTCATATATTTTAAACGACTTCTTAATAATCTAATTTATTATAAAACCCATAAATAAACGCGCAAAATCTATAATTGCATATTTCGATTCTGTTTTTGTTTTTATTACATAAATATCATCTCTTATACCATTTAAAATCATTAAAATTTCTGGTATCTACTGGGAGGAATTTGAAAATTTTTTCGTGATGCTATAATTTTCGTGTAAATATGTACCTACATCCTAAAAAGTTATTGAAACATGAGGTACATAAATATTTCAGTTTTCTATTAGAAAATAATTCAAGATGAATATTTAGATCATAATAGTTCTGAAAGTTTGTTGGTATAGTTATGGGACGTCCTGTATATGTAACAATTTATTTCGAAAACATTAAAATTGTTTTCCTATTTAAAGTCATTGATATGACGCTCGTTTATGGATAACTGTAGTTTCATTGATATAACGTTTTTTGCTCAGTTCAATGCGGTTTAAATAAATAGGTTCGACATAGAAACGAAACGCAGATGCCTTATTTATTAGATGAAAATAATATTTTATCGGCTTCAAATGTAGAACACGTCTACAGGATGTTCCGATTTATATTTAAAAATTCTTAATTTCTTCTATAACGACATACACTTTCACTAATTTACTAATTATACCAAGAAACAATAATCATTCTACTTAGAATTTTCTTTACATTAAAAGTTATTAAGTGGATTCATATTTTTATATAATAGATAAAAATGATTTTCCCCACGTTTCCCAACAATTATAATCGGACGTTATGTTTTATTTTCCTAGGTGAACATCCTCTGTTTTTATGCAAAGGTAATCAGAAGATTCTTATAGACTGTTTATAACGAACCTTGTTATTATAATATAAATTATTGCGTGCAGAATTTCTACCGAGAAATCATACAGGATGATCATAATTTCTTATACAATCGTAATATGAAGAGAGTTCAAAGAAATGAAGATGCTACTGATTAAATTACTTTCTTAAAAATAAAATTAATTCTTTTGAATTATTAAAAATTACCTTTATATTCTAACGAAATAATACTAAAGAAAACTATTTAAAATATTGTATAATGGAACACAGTGGTTTATAGATGGATATTTTCAAGAATCTCCTGGAATAATCTTGTAAGCGAGTACAGAAATTGTTTATTTTCTTATCGATTAAAGCACAATCTCATTCACATGCTCGGTTAACTTCCTACAAAATTTTCGTTATGAAAACAAACACATCAAACGTTGTCACGTAACCCAAGCATTTCCATAAACATCCACTGATTTGCGGTTGCTATTAATTCATTTTTTCAAACAGGAGTGGGTACCTGGGAATTTTGAATCGTCATTGTAAAATAATTGCGTGGCAAACATACAAAACGTCTAATTTTTGCATGTTTTGTAAAACAATGCATGTTATAATAGCATTTTTGTACCGAATTAGGTAAAGCACATTTACTCAACGTGTTTAGCACATATTTTGTGTGCTTGTATTATACACAAATATACTCGACATGATTATATCCGCGCGACGGTAACGACATTTAGATATGCGAGGAGTGTAATTTTGTTTAATCAAAAGGTCAGCCCACGAAATGAGTCCATTACATTATTAGATTTCATAAAAAACCTTCACATGACACAATGTAATGTACCAATAAATTTAATCCAAGCGTGTAAAACACTCGATATATTTGTATCATAAAATAACTTACAGACTTACCCCATTGGGGGTTATCAAGAATAAATAGAATATTCTCTATGTAACGAAATATATTTTCCACCTAATTAATCAATTCAGTAATCTAATTAAGTGTAATTTTCCAGAAAGAGACAGGGATTACATCGGTTTCGCCACGCTGCCGGATCAAATCCACCGGAAATCGGTGAAGAAAGGCTTCGATTTCACTCTGATGGTCGTCGGCGATTCCGGCCTGGGAAAATCCACCCTAATCAACAGCCTGTTCCTCGAGGATCTCTACAAAAACCGAAAGATCCCCGACGTCAACGAGAGGCTAACCAAGACCACGGTCATCGAGAAGAAGACCATGGAAATCGAAGAAAGAGGCGTCAAATTGAGGTAATGAATTCCGGAAAATCGCTTTCGAGAGTATTTATGGTTGATGGAAACTTTTAGGTTGACTGTGGTGGATACGCCAGGATTTGGGGACGCGGTGAATTGCGAAGACAGCTGGAAGATTTGCATAAATTACATCGACGAGCAATTCAGGCAATATTTTACAGACGAAAGCGGTTTGAATCGAAGAAATATCCAAGATAATAGGGTGCATTGTTGTTTGTACTTTGTACCACCTTGGGGTCATAGGTACGTTTAAAAAATTACATTCCTTATTCATCCCATTCTCTTAAATCTCTATATTTCATTAAACGTTTTATGTTTTAACAGAATTTCATTTCTACCGGGTCCAAACAATCATTAATTATTCTTATCTAAACGGCAATTAATTGAACAAGGAAATAAATATCACGAATGTTTCGATTTATAAAAATCGGATCCGTAAATACGCGGGTACTTACCCGGAAACTTAAATTAACCATTGTTTAATTGCAATAAATCGTTAATAAAAGTAGCGATAAGAATTTTATATCCGATATCTATTTAGTTTTTATATCGCACTAAATTACTTGCAGGAGAAATTAGTTTCGCTTGTAATTGTTGCGAAATAAATTATACAGGCACGTTTAATTTTCTTTGCAATTAACTCACGTCCGTTTATTTTTATTTTATTGTTAGTGCGCATTGTTCGCACGAGGAAACACTTTCGCGCATCCTCGAGAATCTTTTTTCGTTAATATTCACCTCCTATACACCAATCTAAACAATTCTTTTCCAGTTTAAGGCAAATGGATTTGGAACTGATGAAGAGACTGCACCACAAAGTCAACATAGTCGTAGTAATAGCGAAAGCAGATACCCTTACACAACCCGAAATAGCCAAATTGAAAGTCAACATTCTCAACGACATTCGCAACAACGACATTCAAGTGAGCGACAATATTAAATTTCCTCATCGTCTTCAGCACGTTCAGCTTATTATTCACATTTACAGATGTACGAATTCCCTGAATGCGATAGCGACGAAGACGACGAGTTCAAGCAGCAGGACAGGGAGCTGAAAGCCAGCATTCCATTCGCCGTAGTCGGCAGTAACACGGTGCTCGAAATAGCCGGAAAGAAGATCAGAGGAAGGCAGTACCCGTGGGGCGTCGTGGACGGTACCAAAACCCCCATCCCCGCTTTAATTTATACTGATTAAAAATTTGGTTGCAGTGGAGAACCCCAAACACAGCGATTTCATCAAGCTCAGGACGATGCTGATATCCACGCACATGCAGGACATGAAGGACGTTACCGAGGACGTGCATTACGAGAATTTCAGGACGCAGTGCATCTCGCAGATATCGCAGCACGCGAAAGAACGGGGGTAATAAACTTGCATTAGAATGAATGGAATTCGCAGTGATTGATTATATTTTTAGCAAGCTCAAACGCGAATCGGTTCCTTATGAGGCGGATATTTCCGATACTGACAGGCTGTTGATACAAAAAGACGAAGAGGTGGGTTTAATAATTTTATTGTGACTATTAAAAATTTATTTATTGTTGTATTTTAGATTCGACGTATGCAGGAAATGCTGAAGCAAATGCAGGAGAAACTGAAAGTGGACGCTCAAGATAACAATAAGAAACACGAAAGTATTATCGATGTGTAGATTTATTTATAATTTTTTTTGTATATTTAAGACCAAAGACATCTAATCTAGTTAAGTGTTTTTATTTCTTTTTATATTTTTAACAATATATGCGCAATGTATGTTATAAAAAAATTAATCATTTTAAATGAAACTTTTACAGTGCATTTTTTATATACCAATCCTTAAAAACCCTAATAGGAACTATCGTGTAATAAGCAATAATAATTGATAAATTCGATATTAGTAGTTCAAAAACCCTGAATCTCCTAGTAAATCTCTTCCAATAAGATTCATAAACAAATCCAATATTATTAAACACACAAGTTTCTACGTAATCATATTAGATATACTACTAATAGGTTAATATATCAACCATTTGAGTGGAATTATGAATACACAGATAAATTTATCTGTTAGATAATACTTCAAATAAATGAACAGGAAGCTGTTGTATTACCTTATAATTAGTTAACTCGAAGATAACCCACTCTTACCTAAGCATTGATAAATCCACCCTAAATTCAAGACTACAACCTCAAATTTTACTAACGAAATTTCTTCCGAATTCCTCAATAACGTAAACCAATTTCATCGCGGCCAGTCTCGTATCTTCATCAGTTATTTCCCAATACGTGGCCAGCCTCAAATAATCCATGCCGCTTCTAGCGGACACAACCAGCGATACTTTCACCGGATCGCCCTCTTCGATTTCCCTCAATCGCCGGGAAAACTCGGCGATGCCGCGACTGGGATGTCGATAATACAATTTGATGATGTTCGTTTCAACTTCTTTTAAATCTACCCAAGCCACTGGCGACTTCAAATCCGCTATAGCTGTTGGAAAAATCAATCGAGTTATTAGAATATTTTGAACACGTGGCAGATTCGAAATGAAGCGTGCAGGAATTTAGTGGGAACAGTAAGCACGAATAAAACAAACGATTTCGTTTGTGAAAAATATTTAATTAATGTAAATAAATATAAATTAGTATTAAAGTTTACAATATAAAGATAAAGTATACAATAAAGTTAATTCTGTTTAACACGAACAAATAAATGTAAGGCACAAAGTGAAGCGATAATACACCAATTATATTAAACAACTAACATTTAAATGGGAATGTGCTTGTATGAATCTCCCTAAAAATAATTTACTACCACCTAAATAATCTAAAAAATAACTATCACAGCTAATTATCTACGATACCAATAAACACTTATAAGATATAAAAAAAATGCGATTAAATTTTAAACATTTCGTCGTATTCCCTAATGACCAATTGTATTTTTCTGATGGCGTTCGTCACGTCTTCGTCGGTAATTTCGTGATACAACACGAATCTCACGCAATTCGATTTCAACGAGGAGCACCTGACGCTCGCCCGCACCTCGTCCGAGTCCATCACCGTCTGCAATCGACGCTGCAACTCTCTTATATCGACCTTAGTCGTGTCAATGTACATCAGAAGGATGTTGGTTTGCACTTTCGACAACTGCACTTTGAACAAGTTAGACCTGGTTTGGTGTATGGCTGCAATGATATCGATTTACTGAGATAAATATTCCCGGTGGAAGAGAAGATGAGAGGAACAAGCGCGTGCATGCGAGGGTTATTTCTAAGCGCAACCGATTACTGCAGGCTTTAGTGTTTTAATAATAGTTATTAACTTACCTTTGGCGATTTCGTAGGCGTGCTCGTGGTCGATTTTCAATCGGTCTATCATTGTGTCTATTGCTACAAGTCCTGCTGCGGCTAGTACTCCTGCTTGTCTCCATCCACCGCCCAGCACTTTTCTCACTCGACGAGCTCTAAGAGAAATTTAATAATATAGAAAAATGAATAAGTTGTGTATCATTTACTTTTTAAAACGGGACACTTTTTCCGCCTATGTTTCCAGAGTTTAGAAATATACGAGCGAGTTTGTTCATTGGGAAATTAACGAACCCATTTTATCATTTAAAATAACTTTTAAAATATCTAAAAGTCGAATTTTGAAAAGTATCTAATAAATAAAAATGTATACAAGTGTTTGTATGAATGCTCAATGATCGTGCTAATATTCAAACAAATAAATGATAACAACAAATTGCACCAACACAATCGAAAATAACTCTTCTAATCTAAATTATAATTTCGTTGGCAATTCTCAATAATTTGTATAGGATAAATAGAATGTGATGAAATAAAATTATAAAAAGACGCTTGTTAATATTAACGTATTAATTACGAAATGATCAGTTTACGTAAACTTATGCGAGATACGTGATGCTGTGTTATTGTCCTTTATATTACTTTACAAAAAAAAAATGACTGATATAAAATCGCTCAAAATCGCTGACATTTATATTGTGTCATGTTTTATAGATATGGAACCTTCGAAAAAGCAAAGTAATTTAAATTTAAATAAAATATAATACAATATATATAATTTATAACATATTGTATATTATATATGGTGTCGTTTGTGAGGCTAGAAAAGACCTATTAATTTTTTTAGAGAAACTATTACTCGTTACTAATAGAGAGATTTAATTAATTACAAAAAATAGGAAGCGCATTATTAAAAGATAACAATCCCATTGTGTTATTTTACAAATTATTATAATTAATTAGTTGCCGACCTATATGTAATGGTATATTTAATCTAATTAATTTTCGCTAATTAGATTTGTGAAAATTTCATTCGGAACGTACGCAAATTGCAATCCAATTCGATTGGCAACCGATTTACCAATAATCAAAACATCGAAAGGTCGAGGAAAACGCTATCAAAAATCCCAAAAACACAATAACAATAAATTCTAATATGAGGTAATGGAAACTACGCTGATAAAAATGAATTGTTCAACCACTTGTTTTTGTTTTGGACCCTTTAAAGTTACAGCTCAGTAAAAGCTCGTGATAAAAAATTTGTTTTTTGTATAACCAGGAACTTACTTGGCAATAAACTGCGAATTTCCGCATAAAATCGCGCCGACCGGACACCCCAGCCCCTTGCTCAAGCAGAAACAAACCGAATCGACGTCTCTGACGACGCGTCGCGGCGTTACCTTCAGGTAAGTAGCGGCGTTCATCAGTCTTGCCCCGTCCATATGTATGGGAATGTTGTGTTCTCCAGCAATGTGGTTCACTTTCTCCAGCCATTCCAATGGTAGAACCTTTGGTAAAATTTCAAGGCATACATTTCAACTCCAGCGGGATGGAGAATTTAATAAATTTACCTTTCCTCCGCATAGGTTGTGGGTGTTTTCTACGAGGATTAGGGAAGAGATCGGTTCGTGAATGTCGGGGTTTTTTCTAATTTTATCTCTGAGCTCGTCGAGGTCGAACGTCCCGTCTTCTTTGTTTTTAAGGGTAACCGTTTGGATTCCAGCGATTTGGGAAGCTCCACCTAGATTTAAGGATTCGTTATAAAGGGTTTATTTAGGGAAGTTTGTTGTATGAATATGGAATATTTTAGTGTAATTGTGTAATTGAATATTCAAGGACTAATCAAGATATGAATTTAAATTTAGTTTTTTTTATTAAAAATATCGGGTTGTAGATAAAAGTTGAAATTTGTATGTTAAATTTTTGTAATATCATGCTCAAACCGAAATTAAATATATTTATGGTTTTTTAGGTATTGAAATTTTTGTAATATTTTAAACGAAAAGCAACATTTTTTGGTACATTTCCTTGAAATTATCACTTGGTTCAGGAATTTTGAACATATTTCGTTAGATAATTACATAATTTATTTAAATATGTAATAGAATCTAATTTTCTTTGAAAATTAGTTAATATCAAGAGAAAACTATACATTTTTATAAAATACAGAACCATGGTAATGCATGATGTTAATTTTACAACTATTTCTCTAGCTAGTCAATAATTACTCTTGTGCCGTTTTCCTTCAGCTTGCGGATAAAAGTCATAATTATGAAAGAATGTGGATGTTGATTAAACGAAAAAGAAAAAGTGAAATTGCTATTAAAATTGCGCAATCACCGACAACGAAACATACCTCTCCCATAATCAATCAAAGTTATAGGAGCGGTTAGTTATTCGTCGCGTTAATCCTTTCGATACATAATTATTCCCAATGATAATTGAATTATTTCGAACAATTACCTTGTTCTAGGCGAAACGTGTGGCTCTTATCGCCGGATATTACTTCACTACCTCTGATAGGACAGTGCACCATTACTGAAAATTAAAATAAAATAATTCACATTCTCCAATAGCAGTTAATTATGGGTTCATAACGTAAGGCTATTATTAGGCGTAAATAAACATGCATGAAAAAATAAATTGCGACAATTGTTTGATAAGACATGTTGGATTGTGGTATTTAAAGAGTTGAGAATTTACTGGGAAACATTAAGGAATAATAATTAAAAAAATTGATGGTTTTTTGACTAATGAAATACTGCCTCTCTATTAAATTATTTATAAATTAATAATCAGATTTATACTGGAACATTTATGAAGAAATAAATTGCGACAATTGTTTGAAAAGACATGTTGGATTGTGGTATTCAAAGAGTTGAGAATTTACTGGGAAACATTAAGGAATAATAATTAAAAAAATTGATGGTTTTTTGGCTAATGAAATACTGCCTCTCTATTAAATTATTTATAAATTAATAATCAAATTTATACTGGAACATTTATGAAGAAATAAATTGCGACAATTGTTTGATAAGACATGTTGGATTGTGGTATTCAAAGAGTTACTAGAATGTACTGGGAAACGTTAAAGAATAATGAAAAAAATTGGATGTTTTTGCTAATGAAAAATTGCCTCTCTATTAAATTATTTATAAATTAATAATCAGATTTATACTGGAACATTTACGAAAAAATAAATTGCGACAATTGTTTGATAAGACAAGTTACATTGTTGTATTAAAAAGAGTTCATAATTTACTGGTGAATATTAAGAAATAATGACAAAAAATAAGATGTTTCTTCGCTAACGAAAAACTACCTGTATTAAATTATTTATTAGTAGTAATCAGTTATATTGGAATATTTCAGTTGATGTTAAAGACTAGAGATTATCGATGAATGTTTAGCATACAAGGGAAAAATAAATCTTACACCCCTTCGTTTGAAAAATTGCGCAAATTTAAAACTTACTGGCAATTAAATTGGCCATGGTGCCGCTAACGAGGAACACGGCGTCCTCTTTCCCCAGGAGCTCAGCGCATCTCCTCTCCAATTCAATAACAGTGGGATCCTCCCCGTAGACATCATCCCCCAGCTCGGCCACGTACATGGCCTCCCGCATCTCCTGCGTGGGCTTGCTGATGGTGTCCGTCCTCAAGTCGATGATCTTCACATCGGCCCCCAGGTCGGCTTTGATGATTTTCTCGTACATCGCGGGTGTCTTTATCGCCGGTCGCCGTTCAAATAAACGCCGTCCAACGGCTAAACTCGCTTTTATAAGTTCGAAATAGTAGGGGAGCGACTAGTTTGCTAATTGCAACATTAACCTACGTAATTGGTGCGAAATACTGAGTAGCAACTTACTTTTAAATCGATGTAAAAAAATGGGCGATTGCATAAACGCTTGTTAACAACAAATAGAATCCATCCAGATAAGTTGGTACAACATTCGATCGGTTTTTATCGCGCGCTGTAAGGTATTTACATTGCGAGTTCAATCGTTCCTTTTGAATTAGATAAAAAAAAAAAAATATTTGACGTGATTAAGAGGCACTATGTTACATGCGTTGCGTTTTAAATTTAGTTCAAATTAACGCCAATTTACAAGGTTAGGAAATTCTAAATTGGTATCCCTAGGTAACCCATTATCGCTACTTAAACTTATACTGTTTTTTTTACACGCAATAAACACTCTCATTTTCACTAACCAGTTAGACCTTTGGATATTATTATTTGCGTACCTTCCGCTCCATTGACTCCAACAACAACATTATACAATTCAAAAAGTATTTATTAAAAAAGCCTACGAACTGATTCAATTATCAAACATATTTTTTCTGTATAACATTAGAAATCACAATTAAGAAGGGATTCAGTCTCTGACGCGCATATTCCATATGCTGGACCTCCGCAAGCCCACAGTAGGCCTGGCAATCGAACTGAATTTGAACTTGTTCAATTGCACCCTCGCGCCCAAACCCTCTTGGATCAATCTCAACTCCACCGTATCGCTGTAGCTCCCGTGGATGTCCAAATAAGAGAGATTGATTAGCTTTTTTAACAGTCTAAAAATCCACAAACTTCATAGTTAAGAAATGTCCATACAACAGTTTACTAGGTACTTACAAGAAGGCAGTATAGGGAACCAAATAGCACCGAGACATCGCTAGGAAATTTAAATCTTCTAATACTGTAATATGCCTCACGGCTTCGCCCGTTATGACAGTACAATCGGACAAATCCAGCTCTCTTAGTCGCGGACAACTGGCTACTAAATCTACTACATCTGAAAAATAATTCGCTTAGAATCAGAGGTCATCGACTTCCTTTAAACCTACTTTTATCTTCAAAGTTCTTCCCGCACCCGGAAAAATTCAGCCTGTCCATTGTGGAAGGTAGATTCCGGCAGATGTATTGGATGGTGGAGGAGTTCAAGTAAGTCCATGCGATGTTCAATTCACGTATTCTACAAACGTTGCATTAAAAATCTTGTAACAGTACAACCGAACGATTACTTACTTCCTACAATTGGTCAATAAATACTTGAACCCGTCTTCCATTAGCCCGTTCACCATGGCGAAATTGATTACTTCAACGTCTTTGTTGGCCGATAGAGCGATCAGAACGTCATCGTTGACGTGCAGGTTCTCTAAGCTCACCTTTTTGAGGCGTTCGCACTTGCCGAACAAGGCCGTCAGGCTTTGAGGCGATATGAAGGCCATGCTCAAGTCTAAGTAGAGCAGCCTCGATTTGAAATCAGTCGAATGGGCTTTCACCCCCGGCAGTATTGGAGGAAATTTTATCTGAAAACAATGAATAAATGAGGCTTTTTCTCTTAAATTAGAGTGACCCGTAAGACATAACTTTTAAACAGTACTGGATAGTCACCCTGTACGTTTTGTTTTATAGAAAAAAGTGCCTTTAGGGAGTTGTAATTGAAGAACTTACTAAACTCTTGGCCAATCTCAGTACAATGACTTGTTTGCTGAGCACTTTGCCCAACTCGCCTTGCTTCAAGATCTTATTGGAGCATTCCATTCTAGTCCACAAACTCTCATCATTGGTTAGTCTATTGAATCTCTTACATACTAGGGATATGTCCAAAAGGCAGGACTTTGGCAGCCATCTGAATACGTACAAGATTACTTCGTCCGAGAGCAAGTCAAAGTAGTCTAAAAATGTTTATGATATTAATGCGATATACAGATAAATGCAAAATTGTTATTTTGGTATATCGTGGTCAATTCAAGGAATTAAACAAAGAGGGATTAATATGTTAGTTAAAATTCTAGGAATTGAACAAAGAGGGATTATTATGTTAGTTAGAAAGTTGCAATCCCATATTATTACTTTCTTTTTCTTTTATATGAGACTAATACAAGGTGCCTTTATTTCACCTGTAGCCTATATTGTAGACAATTATGCTTCTACATGTATATGACTTACTGGTTTTATCTGATGGCCTGATAGTTGGTTTCTTTTCTATTAACGTATCCCATTCTCCGAGGCATAATTTATCTAGTGCTTCCTTTGTTAACGTAGATTCTATTAATGAAAGCTGAAACAAACGTTCATACTTATTTAATAAAAACTAATAGTACATGTAATTGGGATATTCTTTCCTATAGACTCTAGATAGAGCGAATATTTATGATAGACTCAAAATAAGCAACGCATTCTCTAATAATAACAATAAATTCACCTGTTTTTCACGTGTATTTGGTGTCATAGAGGCGCAAGAAACGTCAATCACCCCAGACTCGTTTCTGCTAAATATCGTATCATCATCAGTCAGTATATCATCATCGTCGCAGTCTAAACGGCCTATGCCTATGAAATCGAAACCCTCGTGCACTTTCCACGTTTCCCTGTCGCGGGAATCCTTAACGTCTTCATCGTACCGTGCCCTTTTCCTAAGGGAAAATGTTTTTCTTCAATACAGTCACAATTTTACGACTATTACTTACCGCGAGGGCGATCTGTCGATATTTACATCTACGGGTTTCAGTATGCTAGAGGACATTTTTAATTTAAAACTTTTACCATTCTTTAATAGATGAAACTAATGGAATGGTGCATGTAACGAAGTACATGAATTTTTTCAGAACTAAAAACAAACTCCCGCCAAACACGTCCACAATTTGCACATGAGAAACAAAAAAGAGAACCTATTACGGATTGTATAAATAAAACAAGGTTAGATACTGTTCTCTGATCTTTCTGTCAAACATCAACCTCAGGTGTATTGGCTATTCAGCCAACTTCAGACAGATTGTTGTTTGACGTATGACTTTTTCACCTTTACCAGACTTTACCTATTTGTTCATCAGTTCATACTAATTGAAGTTAGGAACTTTAGTTATAGGTTATGTTATTCTGATTTATGTTGAATATACAATACTTATACTATTTTTAAAGAATCAACACAGTTTTCTTAAGTATGGAACGAAATAAAAGTGGGCCCGGTACCAGAGGCCCCAAATCAAAAATTACTCAGCAACTTCCCGATTCATTCATAGCTCTGGGAGCGAAGCAATCATCCCCTAGAGATGATCCCAAGAGAACTGTTCCTTTACCGAAGTCTTCAGTTAGTTCTCACATACCAGGACCATCCGGAAAAGGTAAAGTTAGCAGAAATTAAGCTATAATATAAGTATAAATCGTTTTGTGAATAGCTCCAGTAGATAAACTCAAAAGAGACGCAGGTAGTTCTGGGCTTGCCTCCGTAAACCCCGTAAAGAAAATCAAGGTAAACATTGCCGGCGCCCGTCCTAGCGGTTCAAGTTTATTGCCTATAGAGAGAATAACAGTAGGCCAAGCAGAGCCGTGGGAATCCCTCGTTCTTGAGTGTGATTTAGGAGAAGCATTTGACAACATACTTACTCAGATTAACAGCGATAATATAGATAAAGCGGTATAGTATTAATTTTATATGTATATAATAGTAATTATATTTGAATATGTTTGTAGATTGGTTATGTATTGGGATTGATCAAGAACATGAGAACTCAACGATCGAAACCCTGCAAAGTGACCTACTCTGTATTATTTTTGGTAGCCAGTTGTAAACCCGCAATATTCACCAACGAATTGGTCATAAACGCTATGTTAAGTGTATTACGAAGAGATGTGAATTCCGGATTGAAAGCTGTTAATAAAGGCAACCCGCAAGTGCATCAGATATTTCTGAACTTATTGGCATTCGCTTATTCGGATATTACGAATTGGCCAGAAACGTTCGTTAAGGTATGTCATACTTACAGTGAAAGGAATTTTGTATTAAACAATTCATTTTAGTTGTATGTTGAAGATGCTGTCGGAGACAGAGTGTTTGTTGATGCCCCATTTTGCAAACCTTTTACAGACAATATCATAACTGCGTTCAACACGAAATCACCCCCATCGTCTTTATTAAAGTCCGAATCATGGACATCTACAACCAGAGACACCTCCAGTCCTTTAACGGTTAACAGCATCGATGAAGACGAAGGTACTTACTAGAATATTTGTTGCATTCGACGAGCGTTATTTCATTTCTGTTTAAGTTATAAGCGAACAAAGAGGAATCGTCGAAACGTGGACGTACAAAATCTTCCCGAGGTTCACGCAATCGCAGGAGAAAGTCGAGCAAATCGTACTCGAGGCCATCAAAGAGCAGCTGATTAGGCGACAGCAACCCGAAGCGATCACCAAAAACTTCGTAAAATTCCTCAGCACCGCTTGCGGATTGGTGGAGATCCGCATAATAGCGGTGTCGCGAATCGAAACGTGGCTGCACAACCACAAGCTGATGAAACCGGCCCAAGAGCTGCTCGCTTACTTGTGCTACAATTGCTCGGCGAGTTCCCAAAGAGACTTGGAAGTGATAGCGCAATTGAGCAAACTCCGCTTGAAGAACAAACCGATAGTTAACTACTTCAATAACTGTTTGCGAGAGATGGTGTTTTCGTTTCCCGAGAACTTGTATCCCTTGTTGAAATACACAATTTACAACGAGCTGAGCAACGCTCGTAACGCTAACAATTTGATCGTAGTCGGGGCTTTGTTTCAAGTAGCTCCCGATCCAAGCGCGGACGCTTTTGCCGATATTTGCTTGGTAAGATAATCGTACAGCAAACTCGCTGAAGCTAACGATATTTTTACAGGAACTTCTCCTCAACAAGGACGATTATTTGCGATCCCTTCGAGCCTTACTCAAAGAAATCAACCGAGTACTCAGACAGGAACTGAACCTGTTAACCGTCGTGCGCGCTCTGTTGCGCGAACGCAAAGATTTCACGAGCGGCGTGCGAGAGCACGAGTTCCGCGAGAGAATCTTCCTGTCGCTGGTCGATCTGGCCTCGATGGCGATGCTGTTGTGCGTCGGGCCGGCCGTCAGGGACGCCGCGACGCAGAGCAAACGCGACGTCAACGTCCTCAAGGCGTTCCAAGGGCAGGTGAGCCAGATACAAAGGGAGAGCGTTTCGTGGCTGCACGATTCCGCCCTGCGAACCTACAGGCCGAATTCGAATGATTTCAATCACGCCTTGCACAAGGTGCTGTTCTTGGAGCAGCCCGAGCACTACTATAAGGTCGACAATTGGCCGGGCGAGAACGAAAGGAACTTGTTTTTGAGGTAATCGGCTATTAAATATAGCTAAAAAATATGTTTATAATGTTTTTTTTTAATAGGCTAACAAGCGAGGTGCCGCTTCTACAAACCACCCTGTTGAGGATCCTGTTGATAGGCATATCGAAGGAGCATCCGATCAGCGCCCAAGAAATCATCGAGATCACCGATCAGTTGATAAAGAGATCGGCGAATTTGCCGCAGGACTGCGCGCCGCCCATAATGGTCGATAAAGTCGAGATAATAGATTTCTTTTTCAATTTATGCAGCTACAATTATCCCGAAAACATCACTCTACCCATCGGCTACGTGCCGCCTAAACTGGCCATCACTAACTTATACTGGCGAGTGTGGTTGATGCTGTTGATTTTAGCCGCTCACAATCCGTTATCGTTCGGTAGTTTGGCTTGGAACAAGTACCCTACGTTGAAGATGTTCATGGAAATGTGCATAACGAAGTAAGCCTAGAAACACGCTAGAGTATTGCCAATAGAACTAAGAATTGTTGCGTTACAGTCACTTTTCGTTTCCGCCGCCGACGATGGCCTCCGTCGACGAGGACTACCAGTCGAAGGAGCAGCAGATTCTCGCGTTGGAGAAGCAGGCGATTCTGGAGTTCGAATCGCATTTGGCGGCGGCCAGTACGAAAATGGAGATCAACGAACAGACCAGCTTGTTGTTGCCGCAATGCATGGAACTGAGGCCGCAGGGCGACGCCCGACGTCCCCCGCAGAACGTGCTCGATCTGTTGCAGACTTTGAACAATTCACATCGATTGGGCCATTTGTTATGCAGGTACATCGATGAAATGTTTTCGAGTTTCATTTGTGTAATTTCGGATTTTTTTAGATCGAGACACCCGGATTTCCTGCTAGATATAATGTCGAGGCAAGGAGGTACAGCTCACATGCCTTGGCTGGCCGAGCTCGTGCACAGTTCCGAGGGTGTTTTAGCCCACTTGCCAGTACAATGTCTATGCGAATACCTGCTTTCCACAGCACCGGCCGAGAAATTGACGAAACACGGGCAACTTTTAGCCCATTTAAGGACCGTAGTAGACGGCAACGACGCGCAAAGCGCCTGCGAAGTATTGGAGTATTTATTTAGAAGGTTAACGTCCGATCACGGCGCGAATCGAACTCAAGCGACCAAAGGTTTAGATTTGATTCTGGCGCCGGCCGAAGACGCGGACGCCGCCGACGAGGCGACGCCTTGGTTGACGCGGTACATCGGTCGTTTCGCGCACTTCGCGCTCATCAAGCCGGTTCTGGTGCAGTTCCTGCGGCAGGCCTTGCAGATCGAGACCGATCCGGCGAGGGTGTCCAGCTACATCAATTTCCTGGCATCGCAAGACTTCGGCGATTCCTTCATCGAGCTGAACGAGCTGGTTACCGATTTGTCTTCGGTGATCATCGAGAGACACAGCGTCGCTTCGTACGTGTTGCCCGGTACAACTAACTTTGAGTGTATTTAAGCATCGCTATTTCTTATGCGTTTTTTTTTTGGTAGGCGAGAAAAATGCTACGTTGAAAAATCTCCTGCGAATATTCCATCTCTACACGCAAAAAGCAAAGGAAAATTCGGAGGAATCGTACGCCATTCATCAAAGTTACGGTAACGAGTATGTGATAGTGTCCTGGTCGTCGGGCGACGAATGCCCTTTGCAACCTCTAATTATACATGCAACTGTAGTACTATTGACCTACGGGCCTTTGGAGGATTTTGAACCTTTCGAAATGCTGTTGAACAATTGGTTTCCCGATAACGCCGAACACCCAAGGGCATATTCGCCCGAATCGTCCGAAACCACGTCTTATCTACCCGATTGGATGAAATTGCGGATGATACGGTATGTTGTTGTTGTTAATTATAACTAATAGTATTATAACCGATGGATTGATTTTAGCTCGAACGTGCCCCATTTGGTAGACGCCGCTATTGAGAAACTCGAACCGCCCAAACTCGTTCTGTTCATTCAATCTTTCGGCATACCCACGAATTCTATAAGTAAACTGCTTCATACGTTGGATAAAGCCACGATATTAGATCCGAAACTGGTCGTCGATTCCGTTTTAGACAAAGCCTACATGATACAATTAGTCGAGGTGCAAAACAAGAGAGGTGCCACAGGTTAGTTAACCGATGTCTCGATCGCTGCACGAGCTTAATTTGATCAGTATTTCGATAAAATATCAAACGTTTGATATTATTCGCAGGTGGGGAAATATTCGTGAAGGCTATAGAAATGCAAACCCCCGTCGTAGAGGACATGGAAATGGACGTCGACGTTGTGGTGAAAACGGAATTACCGGCTTCTACGAAACGACAAGCAATCGGAGCGAACGAAGCGGATATAGTTCGAAATTTGAACGATTTGTTCAATCCACATCATCAGCAGGATAAGAATCGCATCGCCTTGTCGTTGATTAAGGTGGGTTTAATACAAGAGGTCATTGAAAATTACTTTAGCTTAGATATAATACGCTCACCTCATTGGCCTGACTTGTACATTCTAGGACATAACATCCAATCAAAAGCTGTCCCCGTTCGTCTTCGACTTCATGAAATCGGTACCAACAAACTACATTCTACCGGTGACTTTGAAATACAATTCGACTTCGACTCTGCTGCGCCTCGTCCTCGCGGCCGGCCGGCCAGATCCGGAGAAAGTGAATTTCGCCAGGCGCCTGTTGAACGCCCTGCCCGACGACAAGCGTTGCGTCGCCGTCGTCCTGCGCCGGTACTTGCGCTCGACCGGCGAAGAAACCGCCAAAATGGAAGTGGATAGAGAGGAGAAATGCCAGACGATGCCTGACGCGGGAGATATGGGCGAGAAGCTGGGCAAAACTCTAATGGAAGGTGATGGTAGAGCCCAAACCACCGGTTTAATCGTAGATTGGTTGACTGCCATCGAATTGGAAATCGCCAATTCGGATAAACACAAATTACAAGTACGTACCTACACCGAAAAGAATCCGTTTATTAACCTGCGAATTGATGCAGATGGAGCTGTTGTTCTCGCGACAGAAGCTCCAATTCAGACCGCTGCTGATGTCGCTGGTTTTGCAACGGGCCAGCTGGAAGATCCTCCACAACGTGATGATTTATCTGTTGAAAAATTACACTGAGCCGGTCGGCGAGATCTGCCCCACGTCCGCTTTGGACTTCTTGGCAGCTCTGATGAAGAGCCCCAAGTTGTGGCAGGGGCGCGACAAGGCCGTGCCGAAACATCACCGATTCGAGGACGTGCTGAAGTTGAATTGCGATCAAGTAAATCGAATTAGATTAGAAATTTTGCGCCGTTTTTTTTGTAAAACGTATTTCTGCAGGTGTTGGTGATGATAAAGTACATCATAGAAGAAGCGAAGATGAACGAGGAGAATTGGAAAAGGAAAATGGAGAGCCGCTTGCAATTGGTGTTGAGAAGCATAGGCGATAACGCCGGTGTTATAATGAAATCGCTACTACGTAACGCCGATGATAAATACACGCTCGAGTTGATTCTGATGATTTACATGTCGTTGCCCTATTCGATACAAGACGGCATCGAAGCCAAGCCGGAAACTTGTAAGTATCATCCGATAATAGATTCGCTAATACGCAGTATTCTTTTATCGCGCAGGCAACGATGTATACTCGAAGAACTGCCCGAGCACCGTCGACGAAATATCCCATTGCCTGTTGAGCGCGCTGGCGGCGACGCCGCGCTCCAAGGACTGGTCGAAGCGCAGCCAAGAGCTGGAGTTGTGCGCCCGCAAACTGGCCGCCACGCATCCGGTGCTCGTGCTGCGCCAGCTGCCGATGCTCGCCGGCTGCCTGAAGGGCAGGGCGCAGTACGAGTGGGGCGTGCTCAAGTGCCGCGGCCATTTCGCGCTCTTCGGCCAGATCTTGGGCCTGGTCGAGTTGCTGCGGCCGCACGTCTTCGACCGGCCGGCGACGCTGCGCGAATTGCTCGATCCGTACTTTTTGCTGTTGCGCTACCACGGACACGGCAAGGATTTGAACGCGCTCGTGACGAGGTTGGTGAATTTCGTGCAGGATTGGATGGTGGTGGACGTGCGCGCCGCTTCCAAGTACCTGCAAGAATACGGACCGTTATTACAGTAAGTTTTTTTTGACTAAACTAATAGTACCTAAAGGACGTCCGCGCTCGCTAGGCAATGACGTGATTTTTAGACGACGTCATTAATTTCCACGCAGTTCAACATTCCCCTAGTGTCAATGTTAATTCTCCCATTTGACTAGGGGAATTTTACGACGCGTAGTTGAAAGTCGAAGGCGATGTTGTCATGCATTTAGTCTCAACATTCGCAATATTTAGCGGCGCTTTGTAGTTGACACTTTGACGATTTTCCTGTATTTTTTGAAGTTTACGAGTAGGTTTTGTGTTTTTCGTTCGTTCTAGATAGTTTTTCGTGCGGTTTATGTACATTTATCGACAGTTTCTCCCGCCATTTTCGGTGTTTTTCGACCTATTTTGGGAGGGAACGGGACGATGTAGGCCCTTTTTTCCCGATTAATTCCCGATCAATATTTTCGATAGTTCAGCACATTGAAATTTACAGGTTAAGTTAAACTTACGAATAGTTTTTTAAATGTACATTTCTGTTTTATAGGGTTGTGAATCGTTGCAAATAAACACCTCTACCGTCAATCGGATTGCAGCCTAATGCATTTCTTCTTTTTAATTTCTAAACAATGAAAGCTAACATAAACTCAAATTAAATATATCTGTCACATCAAGATTTTCATGCCAACATGTTGCAACATGTTGGCTTGTGACGTCATTGCCTAGCGAGCGCGAATGTCCTTTATTAACGTTAATTGTTTGAATTTAAGCGACATCCAGTTTAGCCAACCGGGCGTACGACCTCTATTATCGAGCGTTTCGCTGCCCACGTCTTCGGATCAAGTCAGCCAAAGCGAAGTGCTAGTGGGTACTGTAACGCCGCCCGTGCAAGAATCTTACCCGCAACACTGGCCTCAGCTAAAGCAGGCCCTTCAGCAACCCGACAACTACTCCGCGCTGCAGGAACTCGACTATTTGACCAACAAACGGCCCCGGTGGTTGGCGGACGTGTCCCAGCACCTGTGCAAATCGATCGGTTCCCCGAACGGATCGATAAGATCGTTGAGTCTCACGTTGGTCGTGAGATGGTTGAAACACGATCCGAGAGCGGCGGGATCGGCCCTGCCCGCCGTTTTGGCCTGTCTGGATAGCCGCAACGGCGACGTCGTCGACGCCGTGCTGGACAGATTGCCGGATTTGGTGGCGGTTATGCAGGAGTACGCCAAGATAATATTAACCAGGGCGTTTCGATTGGGGATGAAAGCCAATATAAATTCGGCTAGTAGTATTACAAAGTGCGTGGGACTATTGAATTTGCAGTACGGTTGTTGATATGTATTTATCGAGGAATATTTGTATGTTTAACAAGACTTTGATGTGGAATAAAATTAAAACCTACTATTATGTATCAATCATCCTCATCGTCCGTAGTAAGGTTTTGGAATCGGGCGGTAGATTGAAATGCTGCACGTCATCGATAATAAATTAATAAAGCGTGATAAGTTCTAATCGTGCCGTCAATTCGTGTTGGGCGCCGAGGGAAAATCGGCGTTCAATTCGCGATTCGCAAAAAAAATTAGCGTCAATTTGATCCGGATTAAGGCTTATTTAATCCAGTGAAACTTATCCGGGTTAATTTTCCTCCCGGTCGGCGGTATAATAACGAACCGGACGGGTAAATTAGAAACGACCGATGAAATGAATTCCGACGGAACGCCGTCGGTTCGATGGCGCGGAAAATTTCCTATTGTTTGTGTATTTGTTTTCACATTGTTTCGTACGTTCTTATTTGATTTGTTTCGGGATAAATCGCGATGTTTTCGACGAAAAATCGTTGGGAAAACATGTAATATATCGGTACATAAATAAAATTACTAACTAAAAGCTAATCGAATAAACAAGAAAACATAGTAAGTGTACTGATGAATTTGAAGCGAGCGTTATTATGTAAAAGGTTTTAAAAGTTTAGAAAAATGATGATGATTAATGGCTGATCTTAATTGGTTATTATTTCTATCAAAAAGATCAGCTCTAACCGCATAAAATATCCTTCAATAAGTGAGTAAATGTTTTCTACAGTAAAAAAATAATAAAGTTTGTAGGAAATAAAACTTTTCTATACAGTCCTGAAAGCGACTCATATTTCGTCAACAATACTTTTCTCTCCTCCAATCTCCAGTTATTTCCACCATTGTTAAAGGATATCTAAAGAAGTTTATCAGGATTATCCTTCAAATACAATAAAAGACCTTCGAAGATATTCCTCATTTTAGTTTATACCACGTTTCTATTTCTAAGGTCTCGAACCAGCCTATGATTTTGCATTAGAGCATGTGTCCCGTTAAATGGAGACTTTTTGAGCTTCATGGCGAACGATCGGAGGATCAAGTTATCTCAGCCAATCAGGGTTGTGTGATGACAGTTCAATCTGTCAAAAATTCAAAAATTATTTTTTGACATTTCGAGGAGAAAATGGAGAAATACATTAACCAAAGATACGTGAGGCATGAAGTTAACAACAAAGTAATCGCTGATTTAAGTATATTTTGTATCAATTTTGAATAAAACCTTTCTTAATGCTAATTCTATATCGGTTGCTTCAATTCAGACCGCAACATGGTCGTTTCTATGAGTTGAACAAAGAAAGATTGATAAAATAACAGTTGTCAGAGTGAAAAGTTGCAATGACACAAATGTCACTCTTTCCTTTCCCTTTGAAGTGTCCAATGGAAGTTGTCTTTATCGCACCCATGGCCTATATAACCTATGTTGCGATCAAAAATGGAGCAACCTGTATAAGTTTATATTCGCAGGCAAAAAACCGCGATCATTTACAACCTCGCCTCCTAGCGGCCGCTTTAGGAACCCTGTTTTATCTTCAAATAACGGGACACTTTTTCGACCTACGTTTCCAGACCTTAGACATACACGACGTGGTTCATACCCATCGATTCCGAAGAATCGCTTCTTCATTTACACCCGTTTAAACATTGTCTTTCGCTCCGCCGCGTCATTTCCCTTCCGACCTTATCGTTTCCAATCAAACGGCGAAAATTAAAAAAAAAAACTGGGCCCCATTAAAATCTGCACGACGTCCCGAACAGACCGGACGATACAGGAAGCCGAATGGTCTCGCCATCCCGTAGGCGTCCCCATCGGACGCATGCCCTTCGGGCGGTGAAAAACAGGGAGGCGTCGCTCCGCTTAAAGGCGTCGCGATCGCCGTCGACGCGCTCATTCCTCCACGGATCCGACTTCCGAACGACCGTCCACGGGGAGAGAGAGCACCGCCGAGGTTGTAGATTCCTTCCGTTTGCGGCACTATCTCCGGCTAAGTCATGAAGTACTCTTGGCTGATTCTGGCGTCGAGCGTCGTGCTGGTGCTACTCGACGTCGTGCCGATTAGTGATTGTTCGCCGTACGTCGACGATGGTGAGTTATCGCCTCATATTCGCATTGTTTGTTTTTTTCACTCGACTGTATACAGTCGAGCATACATAGATCTTTTGATACGACTGGGCGTAGAATTTAATTTTGTTATATGCTGAGCAAACAGCAAAAAGTTTCTATCTTCAAAAGCGACTAGAAATATTTCAGTACACCCGGTATATCCAAAAAAATATTACTGCCTATTTCAATCGATGATAATTTTAATTCCAATAATGGAATGAAAATTCTATTTTTCTACTATTTTCTTCTACCACATCCAATCAAATTACTCCACTTTCCTACTCTCTAAAATCGATCTGGTTTTTGCATTTCTTTTAGTGCAAACTTGAGTTAAACTCTATACGAGGGTACTTTTATTTAGATACCAACACCCACTTTTCTAACAATCTCATCTCTACAATATAAACAAAACACCTTCAGTACAAATGCATTGAAAAATCGAATTTCCACTCGAACTCCACTTTTCCATTATCTTCTTACGCTTCTTTTTCGTTCCGTTTTTATTGCAAAAACTTTATTATTTTAACGGGGTAATGTAGGTGTAATAAAAAAGAACACCGTAAAGCACATCCTTACTATGATATTACTTGTCGGAATTTCCGTTGTCTCAAGTTTTCGAATTAATTTCCCTGGAAAACTTGGAACTATTACCTCGACGATTGCATTAAATTAAAGCGATATAGCGCGACGCTTCCCTAATTTAAATTAATTAGCCGAAAGAAGTAGAGAAAAATGGAACGAGAATTAAGTGTCCTTTTTAACAAAACCATTTATTGTGGGACATTAGTGTGGAAAACCTAGATATTTGGGTTTCACATTTTGTAATCCTGTGCTTCAATTTGCATATATAGGGTGTCCTAATAAAAAAAATCCTTAAAAAGTGTCTGTTAATAACATTTTTCGCAATTTCAACAACACCCCTGGTGTTACGACCTTCACTCAATCACACAAAACTTTAATCAATTAGCAGAAAATATTCACTAACTAAACGTATAACAAAGTTAATTTCGCACAAATCCACTAAGTAATCATTTTAATTTCCTGCTGTTGTCGCAGAAAGACTATTCAACGAAATTAATAAACTAAGTTCCCTCGATTCTCCTCGGCGAAAACCCCTAAATAAAAGGAAAAAGTTGGTCGGATAAGTAGTAAAACCCAACTGTTGCCTTCCCGACGGAAAACTTTTAATGACGATCCGATTTTAGAGTAGGAAAAACGCCCCACAATGGAACCTAATACGCCGGAGATTTTATTTAAGTTTCGGCCCAACTTCCCAGTTAGTTTCCTCCGCTTTATGAAGTTTATTAATTTATCACCAAGGTAAATTCACTTCGTTCGAGTGAGTAAACATGTGTGAACGAGTGCTGATAGAAAGAGGTAGTTTATTTATGGTAATATTTTGATATACAGGATGATATTCTATTATTTTTATCACTGTTGTATTGGGAAAAGGGTAGAGCAAATTGGATTGCTGGTTGTTATTAGATACTTGGTAAAGTGTACTTTGGAGATTAATGGAAATATCAAATACGGTGAGATGAGGAGAACGAGATGATTTGATATATTTCTTGTAATAAGAAAGATTATTGTTTGGTTAGGAAGTATATATCTGAAGGGGATGAAAGAAAATTGGTGATACATGAAGCGTATAATTTGAAAAAATTTATAAAAATGTTTGGTAAACTGGAAACATCCCGTATCTTGTGTAATTTACCTAGCAGAACAAATTTCCTTCCTATGGAAGCGCCATCAATTTTCGATCTTTTCCGGCGAGAGCGGATTTTTCGAAAAATGGAAAAACAAAAAACCGGTAAAAGTAGCGGACTTAAGTACTCGGAAAAGCCCGGATCCAATTTTCCGAACCGAAGGATAATCAAGCGTAACGAATTCGTTCCATCCGTTCGAACGAAAATCGAATTTTTCATTCTGTTTTGACGGTCGGATTTTCCGTCCGGATGAAACCCGTCCGACTCCGGTTATTTGCTATTTTATTCCGCGATTATCTATCGGGCTATATTATTGACATTAGGCGTACACGTTTCCCGTCTAATGGCATTATTACTGGTTTGTGTACCGAGCGTGGGTTCCTGCGAATGCATGTCGAACGAAAACCCCGGCGAATTTGCATTTTAAACACCGTGGGCGTTCCGGTTTTTTTTTTCGTCTGAAAATTCACGCGACGAGCGACCGAGAATTTCTCCCGTGAAGAGGAAACAGCCTGCCGCTTTCCCGGCGGAAGCAACAGGCTTGTCTCGATCGAAACTTCCTCGGCCGCGCCGGAAAACACCACGTCGCTGGCGAAACTTTCCGTCGAGTCGGCAACGATTCGAAAATAGAAATGCACATGGAAATTACAGCGGAGCAAATGGAAAATTTATTGGGCTATTTTAGCTTCGACATGTACACGTACTCGATATACACGTCTAATTTTAGCGGAGCTTTCAGACTGATGTGACATGTTCAATAGAAATTGCATATGCATAACCTACATACAGTTAAGTGAAAATTTTGTGGGTCTATGGGTGCAAAATATACAATTTCTATTAGTCCTGTATAAAGGAAGAAAAAAAAAGTGATATTGTGTGATTGCAATTTTCTTACTATAATCGCTGTTGCAGGATAAAATAAAATGATAAAAATAAACAGAAAAGGAATTATAGTATATAGAGGATATGAAACAATAATGAAGGATATAAATGATAAAATAAGCTCTGAATACATATGAAACCTACAGTAACCCGTGTTTTGTTATGCCACCCTCGCAAATCCATACTGAGGGGTGGTTTCGAGAAGAGGGTGGCAGACGTCGGGTCGAAATGCTCGAAATTCCACGTCCCCAACTCGAATATTGCAAATATCGTACCGGTTGTAGTGACAAGCGGGTAAATTTGTGGAAAGAAAAAGGTCTCAATTTTTGGAGGTCGCCAAATTGGGGAAAATTCGAAAAAATAAAACCCCACTGTCAATAAAACTCGTCGGCAAGTTGTATTAGAAACCTGCTTCAATGTTGTAGACAATTAAAGTTTACAGAAGTTTCCAAAGTAATCGTCGAAAAGCCGACTCCCGTTCGAGCTCCCGCAGGGCAGTTTCCCGGAATAAGCGTTTCGAACGTAAAACGGGAATATTGCCAATTCGCCTAACAGCAAACTGAAACATACGGGGTCTCGTTACCTTCTCAATTCAACGATTCATATCGCATTATTCAAATTCACGTTTACTTCCAAATCGCAATTAACGAACGTGTGGATGGGTGCTAAATAATTCAAGTGGATCGTTACTTTAACGTCTAATTTACGCCTGTTTTACGGCCCGATTACAATGGCTTCCGACCTCGCTTACCCGACTGTTTCAACAGGTTTTCGCCCTTCTTTTCCTAATTTATCGGAGCCGTTCAAAGGGCGAAAAAGCCCCAGGGAGCGGACGATAAAGAATTTATTCGATTCGCCCCGTCTCTTTCGCTCGTCCTTAGGAGAAACCCCGCTGTGTTATGTCCTCGTTGAAGGGATGATTTTCGAACTTGTTCCGAAGTCGAAGGGAAATCGAGAATTCCTGAAGTTCGGGGTGGTTTTTGAATGGGGTGGAAATTTTTCGAGCGAGTCGGTTGGGATTATTGCCGTTCGAGTGGGTTGAAACTTCAATCGGGAATTTTATATTTTAATATTCATGTTCACTATAAATCTGCCTTATTAAGGAAAATTATGTCGCGAGAATTTTATTACTCGTTTTTAACGCCCTTCCATCAAATTAAATCCCGGATATTTTATGACTCTAATTTATTTCAGTTTTAAATTACCAGTTTAGAATTATGCACTGTTGCAAAGAATCGTATATTTCGCCTTTTTCGGTCTCAATTCTTCTTAAATTCTGATTATTAATTAAACCTGCAATTTTATTAGAAACCTTCCTTTGGTCTGCTTGGAAAACCCAATACTTTTAATTAGATTTCATCCGGATCAAAGGAAAATTACCCAATCAATGCGGATTAAAGGTTTATTATTAATAATTTCATCATGAATATCGAATAAATCAAAACGCGGATACAATTTATTTGAGTTGAATTATTACGTAGTAAATCCGTGTACAATTTGCCAGAAATATTCAAACTATACAGAGATTTATTATTACACAGAGGGACTGGTTTTAATTAACAATTTTATGCAAGTAAGGAAATTAATTAAATTCCATCATAACATAGCAATTTCGTTCAAATCCCCGCATCTCCAGCACAAACCAAAACTTTATTTAATCCAAAAGTAAATGAGATTTTTATTAAAAACTCCCTTCAACCCGCATCAAATAGTACGGAATTACCTTCTCAATAACCTCTCGTATCTGGATAATTATTTGAAAAAAAAAATCCCTTTTCCAGAGGAAAGCTATCAACCGAGCGAAGACGATTACACCGACAACGCTATCGATCGTCTGCTCCAATCTGCTCAGAAGTAAGTTTTTCCACATGAACTTATTATTATCACTATTATTACGGTAAACATGCCGGCGGAGGAAACGCCCCGCCGCTATCCGGCTACCCGGAATTCCTCGGCAATTACGGGGCGCTCCATTGTCAATTCCGAAACTCCGGAATGATACCGGTCGCTTAGCACTCGACGTAATCAAAAACGGCATCTTTCGCCGGATAAATTGGAAAATCGGGGCTCAGATTGAAAAGTAATCGTACGGTTCCGCGAGCGCCGCCGCTTGTTCGTAATTTCTGGAATGCGTCTAAACGATTTGAGGAATAAATAGAATAAATAACCGGTGGCATTTCACAAATTCCTTTATATTGTACCAGCCGTTTTCCTCTTGCTTTGTTAATGAATTTTGTATACAGAAGTAGGATTTTATTGAGATTTTATATGCCTTTTCATCACAGAGGTTATACCAAATTAGATTTGTTATTCAATTAGTCTTTAAAAACAAGCACACAAACGAGAGGAGTAATTTTAACACTGATGTGTAACTTTGGGGCGTGGGAATAAAAAAAAAGCGTGGAAAGCCGTTAAAGAAAGGGAGTAAACCCGATTGTAAAAAAGTGATTTCTAATTCTATTCCAGACGTTCGTTAATTTACCTTTTCAGACGAGCCTGTATCAGACGGGGCGGAAACTGCGACCACAGGCCCAACGACTGTTGCTACAACAGCTCCTGCAGGTGCAACCTGTGGGGCTCCAACTGCAGATGCCAGCGCATGGGCCTCTTCCAGAAATGGGGTTAATCAGACCCGTTCAGGAACCGACCCATACGACACCCGTGAGACAATAACAGGATTCACCGTTAACCATATTAGTTGCAGTAAATAGAGTCAATTCAATTTAGTGTTGATCATATCAAATTGGAGGTCATATTAGTTTGAGGCGTCAATTAGAAAGCTTGTTTGAACTAATTGGTACTATTTAATCGTACGATGTAAGTAAATTTGTTTTGTTAAATTAATTGATTTAATTGATCAATTTCTACGTTTTTGATAAATGGATAATTAGGGGTTTTTGAATAAACATATCGGTAAAAATCCTGTTATTATTTCATCAGGATCATTTTTCTAAAGATAAGGATCAAGGACTTCGAATCCTTCACCACCGGCTTTGTGTGCAGTTAACCGTTTGATTTCCTTTAGTCGAAAAAAACTGTTTTTTCTTTTCAAAGGAAAAAAAATAAACGAAGTTCGGTGGTGATTTTTCGAAATTTTTGATCCAGACCGGCGCGCGAATTTGGTCAAACGACTGTTAATATTTCTGTTGTTTTAATGATGTTAATATCCTCTAAACTGAAAGGACCTGAGTTACGAAAAATTGGAAAACTTATTTAATCTAATTAAGTTAATTAAATTAGGAGTTAAAGCGTTCATTTCGAGCTGTCACCTCGACGGGAACGAAGTGAAGTTCATCGGACGTTTGCCGAAGTTCGAACGGAAGCGCCTCGATGAATTTCTTCGATTTATTTGTTCTGTAAATCAGCCCGTTTTTTTCTTGGATTTAATCAACAGGTTAATTAAATCGGCTGCGCACCCACCGAGGGTTTATCCAGCCACATCTTCGGTAGGTCTGCATGCCCGATTCGACGAAACGCTTTCGTTAATTATATATGACTAATTAAATGTGTAATTATGTAATTTATGTATAGATGTGATAATTATGATGTCATTAAAAATAGCGTTAAAACGATTATTTATGATATTTATATAAATGTGTGTAAGATGGGTACAACATTCACGATTCACAAATTCTGTCAATATTAAATATATTAATTGGCCTAAAATTTTATACTTTTTTAATTTTGTTAATAACCTATTTCCTCCCGCAAAATAATGAAGTTCTATCGGGTTTCCCAACAAGAATATTGTGTTTTTAAACACATTTTTTAAAATTTATTTTCAACTGTGACATTTATGTTTTAAACGGCACATCATTCAAATTTCCTCCGCAACTCGATTATCCCGAATTTGATGATGAATTTTTGGTCACTTTATGCAATATATCCGCATTAATTTCACGAATGCAGCGCTCTATCATCCGTTTTTTAGTCCTCTAATGTCTATGGTTTGTTGGCACAGATCAATGACTTAAAATAACTACATAAATAATAATCCAAGGGTGTTAAATTGCAGCTTCTTGCATGCCAAGCATCCAGTCAAAGTTGTTCAATTCTTCTTGGATCTCGCGCATTAAGAGTTTCAGGAAACTTCTTTCGATAAGTCGATGATTTGAATAATCGAAAATAAATCGATTTCTTGCATTTTTTCGTCGCTGTGTTTGTTCTTGATCGCGCAAAGTAAATTCAGTTTACTTACAACTTACACAATTCGATGAATTGCAACATAGTTGAAAGATTATGCACACGAAAATTATCATGTAAACAAGCGACAAGTTTCGTCAATAGATCGGTGTTTTTCATAAATTTTTTGAATAATAAACAAACGTTATTGAAGCGCGTATGATAAACTGGCCTGACTGTACCGAACACAAATGTCGAGCAATAACAATTCAAAAACATATCAACCTTATTATTAGAAAACCTTATAAATAAAATCACCCTTCACATTTTACCCTACTTCTAAATTAAGCCAACAGTTAATTAATTAATTAATCAATTAGTAACGAAGAAACCGTCTGGTAAATTACACCCGTCCAATTCTCAATTAGTCGAACACTCGACACCCAACCATCCGTCCTCTTCCGTCGGGGAATTCAATATAAAAAAAGCCGGACACAAAACGATTATAATTAAAAAGACGTCGCGTTGGCGAACGTTTGTTTTCGAACGGAAAATAATACGGAAGGCAATCAACTGGGAAACAATACGTCCTTAAAAACTCGAAAGGCCAACAATTCGTTTTTCGACGGCCGCAGTTGCTTTACGGGAGAGGCCTTTTAGCCGGCAGGCAGTTATTAAAACGTAAAAAAGACAAATGGACGAACGCAGTGGTAATGGAAAAATGAAAACGACGGGAAAAACGGGGTATTTTAATGTTGTTGGAGCAGGTTTATAGTGAGTAACAACTTACGCGCGCGTGATAAGGATTAAGGGATAAGGATTTTTTATTGGTCCATTTTTTTAGGGTTTATTTAATAGTCTTGATTTATAATAAGTGGTTTTAATAGGATTATAAAGAACTTGCGATTGTTCTTTTAATATTCAGGGAATTAAGAGCTTAACAATGTTTCATAAGTATTTATACTCTTATAAAGTTTCATTATGCTTTTAAATTCGAGAACTTTGAAGTAAGAACACGAGTGCGAACAAAAAGCGAGAATACAATAAACAGTGTGTTGATTAAATAAACTCAACAAGTTCTATCTTTTAATAATTATTTTCGACCATTCATCACTATTAAAGTGACGCAACGCACGCGTATATCAACATTTAATAAAGCTTTGATAAAAACTAATGTACCTTTGTGAAAAAAAAAGTACAAACATAACGAGCAAAAAATCGCGAAATGTAACCAGGAACATCACAACATGCGGGATAATAATAAGCTGGATATACGGGTAGAATATCGAACAAAACAGGTAGTAAAGTAACAAAGTAAATTGGGTCTCGGGATGCTTCGATATATGAATAGGAAGAAGCTAATGGAATTTCCATGTTAGCGGCCTACGAACGTTTGTAATTACGGAAGATTTAAAACTCCTACACGGTTTTTCTGTTAGATCCCGGGAATCGACGTCTAATTGAAACCCTCAATAGATTTACCAACGTGTCGATCACGTTACGCGCCTAATTTCCCACGGGTCCTTCCGAAGCGGAAAAGTCGAGAGAAACCCTCCCTAACCCCCCCGGTAGGATTTCATAAAAATCCGTGTCTTATCTCTCTCCGCTTTTAATTCGAAATTTTAATTAGTCGTGTGGCAACAAATAGATAAAATACGTTCCTCCCGTACGGGCTAATATTCCACACCGCTCGAAATTTCGACAAACATTCGATAAACGTTTATCGACCTTCTTGACCTATTGCAACAAAGCAAACAAAAACTTAATGAAAAACAAACGGTTTATTTTCGAGATCCACTCGACATCCCGCTATCCCGCTCGTCAAATAAGTATTAAAATACGCGTAGTCGTTTTGCTCGATTCATCGCCGATTCCGTCCAGCGAGCGATGCGATTACCCGTCCAGGTAACGAGGCAATTAACGCTAACGGTTTTCAATCGATCGATAACGGCCAGAGCCATGTCGTTTTTGGTCAGTGATCCGAAATATTCCTTTCTGAAGGAGCTGGGGATACGGGAGAGGAACCCGGGCGCCTTCGACGGCGCTTGGAAGGCTTCCGGGCCGGTAAGTTCAAGCATTCGAATTCAGTAGGCAATATATTTTGTATAGTTTGATTATCATTTTGAAAGGCATTATATTTATCTCGAGATCTTTTAGGTAGTGAAATCGGTATGTCCTAGTAATGGAAAACCCATAGCAGAAGTACAGCAAGGGTCTTTGGTCGATTACCAGCGATGCGTGGAAGCTTCGGACGCGGCTTGGAAGGTTTGGGCGGACATTCCAGCGCCTCAAAGGGGCGAAATAGTCCGTCAAATAGGGAACGCGCTGAGGGAGAACTTGGTGCCCTTGGGACAGCTCGTTTCCTTGGAAATGGGTCAGTTCGGTTTTGCATTTTTATCAGATTTACATAAATCGAAATCCGATTCCTCAATTCCGATACCTTTCCCTTTTTCTTCCCAAGCACGACAACAAAAATCACGTGGATTAGTTCGTTTCATACGCCACAACTCGAGTTTTCCTTCGCGCCTTAATTGTACGATTTCGTTCCGCAGGGAAAATCCTGCCCGAAGGCATCGGCGAGGTCCAGGAGTACGTGGATATATGCGATTACGCCGTCGGCCTGTCCAGAACGTTGGCCGGGTCCGTTTTCCCATCGGAACGGCCGGGCCACGTGTTATTAGAAAACTGGAATCCCCTGGGGGTCGTGGGAGTCATTTCGGCTTTCAATTTCCCCATAGCCGTGTACGGATGGAACAGCGCCATAGCGATGGTAAGTTAAGCAACTCCTACAGCGAACCCTCGGTGTAAGATATAAGCGGAATGTGTTTAGGTGTGCGGTAACACGGTGTTGTGGAAGAGCGCCGAAACCACTCCGCTGGTGGCCATCGCGACCACTAAAATCATCGAAACCGTCATGGAAAGGAACAATTTACCCAAATCCGTGGCGTCGTTGTGTTGCGGTGGGGCCGACGTAGGCAAAGCCATGGCAGCCGATGCTAGAGTGAAACTCTTATCGTTCACCGGTAGCTGCGATATCGGCAAACAAGTGAGATACCCCTTTCGATCGGAGATGCTTTGGTGATTGTAAATGCGGTTGATTTACAGGTGGGAGTCGAAGTACAGAAGCGATTCGGGAAAGTTCTGCTGGAATTAGGAGGGAACAATGCTTTGATAGTGGCCGAAGACGCCGATTTGGACATGGTGGTGAGAGCGACGTTATTTGCTTGCGTCGGGACGGCCGGTCAGAGGTGTACTACTACCAGAAGGTTGATTCTTCACGAAAAGGTTAATATATTTAATTGATATTTCGTGAAATAATGGATTAATGTTTGTAGGTGTACGATGAAGTTTTGGATCGATTGAAGAAAGCTTACGGTCAAGTAGTAGGAAGAATCGGTGACGCACTGGAGGAGAACACGCTAATTGGACCGTTGCATAGCAAACAATCACTCGACAAATACGTTGAAACGGTAAAAAAAATAATTGATGAGAAAGGAAAAATAGAATTCGGCGGAAAAGTGAGGTTTTTACATGATGACAATTACAAAAGAGTAATTGGATTTCTTACAGGTAATAGACAAAGCCGGTTATTTCGTCGAACCCACAATCGTGACTGGCCTTCGACACGACAATCATTTAGTCCACGAGGAATGCTTCGCTCCAATAGTATACGTTCTAAAAACCTCCAGCACGGAGCAAGCCATCTCATGGAACAACGAAGTACCTCAAGGCTTATCTTCGAGCTTGTTCACCCAAAGCATCGACAACATATTCAAGGTAAATTCCAGATTCGTTAAACCGAATAGCCTACATAGCCGAGACCAAATGGGGAATACTCAATGACGCGTATTCAGCGCTCCTTTTCAACGCTAATTTAAAGAGTCTCTTTGTTTTGCTAGTGGATAGGGCCGAAGGGTTCCGATTGCGGCATCGTGAACGTGAACATTCCGACGTCGGGGGCGGAGATAGGCGGCGCTTTCGGCGGCGAAAAAAGCACCGGCGGCGGCAGGGAGTCGGGCAGCGACGCGTGGAAACAGTACATGCGACGGTCCACCATAACGATTAATCACTCGAAAGGGTTACCATTGGCTCAAGGCATCAAATTCGAATAAATAACGGTCATACACGAAACGGGCTATTGATATTCGTACTGAATGTTTGTATTTTAAAAGACTAATTAGGAAATAAAACGTACTTCATGTCGAATGGAAATTCTTGATCATGTCGACTAGTTCTGAGGTGACTTCGGGCATGGTCGGTCGCTTTTTCTTCTCTTCCAAGCACTTTTGGGACAATTTGTACAACATTTCTGAGTAGTTCTTGTCGTTTTCCGTCCAAGAACCGGCCCCGAAATCCACCACCTCCGTTACATCATCGTTTTCAATCGTCTCGCCTAAATGGGTCACCTGCAATAACACAATAATAGTTTGAAATATTGAAAGATATAGTAGATTACCTAATAAAACATTCGTTAAGATCTTACCAAATCAGCGCCCTCTCTGTTACAATCTAAAGGAGGTAACGAAGTCAGCAACTCGAGCAAAACAACGCCGAAACTGAAAGTGTCTAATTTAACAGATATATCTCCAGCGAAAGCCTCTCGTGGCATGTAAGCGGAGGTTCCGAATACAGTGGTAGATGTGTTGATGTTTTGATTCGGTATTAATTTGATCAAACCGAAATCGCCCAACTAAAAAAGTAAATAGCTATTAGATTCCTGTATCATTGCGATTAGAATGAACAATTACTACCTTTGGTTGGTTCTGGGAGTCGAGTAGAATATTGGCGGATTTGATATCTCTGTGAATCAGTGGTGAAGAAAACGCCGTATGTAAATAGGAGATGGCCTTTGATGTACCCAAGGCGATGAGGAATCTTTCCTTCCACGTTAAAGGACTAGTTTTATCCTAACAAAATAGCATCTATAATTAAGTGCATTAGAGAAATAATTGATTATTACCTGCAATTTATCCTTCAATGCTCCACCAGGAGCGTATTCGTACAGCAAACAATACGTACAACCATCGCAGGAATACCCCAATATCGATAACAAATTCTCGTGTCTATATTTACTCAATAATTCCACTTCGTTTCTGAATTGTTTGGTAACTTCATCGTCGACATTTACAATTTCCACGTCCCCGATTTCCAATTTTTTCACAGCCACCGGAATTTTCATCAAATCAAAAGCTAGGAAAACCGTCCCGAATTCCCCTTTGCCCAACAGCCTGCCTTCGAAATCGTTCCCCGCATATCGCTCCGTGTTAAAGTTATTCGAGGCCTTTTCGATGTCCAAGTAGTTGTAATGCGGCAACATAGTGTCCAAAGAAAGGTTCGGCAAAGGCGAGGAACACGACCGGGTCTTCGACCAAGACGTTTCCGGGCTAATTCTGGAGGAATCGTCGATGCGAAGAGCGCTGAAATCCGGCAAGTTGTCGCTGCGGCCCGAGCTCGATTCGAAGGAGTTTTCCGCGCATAAATGCGTGGAGTCTTTTGGATGCGTTTCGTTCGAGCTTGTATTGGTAGTTTGTTCTTGATACGATGCTGCTTTGAGGACGTCAAAGTCGGGTATATTCGGTTCGGAGACTAACTGATTTTGATCTATCTTTTCGGTGTCTTGCTGGAGAACGTCGAATTTTGGAAGGAAATTTTGTTCGGATACTGTTGAGGTTGTTTTCTTACTCATTATAAGACTGAATGCCGGGTTACAATCGCTTCCAGAGGAAGTTGCGTTTGTCTGTAAACACAAAATATTATAATTCCTAATACTGATGAAAATCTCATTTATTTACCTCACTGCTTTCGTAAGAACTTTCAGACATTTCTGTACTTTCGCTAACGATTTCAGAGCTCTCTTCGACCTTCGAATGAGCTCCACTTGTTCCAATTATCAAAGAAATATTCGGTACGTTCGAATCGACAGCACTATTTTCTATGCAGCTCTTAGAAAACTTCATCATATCAGAAACTTCTTCGTTAGGTTTTTGTTCAACGACTACCGGAACATCAAACCTTGGAGCATCGTTCTCGTTGTCCGGCGTGATAACAATATGCGGTATCTTATTAACTTTTTTAACAGTTTTTCCCGAATGAGTACGGATCAAATCCACTGCGTTGGAGACGTAACCGATATCATTGAGTTTTTTTTCGATTTCCTGGATTTCTTCGTCGCTTTGGGCGCGACCGCGTTTCATCACTTCGCTCAGTGAAACGGGAATTTCGGCTTCCGGTCCGGTTTCGGGGCGCATGGGTTTCTGCTGGCGGAGCAGGGTTTCGGCTACATAATCCGCTGCCCGGAATAAACGGGCCGCTGTTAATAAATAGAGCAAGTGTCCTAAAGTGGGGCGAATTCGGCCCGACGTACCCCATTCGTCAAACAGGATCTCCGTACAAGTTTTACGGGACTTCTCCGATTCGCTTTCAATCAACCTAAAACGAGTCGAACAGTAGGTTACCTCTAAATTAATGGATTCTAAATAATAACCTGAAGTGTTCGGAATTGTATTTGTAAGTGCCGGTTGTTTCGCATTCGAAATTCCCTTTATCCAATGTCTTTGGTATGATTTTCATAAGCCGCTTCCACAGATCGTGCGTTTCCAAAATCATGGATAATTCTCTTACGTGACTGGGCATAAGTTTTCTAATTTCTAGAGATGGGTCCATAATTACTCTGCGTCGAGCAAAATAAAACGCTTTATAATTCTATGAAATAATAAAAAATATTTTGAACTTGAATATTATGAATCGTGTGACTTTGACAATTAACTGACAATTGACGTACGTCAATGGTGTCATATTTCAGAGGTGGTCAAACAACAATTAAAATTTATACTAACGAACTCATAAATAGAGGTACAGTCTTCTTCTTTCATATAAAAAGACCTCAGGTGCGAGGCTATTCAGCCAAAAGATAGATACTGTGAAACACTGAGAACTTGAGCAGTTGTACCAATAAAACTTAGAATTTGGTAATATTTTGCAGCTACATTGGTCAAAAAAGATGTTAACAATACCGTATTGGTAATGGTTCCTGTCACTTGTCAGTATGAAGCTCTTTCAGCTCCCGATAGAGGGCGCGCCGATTCGCATTTTTTCGCCGCCGCCTGTGAAAACGGAAAACAAACACCGACAATCCCATGGCGTTTTCCATTGGTAAAATAGTGCGCACTGAAAGTGCACTCAACTTTTACCTATGAATACGGGCATAAATAAAACCATAAACAAATAAAAGATTACAAATATATCTATCACACGTTTATCCTAAAACATTGGCTTCAAATAAATTTCCACTAAAGAATTGTCGACGTCTCTAAAGGTAACGGCCACCTTTGCAAAATAGGCAACGAACGCACGTAAATTCTCAAATTCCGGTGAAATGCAATTCGTATCGGCGTGAAATCGTATTTTCATATTCGGCGTGCGTTCTAATCCCAAATTATAACATTTACCGTTGTACCTTAACGTAAGCACCATAAAATATTTTTCGCTCGGTCTGAACAAGAAGGCGCCATCGGGCATGTTCTTTAGAAGTTCCTTGGCCCCCTGACGGGTGGTTTTTTTGAAATACTTGTCATCGTAAATCGACGCTAAAATGAACATAATTACTGTACAAATCAGTGCAAATTTGTTTGCAATATGGTCAATTCTATGAGTCGAACAAAAAAAGATTATAAAGTTAACGGTGGTTAGAGTGAGAATATTGCAATTCTATAATAACACTCTTTCTTTTTCCTTTCTATGAGACAAATAGAAGTTTTTCTTTGTTCCACCCATAAACCATATTGAGTACAACTTTGCTGCTATGAAAAAGTAGTAGTACCTATCCAAAATTTGAAAAGTTAATTACCTACTCGAAATACAACAAATGGATTACTTGCATAATTACTCAAAAACTCTAATATTTTGATTGAATTTTGCCGAGTTAAGAGGATTGCAGGATTTGCTAATAATGGTCCATTTATTTTTCTAAAAATTAATTTTATATCAACTTTTTTATCGTTAGTACTATCTACTTTTCCATATACTTTTATTGGACTCTCGTCGTGAGACACACTGAATATGTTTTAATATACGTACAAAAAACTCCAACGTATTCGTTTTCACTAAACTCGCGCTCTTCCTTCAAACCACAGACGATCTCTTCGTGAGCATAAACTTTCGCAGTGGTGCCCAATTTATCAGAACTGCTGGTTAAATTCAATTGGGAATTTTTGTTGGGAACGTTTTGGTAAAAGTTCTTTTGATCGTCTTCACTTTCGTTCAAAACAGGCGTTTTTATCTTGCTGAAATTCTTCTTTGCGACGACATTGGGAGTTTCTCTAGTTTTGAGGGCTTGAGAAAGCTTCATGGCTAAATTATCACCCAATTGGAAATGTGGTTTTGGTTGAAATGCTGAAGAAGAAGCTTTTTGTACCGGAAAGTTTTCGTATACCTTTTGGTCTGAGGAGAAATTTTAATAATACGTGTAAAAATTATGCAAATAACTGCAAATTTGTACGCATTAATATGGTCAAGACAATTAACATCCATATAAAGGAAAAATAAAGAGTTATTTTATGGGATTAAACTTTTCTCCCTCTAACCAGTGTTATTTTAATAAATCTTTGTTCAACTCGTACAGTATTGATCATATTGCACACAAATTTGCCCATATGCATACAAATTATAGTTTTACCTTCAAAATTTTCATCATCACTGCTACTATCTTGTAGATTTTGGTGCGAATAATTATTTTGGTTGAAACTTTTGGTAGAAATTATAGGTTCCGTTGTTGTTCTCTTAATGTTTTTCGTTGTAATCGGATTATCGGAATGGCTCTTTATTACGTATTTTTTCGGTATTTTTTCGGTTTCGAATTTCGGTATATCGGGTAGCGGTCGATTTTTGATGGGTATCTCCCAATTTTTCTCTCGCGAGCTAACTTCGCTATTCACCATGTGATTTTCATAATTAATCCCTTGGATATTAGCAGTTTTCTTCTTCGAAAATAACTTGCCTATTTTTTTCGATATTTTTGACGGTTCTCTCGTTGGTGATCTGGAACCCTTATTAAAGGACTGCTGAGAACTCGGACTTAATTTCGTAGAATCGGCGGCTTGTTGTGTTGGAGCCTTTCGAATAGAACTCAGTTCCTACAACAACATACAATTATGTAGAATTACAAATAAACCGAGGAATTTATAAGTATTTTTACCAAATATCCATTCCCATTTGCTACTCTTCTGTCGTCCCTTTTTAAATCAGTTTCACCAACTTCAAAATGGGCATCAATTGATTTGAATTTGCTCGTCACATCAACCGGTTCAGTTTCAATCGGACTCTTTGTTTGAATTGCAGGAACATGGCGCGGTTCTTCAGGATATTCCAGGACGACGCTGGAGTTGACGTAGCTCCTTTCGAGTTCGTTTTTACCGAGGTAACTACCATCGATGCTCGATGTACGTTTAAGATTCTCGTAGATTTCAAACGGAGCGTCCTCGGTGGGCGTTGCCAAAGGAGGCCTGAATTTATGTTTGGCGGCTATTTGGTCTGGTATTGTAGGTAAAGGTTTGAGTTTAAGTTGTACAGTAACGCTTCCTTCTTGGGGATTGGTTTGGTGTGGTAGTTCTGGAGTTCGTGAATGTGAAAATTGGGCGGCAGGTGGATTGGACTCGGCTTCGTAAGCAGTGTATAACATTTGTGGAACAGGTCTTGAAGGTCTTTCTGGATTTGGTATAAAGTTATACGGTACACTGCCGTGTACCATGGTGGAGGAATTGGTACTTAAAACGTATCCGAGTTTTTGCTTGAATTCCGATTTTGCTAAACTGTTGCTTTTTGATGGTGGTTTTTGTTGTTCGTCCGGTTTGGGCACTTGTCTCCTGACGGGCAACGATTTCCATTGATTCGTCGCTTTTATTAACATTGCAGGATTCTTTTTGACGAGAGAAATAAAACTAAAAAGGTCCTTGGTTTGTTGGCTGCTTAGTCTCCAATATCTAGTTCCATGCTCGGTTAAATTCTGAAAGCAAAATTCATTTCGTTAAACAGCTAAAATTATTGTAGATATTTGTAACAATATATGGTTATAAAAACTTACCAAAAATTCCTCCCCGTCGATATTTTTGTCCTTTAATATAGAAGCAATCTCTCGGTGTCCATTCTAGAATAAATTAATCAAGAATATTGATTATTTTCAGAATTTTTATACATACATCTTCCAGTAATTTCACTAATTGATTTTCGTTCAAAATCAGCAATTTATTCAGAGCCATGATAGCAGTAAGAAATAAAATAATATGCACTAATTAATAAAGCACTACATAAGGCGCTAAAAATTATACTAATGGAATAATACCAATAGGAAAAAATTAATGAATATTTTATGAAACCGCACAGCTAATAGGTATGAGCATTATCAGTGAAAAAACGGAAACCACTTTGCTTTCGTCACTTCATCCTTTACGTACTGTTTTACAGTACAAATTATAATTTAATTTGAGGTAAGGATGAGACACCTTTGATCAAAAATTCTATTCAGGAAACTTTATTTTTAGTTTTTGATGGCTCCATAGGAAGCTCAATCGCCGAGTCCGGTCCTGCGTTTAAGAAAAATAGATGCAGTTTATAAATAGAAATTTTCAATTGTTGAACAAGATAATACAGAATAATATTAATTCAGTTTTAATTTTTTTTTATTCTACTTCGTGTAAAAACAAATTAGTTTCTATTTTTTAAAGAAAATATAAAAATAAAGAAAAAGTAGCTGCATAATAAAAACATCGCAGATCAAAAGTAGGCGTAAGAATTTTGACAATTGACATTGACAGAACTGTACTGTCAGAGAACATTCGTTATTTGAGGTTAGAAATTCTAAAATGTTCAAGAAGTATGTGTTAATTTTTGATAAAATATCGAATATTTTAATCAATTACGGTCCGTTTATTTTAGATTCGATGAAAAAGACAATGTTTCCAGTGTTCTACAGCTGAAGTCATCCGTCCAGAAAGCCATAAGGGTCAAATTGCTAGAATCATATCCCCATTTAGAAAACTTTATCGATGTGGTTTTGCCGAAAAAGGACTCTCTTAGGATAATAAAATGGTAATTCACTTATTCTCGCATTTGCGTGCATATTAGCCCGTACAATTTACTTTAATTTAAAATGTAGTATAAGTCTAAAGTATATTTTTGATAATATACAGAAAATATGATTGAATTAGTGCATAAATCACTTAAAATAGCATTTAATTAGTATTTTTAATTCTTAGCCACGACCACATAGAAATTATAGTTAACTCAAACGGCGAGTTACTATTTTTCCGGCAGAGGGACAGCCAATGGATGCCAACGCTGAAGCTATTCCACAAATGTAAGAATTGCTCGATAAACTATTAAATAAACTTTTAAACAAAACTCCGTTGCATTTAGATCCCTTCTTCTTACCGATGCACCAAGTTGACAAAGGGGCCATCCGATTCGTTCTGAGCGGTGCAAATGTCATGTGTCCGGGTTTGACCTCGCCCGGAGCTAAAATGACGGATGTTCCAACTGATACTGTTGTAGTAAGTATTTCGATAGTATTTTTTTTATGTAAGTATATTTATTAATGTGTAATTTAAGGCTATTATGGCTGAAGGAAAGGAGCACGCTTTAGCTATCGGTAAAACTGCTTTGTCTTCGGATGATATGTAAGTAATTAGTTTATCGTGAAAGCGAAATATTTAATTTTTAATACTTCTTCTTTTAATGCGTTTCAGAGCAAAAGTCAATAAAGGTATAGGCATCGAGAATTGCCATTATCTAAATGACGGGTTATGGCAAATGAAGCCCGTTAAGTAATTATTCATTTTTTCTACGGCCAAGCATTTTTTTTAATAAACAATTGTACGGTGGTTTTCAAGTTTGTTTTTAATGAATAAAGATGAATTTCGATCGTTCCAAGTTTAAAATCACTCAATTTAAATTAAAAAATATTGTTTTATTGTATTTATTTTAAACAAGGATGTATATGAGCTAAAACTACATGTTTGATTATTGATTACAAGTATAAAATCTTATTTCTAACTAATTCTACAATAATAACTAACACTTGTCTGGGAATTAAATGATTTTTGTCGGGTTTTTACGTGAATTACGCGAATGAAAACTATTCCTAAATATTTCGAAACTTCCATTATACTTGTTGAAATTTCTACAAGATGATTACTGCTCCCTGTTTGGTTTGAAATGTAGCCAGTGCTGGATTTAGATGAAAAGGCTCTTTTACCTATCTACATCTTGATCCTAAGACTTAAGAAAATCCGGCTCTGAACGTATTATTTAAAAGCCTAGTAAATATTTGTTTCTTTAGCTCCCGTACTGGTCACGTTACTGTTATTATCTTCCTCTTCAGAATTGTATTCCTCCTCGTGCTCGGTTAATTTCCTCGTCGCTGCCTCTTGAGCTTTCCTGTTAAAAAAACTTTAAATCTTAAAGAGAAATTATTTTTTTGAAATATCTTTACCTAGATTGCTCTCTGTATTGGTCCTGCTGCATCCTGCTCTCATCCCGTTCTTTCTGTTTCTTCTTCAAGAACCTGTACGCCAAATACACGAACAGCAGGATGAGCGGTATGAGCACTAACATTATTATCCCGGACGTGATTCCTGCTTGTCGTTGGGAATATTCCTGCTGACCTATTCGTGCAAGAAAGATAATGTAATTACGCACCAACTTTTAATCTTTAATATCGATAGACTTTTTTAAGTTGAAGCTTTGAAAGAGCTTTGAAGGAGCTTAAAGAAAAAAAGCTGCTCCGCTCTTTACAGATCGTTCTTGGTAGAGTTTAAAATCAAATAATTAACCGTAATTCTTGATCTATATCTCTAAGCTTACATTGATAAATTTAAAACTTTTAATAAGGGAATGTAATTTAAAAAGATATGTTTTGAAATCATTCCACCTGCTAGGGATACCGGCGTACCGCATTTTCTCATACCACATTTCGCACGGAAATTACTCCCTAATGTCCCTAGCATGTGAAATGCTCCAATGCGAATTAGTTCGTTAAATAAACTTTTATTAAACACCGCAACAATTCAATAAAATATTTCACATTCAATTAAATGTAATCGTTTCACGCACATATAAATTTACAAAACGATACATGTTTTGGCACATTAATCCACATGCTAGAGATAGGGTCGTCGATAATTGATTATTTTTGTTACAGTTTCATTTACTCGCTAAATAAATTGGAATTATTTATAATTATCGACGATCTTTAATAAAAATGGTATAAAAACAATTTGATTGTTCATCTTAAAGCGCTCCTACGGCAGTAAAATTAATACTATATTTTATACATAATTAGCAAATAATAACGAAACATTAATTGGTTGTAAAAGTTAATTGTTAAATTAATTTATCCAAACTTATTTTTATTTAATTAATTCCGAAACTAGAACTTGGTAGTTGAAATCAGTCTAGTATATAAATTTTTTTCAATAAACTTAATACTGACTATATAATTTAAAAAAAAATAACTCGTTATAAAAAAAGGTACTATATAGCAAAAAAACACACAACCAAATCAGTCTAATAAAAAACTTAAAACCATCAAACATCCGTTACAATGCTGCTTTGACTCTGGCTAATCCTATTCTTAGGCTTTTTAATAGGCAACGCGTAATCGTTCTCCCCATATTGCACATTCTTGCCATCACCCAATATATCCGGCCTCGCGATGTACGGAGCCGTGTACTGCACGCTAGACGTGGGACTCGTGGGGCTAGACAGAGCCACCGAAGTTCTATCGATATCATCGTAATTGGGATCGTTGGGATCCAACGGCTTGTCCTCGAACTCGATGCTCGGCCGGTCGGTCAACGGCTCGTGCGTCCTGTACGATTTCTCGTAGCTCCGGCGCTTCTTCGGCAGCGAATCGTTGTCGGACGGGCTGCGCTGGACATCTTCCTCGTCTTCTTCGCGGTAGGGAGAGAAGCTGCGCCGGAACGACATGGGCGCGCCCGATTTCTGCGCGGCTGATTGGTACTTCCACGAGCCGTCGTCGTTGCCGAACAACCTTTTGTACACTCTATAGGCTAAGTAAAGGAATAACAGTATGAGTGGTATGAGAATCGCGAGTACGATACCGGAGGCTATAGCCGCTTGGCGGGAGGAATATTCTTCTTGACCTAAATAAGAAAAATCGTATTAAAAAAAATCAAGAGTTTGGTTAATTGTTTTAGCAGAACTAATAACATATTTCCAGAATCGATGTGTCTACCTAAATAGAAATTGTAAACGATCCATACTACAATACTTACGTAAACAATACGTGTATCCATATTCTGGAATATTCCATTTTCCATCAGCCCCGCACTCTCTTCTAGGATCACCGACTAGCACGAAATCTTGTATACATTCGTAAGTCACCTTCGTGCCGGGTACGAATAAGAAAGTGCTCTTCCTGCCGAACCTGGGCGTTTCCAGCACGCCGCAGGACGTGATCTTCTCCCTGGTGGTTTGCTTCAGTTCGTAAATGGTCGCCTTGTAGTTTTGCGTGTAGTGCGCTAAATCTCTGTTGAGCGTCATGGCGTAGTCGTAGTAACATTCGTACATCTTCGTTGAGCACACCTCGTAGGTGCGCTGTATTTGCTCCGATCTGTTCGGCGGTAGGATGTCTTCGGGCAGCATCAGGAACTGCGGCCTGAAGGTCTTGTTGTTGTAGGTGGCCGAGGTGCGGCCGAATTCCCTGTAGAACAAGGACTGGCCTTTGCGCTCGTCGCCGACGTCGTCGAGCATCCATTTCGAACCGAAGTCGTTGTACACTCTCTCCATGTCGTTGATGTTTGACACCACGGCCGCCTTGGAACCGTCCGGCAGGGTGAAGTCGTCTTCTTTGTTGAAACTCCAATTTCCGAACAATCCAACCGTTTTATTCTGGAAAATTTGCCGATATTTACTTATAAATCGAATCAAATAGTGTAAAAGCTTACTATAAACGACCAAGGTAAGTATACTCTGGCGCTCATGTACCCTTGATTGTCCAGAACTTCAACACCGGCGCCGTTGTCGAACATTATCAGTACTTCAGATTGATTTAGAATGTAGGTTGGTGTATAAACAGTCACGCCTATACGTTAAAACAATTAAATGAAATAGAATGGAAGCTTAACAATAGCTTACCTTGGAAATGTTGGAATTTCAACGAAGGTCTATCAAAGTACAACCTCCTGTTCTCGGCTATAACATCTAATCTATACCTCCATCTGGATTCCATCGGTCTACTTCTAACTTCAATGGGAATAGTCTTGTTTCCTTTAGCCACGATCGCCGTTAGTTGCGTCGCTCTCACCTCTCCATAAGCATTGGGGCTCATTTGCTCGAATCTCGCCTGTATTTCCAAATTATCGTCCACCTTGACCGATTTCACTAAGGAGTACTCCCCTTTACCGTTGAATGTGTATTCGACGTCGTCGAAGGTGACTATGTGCGGGTCACCGTACACTCCTGCTACACCTGGCGCTTGATAGGCGACGCAATCCTGCGAAGGCCTTCGTTCGAATCGCAGGGTTTCGCAGCCCACGGCTTGCTCTTCCTGCCAGAGACAACAGAGGTATTTGGGCACTATGTCGTTGAACCATTGAGACAGCGTGGGGACTTTGGTGGCTTCATTGTAAGGCATTTTTCCCAAGTTGTGGCATCGACGAGGACTCGAACCCCATTGTTGATCGTAGGATAGCATCAGGTAACCGTTCTTGTCGTAGCAACATTGTTGCTCGGAACCTTCCATTCTAAAAATGATTATTAAATAGATATTACATCTTACTCTTCACTACTCTGTATAATTAGACTTACGTGGGTGCACCAGTTTTGACGCAATGCAAAGCTTGGTTATTGTAATAACAAACAGGATTCGAATCTTTGTCGCAATCAAAGTCGGGCATGAATTTTCCCTTGTCCGCCAAAGCCTGTTGGACTGTGCAAGGGCATTGGGGTAATTCGTGTGCGAAATTCTTCAGATATCTGTCCGTTCTGAGCCAATCGTCGCAGAGGTGTTTGGGCCAGTTCTTCCCGTATTGACTCTCCCATTGGAATTGGAAATACCAAGCAAGCGGAATCGGCCGGCTCCAAATAACCGGTGTAATCTCGACGTTTTGATTGGTCGTCGAGTAAATGTTGACCTATTGTTGACCATTTGATGAAAAATGTGTAAAAGTATTGTCTTGAGGAAAAATAAAAGATTCTTACCTTTACCGATTCAGTCAAATTTATTTGCAAGAATCCAAACTTGATGTCACTTAAGAATTGGTTGACTTTGCCCCTGTACTGCGACGGCGAGATCAGGAACTCCCCGGCGTTCTGGGTACTGGCTATTTCAGTTATGTAAACGAACGTAGGTCTCATGGTAGTTTCCCTGTAGCCCCACAAGGAGATTCTGATGTTAGCATTTTCGTTGGTGGTCAAATTCTGCTTCTGCCACGTGATGCGAAACTCGCTGGGCGACTTCTCGTGGTACTTCATGTCTTTGAAGAAGATCTTCTGGGAGGCGGTGGCGGGCGATTCTGAAATAAATCAGTTTCGTTGGAGTGTTATCGAAAAGTGCAGCAGGTAGCAATCCTTACCGACGTAGTATTTTCCCTTCCATTTGAACGCTTCCGAATTGACGGCGATTTGCAGTCTGACCCAACCTTCTGTGTAAAGAGGAGGTTGAATGCAAATGGCTCTGTTCCTGTCGACGACGTATCCGACAACTTCATCGAACACGTCGAATTTACACCTGATCCTATCGTTGGGATTGAAACAGGGACCTGTGATGTTGACGACGGTTCCTCCCAACATATTACCGCTCTCCGGCGCAAATTGAAGGGGTAAATTAGCCCCATCTACAACATTCAACAAATTTATTTATCTAATAATTTCTGTATAATCTACAACACCTTACCGATATCTTTGTTACAAGAACCTAGCAGGATGTTCTCGTCGATTCGGAAAATGTGTCTTCCCGGTTTGCCGTTACCCCAACCGGTCGCTGTCAAATCTCGAATGACGGATGCTTGACTGTAGGGCATGTACTGGTAGCTTCTTGTACCGTTACCGGCGTTGAATCCAACGAATGCCGGTACACCGCCTTCCCCGTTTCTGGTGTCTCCACCGGCTTCCGTGTGACTGGTCCATTCCAAGTTTAGGTAGTTGAATATTGCGTACGTGAATACTTCGTCAGTAGCGAGGACCATTTGAAATGTATTGGTCTACAAAGTAGTTATATGAGAAATAATGAAGCTGGTAAACTTATGTGTAAAGCTCGAATTAGTAACATGTGTATTTACTTGAAAAACTGCGGGGCCGAATCCTCCATTGAACGATACGTTTTTCCATGTGACGATTATGGCGTGTTTGGGATTGAAGGTTTCCGAACCGATTACTCCCTCTCTGATGTCCCATTTCAATCTTTCCCTTATTTCCACTCCCATTCTGTCTTGTCTGTCCCTGAGGTCTCTTTCCATTCGGAAGTATACACCTGGTTTACGTTTGTCGGCGTCTTCGTCGCGAAGGTTACCGATTTTGCATTTACTGAAGAAAATACCTGCGGAAGGAAATGCGATTCTTTGAGTAAAATACATTTGATTTTAATAGCCTTGTAGCCTCACCAATAAAAGCTGGATCGTTTCGTTTAGGCCAGTCTTTAACCGGAAAAACTAATGGGTAATCGTAATTCGGAGGTGGATCGCTGAATTCCAAATAACCGTTGATGGAGACTCTCGTGTAATTATACCTGAAATGCGCGATTGAATATCTTTTGTCCAGTCTCTTTAATCTAAATCTAACCTACCTGAATCCGAAGAAAGGCAATTGGAAGTTCATATTCTTGTGGACTTGGGGCGTAGAGGATTGGATTTCCTTCTGATAATCCCCCTCGTTGTCCCCGTTGCCCCCTTTATCGAAGAACGGATACATAAAGTGTTTCCTAATGTCCGCTAACCTGGTTTCGGTAATGAGGTAAGGGATGCCTCCACCTCTTTGATCGGTGTCCGGAGGGGCGGTGGCTGATGTCATGGGGTCTACAACAAGATATTTAATCTGCACCTACTAGGAAATGGAATGCTTTTTACGGTGAATTTTTGCAAAATGGTTATTTACAATTATTGTGAAAATCCAAGAATGAAGTTGTTTAAGTGGAACGATTTTTAAATGGAACGATATATGTAGCAGGATCTGTTCAAACATCTGCCTAAAATATTTATTTATTGTTTAAAGGTGAACTAATCTAGCGCAAGATAAAAATTGTGTAAACTAATATGAACTACATTTTGACTAACTAATGCAAACAATTTTTCTTTTTTCTTTTAATACTAAGGAATTTCGTGGCCTAGGCGTAAGTAGGTTAAAAATTGAGTAGAATTAATAAACTATTTAAACTACCTAAACCCATTCGGTTATATTAAATTTTAAACAATAATTTATACAAAAATTATTGTAGAGTAACAAGTATTTGAAAAAATAGTTTTTATTGTAAATTATAAGCCATCTAGTAATACATAGTTAGTATCTATTAAATGAAATATAGCATTAAAATTTTAATATTTGCTTTGAATGATTCATGAAAAATATCTAATGAGCCACCAGCGATATGTAAGCGAAGCGTTAGTGAAACAATAAGTAAAAAATAGCGTATTTGTTAAATATTGAGTGTTTGCATAAGCCGCACCTTGACAAAATGGCGGATGCTGATAACATTTAATCACATCTACTTTTGAACAAATCTATAAAATTAGATAAGAGATGAATGAATTCATCGATGAATTGTTGGATTTTTATGATTTTTTATTCATGATATTTCTCTTCTTACTTCGGTATTCATTTACAAATGATGCGTAGGAGTGAATTCAAAGCACATAATGAAGCGATTTTCTCACATTACATATTCATAAAAATCCAAAAAGACACACAACTAACCATAATTGGCCCCATAATAAGTAACGTATTTTCCAGATTTAGTTTTTTTCTGGAAAGTCCAATTGGGTTTGGAACTGTTAGTATCAATTATTTCGCTATCGAAATTTGTTAATTTACGGGAGCGTTGTTCTACGGGAGCGTCTACAAAAATAAAAATTTCTGATTCCTTCAGGAAGTTCTACATTCGGTTAAATAATATTCGTTTTATATTTTAAATCTACCCTCGAAATGACTTGAGCTCTGACCCGTGACATTATTAATTATAATTAACGATAATTGGAAACGTAAACATACTAATTGGCTGCTGAAATGATATTTCAAATAAATATTTATCATATAATTTTCTTGTATTTACTTGAAAATCTTTTGCAGATTTTTATTTACTTATCAGAGTTTTGTTATTAAAGAAATTTAGCAGCAAATTAATCGAATCGCGACGTAATATATTATGCTGTTTCTATAAAAATAAATGGCGAATTTCAGGCAATAATCGATAATATATTTTTGCATGAATAACACAAGTGTAAAAAACAGTTTAATTTTATAGCATTTTATCTTTGTAATCTATGATTAAAAATATTATTCCCTTTTATTTCTATACATTTCAACATTTCTACGAAAACCACACAATGATAACTTGATTAATCTAATAATTTGTCACTAGATATCGATAATATTCTTGTGAAATATTGTGAGTAATGAACAGGTAGATTTAAAATACATTGAAGTTCATGAAGAAAAAAATTTTCTGATCACCCACGAAAGCGGTAATCCTAATCTTGTCAATTTATAAAAAATTGAGAATATCAAAAATCAAGAAGATAAAACTTATAGTAAAAAAGAAAGAAACAGATAGATAGATAGATAGAAAAATGTGATAAATTTACCAAAAAATAGATAGGAAATTGGAAAGGAAGTAAAACAATCCTCTTTGTTAATTATACAGGATGTTATTAGTAGTAATGAAGAAGTTAATAAATGTTTTAGGTATTCAGGGTATGTCATGACAAACTTAAACTCGGTATTTATTTAACAGAGGTAAACTAAAGTTGCAAAGTTTCCAATATACAAATAGTTTAAGCTCACTGTGACATACTCTGTACAAATTAATGCTTTATTACGTTCTCAAATTGATTTTTAAAATATACCCAAAGCTTATATAAACAGAGAAAATCGATATTGATAACGATAATTCCGATACCTGTATGATTGATTAGTAAACGAATCCATATATGGATGAAAAATGTTATCGAGTAATAAATAATGACTCATTTTTTTCTTCATTAACTTAACTAATTTACCCTCTAAATACGTTAGACATTCCACCCACCGTAATTGAGGTTATTCGTAACCGCCCCGCCGTTGTTTTCCTCGACGGGAACGGGCTTGGGATCGGCGTCGCCGACGTCGCTTCTTGCTGCACCCACGTCGATGCTTTCCACGTCTTCCGTATTATCCTGGCTCGCTGCATCGGGCGCTACGGCATCCTCTTGAGCCCCGACGGCCACCGCACTGATTATTAACACCAGCAGATAGTTCATTTTCACATGCATTTTCGCTAAAATTCCGCCCTATCGCCGGGCGTTGGTCGCATTCAATCGCATTAAACGCTACTTTTGCACTGGGTTGTAAAGGACCTGCTAGGATAAGAGTATCGTCGTGATTACGACGTATTACTCTCTCAAACATAGATAACGTTCTTTATCTATATGACACATTTTGTGAAATAAAGCGTAATGAGATAGATATTTTTTTATTGGCAATAAAGTTTACTCATACAGGTGAATTATTTGAGGATCCTTTTTCGGGAATTCGCGTGGTATCATCTTAGTTACTAATTGTTGAAAATGAGTTAAAGATTGTTTGTTTACGTTCAAAAATATTTAACTGTTTTAGGAGTTTATTAAACTTCTTTACCTTATAGAAGTATTGATTGGAATTAATTAAATGTGTTCTTTATTTTTCTTTATTATTCTAACGACGTTTTCCATTTATCTAATAACATTCGTTGATCGTCTGTTTTAAACAACAGCGAACACACACTTCCATTTCGTTTAGGAGAAACGGCGAAGCGCCCGGAACGACCAAAAACCCTTTTATTCGATGTTTATGAAATGGATCTTCGAGATATTAACGTAGTTACCATCTCAAATTGCTTCTTATCCGATTAGAGGCCATGAAGAGCCACATTAGCCGGCTAATTCTCCTTTACATCCTAATTAAATTTTCTTATTAAAACTCCCAACTTTGCCTCTCGAATGTTTCGCACAATCATCGGATCCTAATTCGTTGCGCAACTTCCACGGGAATTTGAATGTTTCTTTTTACCTTGCGGTTTTTTGCTCTTAGATGGTACACCATTATTTATATATTTTTTGTAACAATTTGAATTACCGTTTCTTTTAATATCAATTTGAGCCATACATAGAGGTATAAAGAGGCTGTATATTTGATATTCTCTTTGTATTTCAAAGATTTGATCATTTGAATCATTTTTGCAGCCATGCATGGGGATTTTGTTTACCGTCTTGTAAAAAATTGAAGATAAGTAATCTTATCAATGAGACACTAATTTAATAAGCTCTCGTTATTTACAACGGTGTAGCAAGTAACAACAATATTCTCGTTAAATTTATTTGATCTTTGATAACATTTCTATACATGTACAAACATTTTTCACGTTCGCGTTCTATTAGATAATTTTTGTTACAATTAAATTACTTATTTTGATTCAAAACCAAAATATTTTATTCATTTACACCTAAAGTATCTACCTATAATGGTACAAAAGTTTTTTTATCGCTTTATATTCTCGACTGAACGCTCTGTGGAAGTCGGTTCAATACCCACAAGAGAAAACCGTCGGAAAGGGCCCAGCGAAAAGTAAAACGCTCATTTTCCGAAGGGAAAAAAGCGCCCCATCGCCCTCGGGGACCCGATCGGGCGACGCCTCTCCCGGCTCGACGCGGAAGCGTCGCGATGCCCGCGGACCGGCCATTGGCAAGCTGACGTGCCTCGTTCCGCGACGTTGACGCTGCCGCTCTCTTGGGGCCCTTCTTTTCTGCCGCTGCCGTGCGCTCTAAGACGTCCCGTCGATATTTCGACGGGGGAGAATCGGCGGCGGTCGCGATTTATGTGAGAAAATTCGCCGGGACGGCTTGCGGACGGGGTGGATTTTTTTTTGCCGCGGCGATTGGACAACGAAGGTTTAGGAAGTTTCCTGCGATTTGTACTATACTCCGTTCGCTATCTGGAGGTTGTAAAAGAATCTATAAAATAGGTTGCAAAAGAGAGCGCGAATGACTTGGCGAATGGCTTTTGGATACCATTTATTTGTGTACAAATAAATTCTATGTCCAGTTTTTTAAATCAATTTTTGGTCAATTTTCGATCAATCTTTAGACGATTATTGGTCAATTTATAATTGAATTTTGATTGGAACTTTGATCAATGTTTGGTGAATTTGTTAGTAACCTTTTGATCAATTTTTGGACGAGTTTTGGTCAATTTTTGGTCAATTTTTACCGGTTGTGAATCGATCTTTGATCCATATTTGGTCAATTGTTTAGTCGTTTTTTGATCAGTCAAATTTTAGACGATTTTTGGTAAATTTTTGATCATTTTTTGGTCAATTTTCGATCAACCTTTAGACGATTATTGGTCAATTTATGATTGATTTTTTAGTGGAACTTTGATCAATGTTTGGTGAATTTTTTAGTCGTCTTTTGATCAATTTTTGGACGAGTTGGTCAATTTTTTCAATTTTTGGACGATTTTTGGTCAATTTTTACCGGTGGTCTATCGATCTTTGATCAATATTTGGTCAATTAATTAGTCGTTTTTTGATCAGTTAAACTTTAGACAATTTTTGGTAAATTTTTGATCATTTTTTAGAAGATTTTTGGTCAATTTTTGATTGATGTTTATCAGACATTCGAATCAATAAAATGGATATAATTATAAAATATTTAAAATAAATAAACCTAAAAAAATAAAAGATCTACCCAAAAAATTAGGAAGATCATTAATGGAAAAAGCGCAAGATATTATGCGTTGGGTGCTGTTAATTGATCCAACAAATTTAATAAACATGATATGTAAAAAATGACTTGAAATACAATATATTATGGGGTCACAAGTGCCATTATTGTAAAAGATTAATGTAGCACAGGAAGTATAATAGTAGCACGATCCCCTCAATACAAAACTAGTCCGGGCAGATGCAATTTTACGCGAGCAGGACCGGTTCGGCTATTCAAACGCAAATCAAAACGAATTTACACCATTTACCTTACTATTTATCGCACACCTATAAATATTTCTTTGCTAGTTACAAGTAGAATTGCTGATTATCTTTATTAAAACTCTTTATTATACTCTTTTTTTTATTATAACTCGACTTATAACCGATCACGGATACCAACCGGAAACCGGCCCTGCATTGCGCATTTGAACATCACAGTCGATAGTTGGTTTGTGGTGTGCAAAACTTCCACTTGATCGCGGATTCTGTATAGACTTAGGCACGTGTCCGGTTCGATGAGCATTTGGCAGTCCTTTCTCCCCCATTCTTTTTCCTCCTGTTTAGTTCATTAAATATTGCCGAACAGGATGGATCATATCCTCCTATGTTGGCATTGTAAGAGTTACAAATGAACTGCAATTACACCGATCGAACCTACCAATAACATAAATTAAATTTACAAGAAAATATAATAAGATGTATTTTTGATTTTTTTTTATAATAGAATCTAAGCGAACGAGGTCTTGTAAACTGTTGGAAGAAATCGAACACCTTTCTAAATTCCCGATGATTAATCAATCAGTGGAAATAATCAATCAATCAATCAATCCCCGGCGACAATCGGGTGATTTTCCTTTTGACCGCTTCCCGCAAAACGCTTCCCGATCGGCGATCGCCCGGTTCCGGTGCCGCCGGACTCGACAATGGCCTCATCAGATATGATCTCATCGAGGACGGCACGTGCCCGACGTGCCCGTCCTTTGAGCGACACGTGGCCGGCGCACTCTCTCTCGACTGTCAAATTGTTTGTTTAATCACATTTAGCGGCCCATTGATCGCCCGGATGCCATCTTGGACTGATTTTGTTTTTCTCGTTAGAGAAATTAGAACGGGGGGTGATTTGGGGCTCTGTCCGGCTGGCGCGTATTGCAAAATAATCTGCAAAACAAATTATAATCATAGTTTTGTGCAATTGGCGTGTTTGTAGAGCTGGAGAAGTCGGAAAGTTTTCGTCGGGGAAGGTTCGCGCGTCGCCGTGTGTACGCAAGAAGTGAAAAGTAAACAGAGTGATAGATGTTTATTATGGACGGGCGCGGGACTACCATAGTTAGGAGGGTCCCCGGGGATATCCGGATGAATCTTGGAGGAGGAGCGCCGCCCGCCGCCGACTTCTTGGACAAATTGCCGGCAACGAACCGGAGACCGGGACAAGCGTTTTCCACCAAGGAAAATTATCGCCGGGCCCGGCCAGTGACCGGTGAATGTACAGGGATATTTCGCAACTGTGGCAAATCTTTGAATCTACTATAATAATGACCAAATTTTCTCTGCAAAACTCATTTCTTTTAGTACATATCACGTATACAAATAGCGATGTAATTCCTCCCCAATAGCATTATCTGCGACTGTGGAGGAAAATCGCCGCGCGCGATTTTCCGAAAGCCGTTTGTGAAGTAGAGATGGACTCCTGTCTCGAGGCGATGAGGACAATCAGTCACCCTCCTTCTTATTTCTAAAGGAGAAATTTGTCTGTCGGAATCCCGCTCCAGCGCCGACCGGAGCAACTCATTTCCGGACCGTCTTACTTTTCTTTCGCCCGGAAGGGGTCGCAGGGATTCCGAAGGGACTCCGGTGACTTTTCGCTTGTGCCCTCGCGTATTTATTACGTTGGTGTAATCTAGGAATTGATAGTTTTGGATTCACTACGGGTTGAAATTGTCTGGTGGAACTTGTAAAGAGTGTTAACAATAAGCAGAAAGCGATTGAAGACAAACTTTGTACAGATAGTATAATAAAGAAGAAGAATCAAATAAAAGAAGAGAATAATATTTTGTTTTAGATGATAATAAATATTTAATCTGAGACAGTTTGTTTCTCCCTTTACACATACTTATTGGAATGAAATGTTTTTATAGATTTTAAAGAAAGTATATGATGAATTCTATACCAAGTTTTTGGTTTGTATACGAAGCAGGTATATTTCGATTTGTGTTAAAATTAGTTCGTGACTGATGTCAAATGAACTTAAAATTAAATACCACGCAGATTTTCGATTGAATGGCGTTTCTTTCAGGAAAGAACCTGCGGATTTTCTGCAGCTCTTTTAGTACATTTTTTCCTTTTTCGATAAATTCGTAAGGATTTGAAAGCTAAGCTGTCAAGTCGGAAAGTCAAATTACACCGCATAAAATTCAAAATTAACTATTTTTTATATGCGTTTAGTTTTTAGAAAGTTTCAATTTTTTTTTAAATATGATTCTAGGAAGCTTTTCGATGGCGCTTTGTACTATAATTATTAGAAGGTGCTTTGATACTGTAATAAATCGACCGGTAAGCACAACAAAGGAACCAAAAAAATATTTTTACCAATTTTTTACAATTTCACCGAAAAAATAATTAGTTTATCCCGTTTTATTTACAGCCCCTTACCACCTCCAACCAGCAACTTAATAAGCTTATCAACTATGTTAGTATCCGGAGGATTGCTATACCTATTTAAACATTTAAAGAAAGGTACTTTGGTTAGCATCGGACAAAGATACCATAAAACTTTAGCATCGAAAAACATTTCACTGTAAGTAATTTTACGCCAATTAATTACAAACACCAAACACAAAGCGACCGAATAGAATACTTAAGTAACATCTCGGCCTGTTGCAGACGCCCCAAGAAACACAACAGTTGGTTCCTGAGAAATTTATGCGGCAAAAGGAAGAGCTGCACCGACGCCATCATCAAGCTGTCCGAGGAGCTGGTGCGCTCCCAAAACCACTTCGCAGGAATGTCGAATCATCGCGAGAGCGAGAACAGCAGCATCGCGAGTTTCGCGGACGCGGATAGCGTGGAAAACGACAGGAGCTCGTTCAATGGCATCGTCGACGATTCCTGCGAACGGTTGTATCGTCGGAACAGCGCCAGGCTGAGGAGCAGGAGAGCTATTAGCGTAGGAGATGTGGAGAGTTGTTTCGACGGCAGCGGAGACAATGCGAACGTTAGGAAGAGTAGAAACGTATGCGTGGTTAAGAGTAGGAGGAATTCTGATTATCCTGTGGTGGATGCGGGTGTATCGAATCGAAGCCAAAAGAAGATAACTAGAAGCGGGCGAGTGTATAATCCATTATAAGGGAAATGCAGAGTTTTATCAATATAGAAAAATATATATTTATATGTTTTAAGTTATTGTAAAACAGTTTGGTTTATTTTTTTTTATTGCTATAAATGTTGTTTTCCCAGAAAAGTGTAATATCCATTAACCAATTGCAAAAGGAAATAATTTCTACACCTCTTCATCATTAATTGTTTGATTTTTTAAGTGAATTATTGGAGAGGTGTTGATGATGTTTAATAAAATATAGAATTGTAGGGGGGTGTTAAAATTTGTTTAGGCATTAATAGAGCATAAAACTAATAGGAAAAATCACATTCCACCTCCTCCTGCAACTGGTTGAGTGTTGATATACAAACACCAGAAGGAAAACAGATAAGATCAGAATGCAAATTTAATTCCCACTAGCGAGAGGCATTTTAATACACCCTTCACATGTGCGAGATCGTGTCACAGAGAAACCGAACCCTCGACCGGAGGGGTCGCGTGCACGCTCCCGTCGTGACGTCACGACGCCCGTCGAATCGGCGTCGCCCGTTCAAAAGGACGACGCCGGCGTGATTGGCCGACGCCGTCGCCACGGCGACTCGCCCCGCCCACGCGCCCGACCAGCATCCCTTTTCGGCCGGCTTCATCCCCGTTTTCGGGGCGCTCGGACTTTTTCCGATCCACCCCCTCGAAACTTGCCGTTATTGAATTAGGCTTATCATTTGATTTCAGTCACAGGACTCGAGTCGAGTCCTCTGCGTATCCCGTTTTGCGATATAAAAAACCGTCCGCGATTCCGACGCCGCGGCGCGATAATTCGATATCAACAAGAAACGCTTTCATCTAATTATAAAATAAATTGGGCGCCCCTCTCGCCGCCAGTCGAACTCTTACTTATAATTTCGTTGATTTTTTCGCGCCAAAAACGATATGGATTACTCGTATTTGAATCAGGCGTCGTTCGATTCGTCGTGCCTGCAGGGCGCCGCCATGGACCCCACGGGCCTGGGGAACATGCCCTGCTCGTACGGGGACCTGACGTCGTGCAGTCAAATGTCGCAGGCGGCCTACAGGTACACGGCGGCCGCCGCCTCCATGGCCAGGACGTACAATCCCGCGGCGGCGGCCGCGGGGCCCATGGGGGTACACCATCCGGGCGCCGGGGGGTCGCAATGCGCCGTCATGGGGTCCAGGTCGCACGTGCAGGACGTCCACAGGGCCGCGATGTTCCCCTCTTCGATGAACCTGCAAAGTAAGTCACATAGAAATCGCTTATTTTTAGCTGCAAACGGTAGATTTTGGTGTCCGACGGGCGGCGCGCCATTTTGCCGCTCTATAGATGATTGTGTGTAACGTGAAAAAAATTAGTTTAGTATTAATGTTATGTGTAAAAATGTAGTTCAAATGTTGTGCGTAACTGACCTATATAATTGTTAAATAAGTTATATTTTGTTTAAGATTCTAAAATTTGGTATTTATTTATAATTAATGTGGAATGGAGAAAATTGAATCAATTAGTTTTATTTTAAGTTCTACATACAGTAGAAAATTGTTTTAAATGATATCAAATCAAATAATCATTTTTTTTATTTCGTATAAATTATATTAAGTTAGATATAAACAGTAAACTATATCATTACAATCTATTTTAATGTTATCTTATTTGGAATATCACATTTTTACATTTATTTTATTTTTTACATCAATTAAAAGTTGAATATAATGTAATTTTGTAGAATATAAAATTGAAGAGTAAAAGTAGGTAAGAGTACCTACATACATATTTTACCGAACAAAAATTTAATTTGTAGCTTGTAAATTAAAAAAAGTTGTCTTTGTGTAAACTGAATATTTTCACGTTACTTTATAACAAAACTTTCGAATAATTATTAATAATTTAACTTCCTTCCATATTTTAATAGAATTTTCAAACCGAAAAATTACAATAAATCAATTCGAAATACATTTTTTTAAATTTTTTTCTAATTAATCGGACAATTTAGAAATAAAACATGTCCATTCGACTCGCGAATACCTGCCTTAACATCTTACACGACTTCTGCGTGCAATCCCCGCGACCGCGCCATCTCGTGCACACCTCGGTGACACATGCACCCCCGTACCCCCGCACGCACTCGTCCATCCCGCCGAGGCCTCGGACCTGCGGGCAAAAGGCCAGGACAAAAAGACAAAAAAAAAACAAATTTTATAAACGTCAAGAATCAAAACGTCTCGACCGCCCGCCCGGCGAAGACTGACGAGACCGCCGGAGTCCTGGAGAGCGGTTCTTTTCCTCATTCCGGACATTATAAGGCCATAACTCAGTTGTGCCTCGGCTAACGAGGTTATACAAGCCTCTCGGCCTTGGAGCTCCCGACTACCGGGCGGCGCCCCACTACCGTTTAAATTAAATAATTTAATAGCCGGAGAAAGTTTATTGTGAATACTGGCCGGGTTGGCGGCGAACGAAAGGGGAGCCACCTCCCCCGCCTTCTTTCTCGCCGGCGAATTCTTCGAGAAGTCTCCGGGAAGCTCGATGGGGGTGAAAACGCGAAGTTAGGGTTGCCGGGCCTTCGGGCGATGTCCTAATTGTTTCTTTAATTTTCGTTATTAACAATCTGTTTATTTGATTAATATTTTTATTAGTTTCATCAAGTTTATATTTATTTCAACATCGTTTTTTAATCATTGAAGTTTTTATGAATGTAATAAAGTTTGCATCGTAAGCACAAATAAAAGTGTGTCAAGTATTTCCAAGGCTCCAAAGGATGTCAATAACTTTATTTGATTATCACTAAAGTATATTTTTCTTTAATATAGTCACTTTTAATCAAAAACCAACAACCCCTAACGTTGAAAATATCGTTCATAATTATTTTCTTAGTCATAAAATAGTATTCTTCAGATATCGAGGTTTTATGGGTAATTAAATTCACTTTTCTTTTCAAGTTATCACTTAACATTTCGGAAAAATAAAGAAACATAGTCTAAAGATGATACATTTAATATTCGATACCAAAACAAACACAATAAAAGAATAAAAAGAATGCTCATCACAAGTATTTGATTAAACATTTGTGAAATTTTTATCTAACATAAAATTATACTTGGTATCTTCAAATTTTAATCAGAATAAAGATTAATTAATTAATCAATTTTTGGATGCTTCTTCTTTGTTTATTTCTGTGTCACCACCCCATGCCCCCTCGCTGTTCTTCTTAATTAAACGGGGAGAAAACGATCCGAATGGGGATTTGCTGCACGACGGACATTTTTTTTCGTGTATCCTAAAGAAGGGAGAACGACCGATCAATATACTTAGGCGTTTCTTCCTGCTAGCATTTCCTGTTTTCCCTGATCTTTCCACCGGAGGTGTTACCATAAGGTTGTAGTTGCTTTGTTAAATTGTATTAAAGGTGTTATAAATAAGAACAAGTTACCACAATAAATTGATGATTAATAATATCTATTATTGGAAAGTATAGTAGATACCTAAGTTGGAAATATCCATTAAAAGCGTTTAATGGAAATTGATGATTTGGGACAAAAATGTTATGACTTTATCATCCAGTTAAAAGTAGCTAGGGAAAATTTAGAAGAAAGCACTTTGTTAAGGTAATAAAATTAGGAGATTTTTTAATATCCAATTGTAGCATTCGCGAATTTCCTTTCTATCACAATGTACCTAAAAAGATGGAAAAATATTACACGGCTCTTTTCGGTTGAGTGCGTCCTGCATCAAGTTTTTCCGCGTCGAGGATAAACCGTCGGGAGGAAAATTGATGGAAATGCACATTGAATTTTTATCGTTTTCTTTTACTGTCGCAACATGTAGACTAAGTTTATGGTCGAAGAGAACATCTCTTTTATGGGCCGGGAACGCGGAATATTTCTTTGTCTTTAACGGCCGAAGATCAAACGATCTAAATCTTTTACGGTCTTTTGTTGCTGTCGATGTTTTTCCGCCGTTTTTAGGAACTTTTTGATCTATCCAGTCCAAAAAGCATTCGCTTTACGATTTCCTAACATTTAAATCGAGCACGCCAAGTCACCTAATCCAATATTACTACTTCCCAACATTCTAGCGAACAAACTTATCTCGTTACAATACAAATTACTCAATCAATTTAGGTTACTCGTTTCATTGCAGCATCTCCTAAATCCTTTCTTATCCGCCTTGTTACTCGACTTCCATATGTGAAATGAACGTAACCAACCTACATGCGGTTTCGGTTTTAAGGGCATTAAATTATAACTGCCGTTGTTTACCGTTTACCTAAGGGCGTTTCGGAACAAACCGCGATATTAAATTGTTCCGGCTAGTTTCCCGGTTAGGCGCTTAAAAATTCATGGAGGCTCGGCTTACCACTATTATCGCGCTAACAGCTTAAAGGGGGCTCTGTTGAAATTCGTAACGGGCGCCCGATTATACCCATTATTATACGCGGCGTTTCGGGTTTAAGGGACCAAAAAAGCGGACTATTAGCTCATAATAACACTTTAAAAATATGTTAGTGAGTATGAATACGTTTCGTTTCAATTCCCTTTTTTTCTTACCATCGATTTTTCTTTATTGGCGCCCTTTATTTTCTTTCTATTTCGGCGTCTTGGGCGGAAAAGAGCGAGGTGCCGGAAAAGCGGCGATAATTTTTCGAATTATGTAGGCGGAAATTCGCTTCTCTCGATGCCGATGGTCCCGCCGAATGATTATGTTTAAATAAAAAAATATTTATACAGTCGCCTCGGTTGTTTTACGGGGCTCGTTGATTACGGTTAATTTTCGCTCCGGTTGGATTCTTCGGTATTTTATTGTTTAATCGGATCTCTGATAACGCCGGAATAATTCGCGATAATTTATTGAATATCAACTGTTTAACTTCATGTTCTTTTCCCTTCGAAATTTTACAACTTTGTACTCTATATTTGATCGAATGACAGTTAGATTAAATTAGTAACTAAAAAATCAATTTTGAATAAAATATCTCAAAAAATTCTACGCCTCTGCTTGCTCCGCTCTATTTCACTTCTGTTCGCTCAGATCGTCGCTCAAATTCAGCTTATCATCTACAAAAACGCGTTATTTACCGAGAAAATTGCCTTCATAAAGAACTCGGAAATAAATCGATTTACTTATGCGCAGCCACAGATTCGATATCGTTTAGTTTCCAACTTAATATTAAACAACTACGGCGGGGAAAATGTTGTAAAATAGATGAAGTAGATCGGAAATCAGCCACGACAAGACGATGAGAAAGCTCTAAAATAAGATTGAATAAAGAAGTCTTCTTCATCATTCAAAAGTCCAACATATGCAGTAAGAGATAATAATAATTTTGATTTCAGGCGGATTGCCGTATAAAGTCTACCCCGGCCACGATGGCGTGCTAACGGAGAAACGAAAACAACGAAGAATTAGAACCACCTTCACATCGGCTCAATTGAAAGAGCTGGAGAGGGCTTTCCAGGAAACGCACTATCCAGACATCTACACCAGGGAGGAAATCGCCATGAAAATTGATCTCACAGAGGCGCGAGTTCAGGTCAGTCCTTAATTTATTCTGATTTATCTGCATACAGGTTGCTCCATTTTTGATCGCAACATAGGTTATAAAGACCATTGGTGCGATAAGGACAACTTTCATTAGACACTTACAAAGGAAAAGGAAAGAGTGACATTTGTGTCTATGCAACTTTTCACTCTGACAACTGTCATTTTAATAATCTTTCTTTGTTCCACTCATAGAAATAACCATGTTGCAATAGGAAATGGAGCAAGGTGTATATCTCACTAAATGTAGCTTAGCAGCTGGAAATTGGCAAGCCTAAGTTAATTATTCATTTAAAACAAAAAACATTTTTAACATCATCATCTGGTCTGCAAAAGGGGGAGTAACACCTATAATTATTAATTGAATACCTTCAACAAATTTTATTAAAAATCATAGTCTATTGTATAGATACTATTAACGGTATCATTTCGTGGATTCTCAGTCGAGAACAAAATAATAGTATCTAATATCGTTAGATTAACATCATATCTGGATGATATTCTCGCCCGTCTAATCGATTTCATCGTCAACAACTTATGACATGTAACACAAACCGATTATCAGCGGTACTAATCGGCATCGTCAATCGCCTTGTACAATTTAATATCCATATCTAGTATCTGGTAGTTTGGAGGAGCGCACGCGACCTTTTTGTAATCCGATACGGAAGCGTTTTATTCCTCCGGCGGCCGTGAAATCGTCCTTTAAGGGCGTCGATTGAATGCCCTTCGAGGGCCCGTCGACGGTGTTGTTAACAACATAATACGGGGAGGTCGCACGGTGATCATTTACATTTCGTAGGCTCGAAATTGACTCGAGATCGACGAAGGGAATGCGTTAATGGTGCGGATTTGATGCGATTTTATGGGAATATGTCACTAAATTCGTCCCGTTTATTACTTTCTTGTATTAAATATTAGATCACACATCAGATTTTTAGTGTTATTATAAGTATAGTAGAATCAATATTTTCCAATATTTTCATTACCTCTTGACTACTCCAATAAACACTATTCTAATCCCAGAAAAAGTGACCATATGTATGGAAAGTTATGAAGTTTTGTTTGGAAAATAATGTGCAATCAGGGGAGGTTCAGATTTTTACTTAAGCCCTCTACAATAAAAAACACTGCACAGTCGTGCTTCTGGGTTATTATTACAGGTAAATAGTTGTCAGTTAGTTAATAAATTAATTATTGAATAGAGCCTACGATTTATTAAATTTATTTGTTTGTATTTGGCGTGCTTATACAGGGTGTTCCTAAACATCGTGTACATCCGAAAGAGGGTGATTCCTTGGCTTATTTTATGACTAATATAAAGTTAGTTCATATAAATGTGGGTCCGCAAACGCTTCGTTACCGATCTACAGGGTGTTGAAATTTCAAAATTTTTTTGTTTCTTTTTTAGAGCTCCTGCAGTTTTTGAGATATTTAGCTCAAATTAGGTATAGGATATAGAGTATAGAGTATAATTTGAGTAGTAGGGGGTCACTTTCAACATTTATTATAATATAATTTAATTATTATTATTTAGAGTTTTTGTTTTGTAAAATAAAACATTTGTACAGAACATTGGTAACAGATTATAAAACATTGGTAAAACATTGGTACAGAAATTAATTTTTAATCTTTAATTTTTTTTTCTCGATAACGTTACAGAAACGAAAAAAGTTTAATAATAAAAAAGTTTCTAAACAAAACAGACAATTAATTTGTATTTTAGAATCTACCAGCGGCGCACAGCAAAAAAGTTCGGGGGGAAAAAAGGGTACATGACCCCTGAAAAAATATCACCCTGTAGAATTCAACAACCATCTGATATACCCAATTATGTGTGCACTCTAAAGTAATCTAGATTCAAAATTTGAGCTAAATATCTCAAAAAGTGCAGGAGTTACAAAGAAAAAACAAAAAAAAATGAAATTTCAAGACCCTGTACATATATCGGTAACGAAGCGTTTGCGGATCTATGTTTATATGAACTTTTAGTCATAAAATAAGCCAAGGAATCGCCCCTTTCGAATGTACACGATGCTTAGGAACACCCTGTATAGAAAGTTATGAAGTTTTGTTTGGAAAATAAACTGCAATCAGGGGAGAATCAGATTTTTAATTAAGCCCTCTACAATAAAAAACACTGCACAATCGTGCTTCTGGGGTATTATTACAGGTAGTTGTCAGTTAGTTAATAAATTATTAATTAAATAGAGCCTACTTTTTATTTATTTGTTTGCATTTGGCGTGCCTATATATCGTTTGGTGCTTCAAGAAGGTTTCGTTTTTTATCCCCGATGGCGAACGGAGTATAACCGAAAGCGCGTCCAGACAATTCCGAAATGACGGGTGCCGCATAAATAGTTTAAGAGCCGCCATTTATGCAAAATATCCCTCGTCCGTTTCGGGTTCGGTCCAGTCACACGCCAGTCCAAGAGTATCCACCGGAGACCGGAAAATAATCCGATTAGCTCCGCCGGCTGACCAAACGGATCCGGACGGCCGGAAGGGAAGAAAATTTCGCAACGTTCCTCCGATTATATTAAATCGCGCCGCGGAAGCGCCATTATTAGACGCCGAAATGCGGATTTTAAATCCACCGATATGCGGGTTATATTGTGGTGGAATTATTTTCCAAAACCAAACACAACTCGATAAATGAGGTTAATTAAAATTTGTACAGCTATTTATATCGGTCTGTAAGTACTACTCATTGTTTCTACTAATACAACCAAGCACATCTAAAAAGGAAATTTCTGTAGTTGTTAATTCATTATTGATATAGATAATTATGGAGATTATTGTTGTGTATAATTTTTTAAAACTCGATTCAATCAAGGGTAGAAATAACGAATTTGTGTCTTGTACAAGTACAGTACGACTGATATAACTCGAGACATGATCTGCGCGATTTTCTAATAAGATGTTAATCTAAAAGTAATATTTCCCTATTTGTTAATTCAAGCTGCTCTTCTAAAACGAGGTATCTTATAAGTACTTTTATTAAGTATTATTATTCACTTCCTTCCCGACGAATAGTAACAAGGGAAAATATGGAAGAGGGAGTCGAAAAAAAAGCGACCTGTTAGACAACAACGAACAAAAAAAAACATCACTCTATTATTTTTACCGTCCCGAAATGATCAGATATCGATTGGAATCCACTCGGAAATCCCCGAATTCATTTTTCATCGCATGCGACAGTCCCCCCTTCGGGCGGCCCCCCGTCTTCTGGGGGTAGGTTCTTTCCGCATCGGCCTCTCGTTCGCTCTCGTTTTTCTGGAGACGCGAGGGCGCGAGAGCGAGAGAAAGCGAAAACGCGGCGTTTCAGTCGCACGCCAGCCCTTATGAAATATTCACGACGGTTCGGAGCTCCGAACGCGAAGCTCAGGTGCACTTGCCGGGGGCTCTTACGACACCCCCGAAATTAAACTTAACGATATCAATATCTATAAAAGTAATTCTACTTTCCGAAATTGTTCGTCTTGCTCAAAAAAACCCGTTGTAATAGATGATCTCGTTGTCTCCGGTAATTTTCGAGGTGCTGGGGATGATTGAGGGATTGTTTTCACCACGATTACATAATGATGAAGAATATTTAAACGTTCTAACGGTGTAGCGAAGAAAAATTTAATAATAAAAACCGAATCGTCGAATTTAATCCATTAAATTCGTCGTTCCCACGATCGGAAACCTCCCTAAAGGCACATGAAATATTCACTCCGGTGTTTTTTTGATACGTCGATTAAACAATTACAGAGACATTTTTCTTCTAATCTCCGAGGACGTATTAAATTGCGACTTCTCCCGTCTCATTAGCGCCTCTCCCCTGCCCCTCGACACCCCTAAACGCCCATGTCGAGGGATCGCCCGCTTGAGAGACCCACGTGGTTTTCTATAGCATGCATAACAAGCGAATCTCTGGAGAGAACGCATCCAGAGAGGCTCTTTTATGGACATACTGTAGCCTGAATTATGCGTGAGAACAACAACTATGATAGGTACCCATCATGTAGTATCTTCTTGTTGGAGTGCGGTTAATGTTTTAGTAAGTATTTGGGCTAGTTTTGCGAGGCGGACCTTCGCTTTAACAACTCATCGGAATTGGTGGAAAAAGAGGAAAAGGAAATTTTCCCGGTGCACGGCTCATAAAGCTCCCTTTTATGACGCGAGCTCTCGTCACTATTTCATCCGCATTATCAGCGAGCAATTCGCCGCTGAGAGCCAGCCCCACATGCTCTCCTAATTCTGACAAATGTCGTTGATTTCTTCCGCCTTTTATGTTTCCAAGGCAAGGTGCTAACCGCAACGTGCTGGTCCAGGTGGAAAATGGAAGTATTCGAGCAAAAATTGATCTAAATAAATTGGGTTTTATCAATGGCGTTTGTATACAAAGAACATAATTCTGTAGAGTCATGATACATCCATCAAATCGTTGCCACCATTCTTATATGGTTCAGTTTCATAAAGGCAGAATGATTTTCCTCCTTAGCTGCTACCTCTATCTGTTTATTATAGTTCCTGCGAATATGTGGTAAAAGTTTAATGACCACAGCACATCAGCTGGTCAATGTAGCGAAACGTCCGAGTTCCTCCGGCGAACGAGCTCTCGCCTGACGTCTGAACAGCGGAAAACGCCGAGGGAAAAGTCGCGCCGGATAACCGAGTTTTCCGGGGACGAGCTCAGAGAAACGGGCCGTCACATCGAAACAGACGGCTTGCGAGTGACACAACTGCGGCCGGTTGAATTATTAATTCCGACTCGCTAATGAAGTCTTCCACTTTCCGAATCGAGTCGGTCTGTTTTCTTTCCGCCGCGACAGATGTCCCGGGCGTACAGCTCCCTTCGCGCTCTAATTGTTATTGCTAGATTTCGTTCTGCTAAGCTTCTTGTTGTTTTCTCCGTTGGCTCTTTTTTAGCACCGCAAGAAAGCTATTACAACCGTGGAGTGTAAAAGGTCAATTTTACCATTTTTTTGTCTCTACCAACCTTCA